TCCCGCGGACCGTCCCCTAGCCCTTACCTATCTAGTCCAATCTAGTCCAATCTAGTCCTAGATAGTACTAGATAGTACTAGATAGGTCCTGATAGGGTACTGCTATGTAGATACTAGATACGACGTAGGTAGTCATCATCATCATGCTTGTATACTAGGTAGGTATCCAGATTCCAGAATATGTAATCATTCGAGATTTCAGGGTCTATCCAATCCCAGTCCCCTGATCAGATTGAAGAAAGCCAATCAACCGACCTGGACCGGGGGATCTTCCCTCAACCATCCAGCTGGGAACCAAGCCTAAACAAGGGTAGCCTTGTGTACCAGGATATTGCCCTAGCGGCTCACCTACCTAGCAGCATAATAGTGTAGTACTATGGTAGGTATTCCCGAATTTTCCTTCGATGGGTGAAATGTGGAACGTTCCCGCAACCTAACCAGATTTCTGACCTATTTGGCCTGCTTACCGCTCAGGGCTACCACCTCATCGATTCGAGATGTATCACAACAGACTAGTTAGCTTTATTCTCCTCAGCCTGTTCTTTTGCAACCTGCTATGTAAACATAGAAGACGAATACGCTACCTACCTAGTAAGCTGTGGGGTGAAGGGTATAAAACCGTACCGTTCGGCGCCTAAGAAAATAAAATATGATATATCACTTTTCTCCCTTTACTCAAACTGACACTGGGTGAGAACCGCCCCCCCCCCCCCCCCTCCTCCCTGCTAGGTTATGCCCATGACTTGAAACGTTAGGAATACATACAATTCGTCAGGCAAAGGAGTCCGATTGGGTGATATCGAATGGTCAAGCCATTGGGATCTTCGGGCGTTGCCCTACTTCCTGTTCCAAAAGCTGGGATTTCTGCACCAGCCCCGACAGATTCGGTTCTTCGTGCCTCCAGGTCTAGATCGTGGCTTGATCGAATCTGTCAACAATAGGCTGAGAAATTTTGCGCAAATGTGCACATCACTCAACGAAACGTAATCCGGGGTACCTACCTACCTACCTACCTACCTACCAATAGGTAGCCTGGCAAGCCTGGATACCAGGTAGATAGGTAGATAGGTAGGTAGATAGAGGTAGAAAACAGGGGGACTCTTCATGATCCCCAGGCCAGAGGCACACGTGGCTTGCAGTGACCCAGCTCCGCGGAATGAACAGTATCTGAGCTGAATATTAGATTAAAAACCCATAATACCAGTTCTCCGGTCACTGGGTTCATCAGTGAACATGACATATATGGGGCTCGCAATTAATGAATGACGAAGCTGACAAGACCAGAGGTGACCTTGGTACGTTATGGGCTATTTCGAAGACTGGCTGTGAAATTGATTGATTCTTGGCGTTTATTGTGAGACATTCTCTACCAACTCCCGGTCCCCGGGACAGTTGGTTTGAGAATCCCGGCAATCTGATCACATCGTACACCCAGGCGATTATCAAGGTAGAATTGTTCGGCTTCGATCGTCCTTCCAATCTCGTAACTAGACCCCCTTCTCAATAATGGGAGAAGAGGAGGGGGGGTATCGTCAAACCTTTCCCTCCGACACGCTGAAAGGGTCCGGGAGCTCACCTACCCCTGTGTCCTTACACTTACCCATCTACCTATTTACCAGGTACCTCGGGGTATTAGATAAGTTGCTGGTGAAGTTCTGACGATTAGCCAAGCCAGAATAAACCCAGAAGAGAGAATGGTAATGGCGATTTATTTTATTTGGAGACTGTCTGGTTCATCGGCAGCTTTAGTCCTGCTGAATGAATCATCGCACAGCCAATGAAGTTGTATCTTACATCTCTGGGGAAAAGGGCCTCAATGGCCTCCCCCTGGCCACTTTTAAGACAACACATATTTTCTAATGCCAAGCCATTACCTGGTAGTTGACGAGGTTCGGTACCTAGAACTACTTACAGTGGTACGGCTTAACTTGACGGTTTTTGTGCTGCCTACCCTACCTAGGTACTTACCCATGTACATACAAGCCTTCAATGTTCATGGTCGTCTACATGTATATACATAAACTGCATGTAATTGTTGCGAAAGTTACCTAAAATATGTAGAATCCTTGAATGCTTTCCTAGTCGTAAACATGGGAAGACTACTAAATAGGAAAAAGCCACCGAACTGTGAGGCATGCACTGCCTAGGAAAAAAACCAGAATGCATGGCCTTGACGACTTGAAAAAAAAAGAAAATAGAAAATAAATACATATGTATAAGCCAGGATGTAATTTTGGACATACGATGCCTAGTATGGCCGTTAAGGAATTTTTGACAAACGTTACCTCGGATCTTATCAGCACGATCCGGTGGCGTGAGTACACCCACGAAATCGTATGTGCTAGAGAGAGCTAGGTAGTAGTAGGTATAACCATGACTATACCTATTATAACACCAAACGTTATGTGAAGTCTTCCGTCAACGTTCTGATTTGACAAGTTTCCCACGAGATCTGCAACCCCTGTCGAGTTGGAGTACATCGATCTCCCAAGGAGGGTAGATCCTACTTGCACAGTACAAGCAATGGCTGTCAACTGGGAGCTTCTATTGGCATTTGTATCCTTGCTCTGCTATAGTTCAGCTGGATGGAGATTACCACGTCGGTCTCCCTGCCGCCACCATTGCCTCTTAGTTCGACTCGGTTCCTGGTGGCCTACATATATGTATACCCACCTGGCACGTCATGAACTAATGTAAAAATACGTATTAGGTATATATTACCTGCTGGTACACATGATATGTACAATATGTATGATATATACACTACGTACAGTAGGCCAAGGGCCAAGGGCTCAGGGCTGAGGCCCAGTGCCAAAGCAATGTGACCTGGGACGGCTACTCCCGCCTTAGAAACCTTCTAATGTTCGACGGCCAGATGCCGGCCAAACAATACATACATACATATGCCATACATACATAGGTAAGTAGGTAGGTAGTCAAAGATATGTACGTACCAACCATATGTGGGCAAGAGCCATGCCTAATACCTTGGCAGCATTCCTGATCGTTATCTCCTGTCGTACGTACTACATGTATGTAGTGAGCTGTGTTGGGTACTGGGTAAGTAGGTAGTGAGTGTCCTCGATAATAGTTGGTCAACCGCTTTGCTTATGATGATTATATGAACCAGTAAGTGAGTGAGGCTTATACATAGTAGGTAGGTAGATGAAGTAGGTAGACGAAGTCAGGCACAGATGACAAATAAAAGAAGAGGCTCTTGTTCAGATGGCTTGCGTGGATCTAATTCTGTCATATTTACAATATCAGATGGTGGCACTCTAGACAAGGGTTATCCACCGCGCTGGAACCGATCGTATTAGAACTATACACGGGAAAAGATGGTAATTTCTGTGTACGAATAAGTACTATACACCAAGTAGACATCAAGTAATCAAGTAGACACAGTAAGGGTGTATACTCTTAACGGGATTGCCCCGGCGGCCAGGAAAATTCCAGCTGCAGGGGGCAGTCCCGATCTCCGCTCCTTGGCCTTACAATTTCCATCTCTCTTCGCGGAATTCCATTGCTCTTTTCGATCCCGCCTTTCCACGCTATACATCCTAACCTCTCTACCTACATGTACGTAGTCTACTTATACATACATATAGCCTTAGTGCTGTGGTGTAATACTGCTAGTAGTAGACTAACCACCTAGTAGGAGTAGTACATGTATGTATGTGTGTGTAATATGTAGTACATACATCTCTAGTTACCCTTACAGTATCGTCCGGGCCCCCCTCCCTCTACACCAACCCCCTGGCCTTCACCAGCCCATGGATGCCACACTGGCTGGAGAACAACCAAACGAAACATTCTCTGGCTCTCTGTGCTGGCCGCGGAGTCTTGAGGCTTCAGATATGGTTAATTGCATGACCGACGTGTCATTCAGAAACATACACCCAATCTCTAGTGGTTTGAAGTGGATGCCGCGGCCGCCCCGATAGTAGAAGGCGTGCCTATTACCGGGGATATCCAGACTACTTGTATGTACCTGGTACCTATATAAGTATGTATACTTCGTACCTACCTAGAAGAAGTGCCTAATACCTAGTAGTATTCGTCATGCTACATGTAAGTTGTAAACGTATGTCCCCTGCGTTAAACGGGCAAGCGTCCTGCGGGTAAACTGGCTCGTACTACGTGATTTGGCCGGCACTAAAGGTGTACCTACTGTATGTATGTATCTGCTGCAAATCCCAGGGCCCAGGGCTGCTACTACATGTAGACTACCTAGACGCTACCTAGTACTAGGTATGGTACCTTATGTGCATTGTGGATGTCTTGTTGAGTGACCACTTATGTATTGTACAGAACTTCAGTGATCTGCCACTTTCCTCTGTGGCTATCTAGAAGGCAGGGCTCCCCCCTCCCCCCCCCCCCCTCTCCTCTCCCCTTTCTATACCCTCCTCCGCTTTACTAGTAGGTACTAGGTCGTTAGTCCGGGCATGTTTCTAAGTCTAGAAAGAGGGTCTTTCCAGGGGTTGGGTTTTGATATGAGGCAAATGATGATGTACTCGACCAGCCCGGTCCTGATACTGTCAAGGTTACCACTTACACACAGGTATACACACAGGTACTCGATATTCAGCTTCTAGTGTGAAAGAGACTAAACTCTTCTGCGTATATTCTTGGCGCCGCAAGATCTCCGAGTGGGTGTGCCCAACCCGTTGGCTCCCCAGATCGTACCCTAGCGCACATCACTAAACTCGCTTCCCCGAGGTATATACTTGAAGAGTGCCCCGAGTCTGAACTTCCTGATCTCGAGACTCGAGTACAAAATCCTACGACACACCCATTAGAGTCTAATGATTAGACTCTGTGATCATTATAGGTATCTAAGAAAGACCATCATTCGTATTTTCCTGTTTATTGGGCTGGCTATTTGTCTTATGTCTCACCACACGCTCGAGTTATAACCACAACAAACGCCTACCACTCCTTCGGGACCATTCTATTTAGTGTTTGCTGTAGTCGAGTCCACTTGACACCCTTGGAACTTCGACACACAGAAAACTAATCCTAATCTTAACTTATAACTTTCGTGGACCCCCCATAGTTTGTTTGACTGGTTTTGCCATAAGCAAAACTGGTCTCTTCAAACCGTCAAACTGGCTCTACCTACTCAAGCACCAAACCCCCAGAACTGGGGACGATGGGTTCCCCAGCAGTCTAACGCGGAGTATGCGATGGTAGACACCTCTGGCATTATGCAGTTTAACTCAAACCCATCAACCACGGCACCCATCCAACGACATGCCATGGCTAATCATTTCATGCCGGTACCAATGGGTAATGCGTATGCCATGACAACTCCCGTGACCAGTCCGCAAGCACCACAGTATTCAGCCAACAATCACTTCATATATGGACCCTATACACCTCAATCGCCTCCCATGTCCTTCAAGCAATACCAGGAGGAGTGCTCACCACCACGCTCGATGACTTCCGACACCGAAGGAGCACACGTTGAATTCCAAAGGGAGCTGGGCCAGGAAAATTCCATAGAGCAGGACGAGCCACCACGTATAAAGTACGAGCCCCTGGCGACTACCGAGCGATCACCCACCCCGCCCGTTACTTCCAAGACCATCACCCGGAACGTATCAGAAAACGCGGCCAATGAGATAATTTTCAACACCGAAGTCGATTCCCTGATGAGAGCGATCCAATTAAGAGATGGAGGAGCTGCTGACTTTGAAGTGGCCGCATACCCTTCTCCTCCACAGGTAGACGAAGAAAAGTTCGACTTGCGTAAGAAGTCGCGTAGCCCAGAAGAACCCAAACCTGCCAGCGGCCGCCGGAGAAAGGAGCGGCAGAAACGGTACATTTGTGACATCCAGGGGTGTGGGAAGCGATGTGCTCAGAAAACCCAACTGGAAACCCACAAGCGTGCACACACTGGAGAGAGGCCTTTTGTAGGGTTCCTTGCTTCGAAATTTTCAACAAGAGTTTTCTGACTAACCTACCCCTTTCTCTTAGATATGTACGGAGCCTGGGTGTGGTCAGGGATTCACTCAGAGAGGTAACCTAAAGGTAAGACTCCGCGCGGATAATACTATGCTATACTACATCAGTATACTGCTCAATCGTATACATGTATAAGCCCTAACCGAGAGAATAGACTCACATACGAAGTCACACTGGAGAAAAACCCTACCAATGTCCCATCTGTAAAAAGTCGTTTGGCCAACGAGGGAACGTGAAACCACACATGTTGACCCATTACAAAAACAAGCCATTCAAGTGCATTCTTGATGGCTGTCCGAAGACCTTTGGCACGAGGGGTAACTTAAAGGTTGGTAATTAGACTATATATCCCCTCCCCTCCCCCCTTTTTTCCAATCTTTTTATTTTTTAAAGGAGCAATTTTTAAACATATTAACACTCCTATGTAGCACCACCACAACATTTTCCACAAGGATACAATCCTGAATCTTACAACGAGATTCAGAAATCTGGCGCCCGGTGAAAGGCTTGTTCCCAAGGAGGAGAAACTGATGAAACACTTCGCGGAGCTCTACAAGAACAGCAACAAAGGTATCAAAGGGAGAGGCAAGCTTCGCAGGGGAATCTCCAAACCACAACAAAACCTAGACATCTCGAACATGGCGCATCACTACGCCGTCCAGCTGACACCGCCCATGCAACCTCAACTGTACCAATACCGCCATCCCATACAGCACGGTCTTCCATGTCCCGACAGTTTCGCTGACTCAGGTATGCCCCGAAATGTTCCGCTGGGAAATATGATGGTTCCTCGAGATCATCAAGTGGCATACGGAGTATACGAGATGGATCAAGCGAGCGTGACATCTGGTGATACTACCAATGCTTCCAACAGCCCAGGCGCTGTCTACGAGGGTGACCACGGTCGTCAGTATATTCCTCAGCACCACATGTATTAAAAAGCCTTGCCTTCCTTCGGCCTAGACATGGAAAGAGAGTAATAATACCGCGTTAATCCAACAATTTGAATATCAACTTTTATGACCATAACGACCCATCCAGCCACCAACCTCCCCCACATACCTACCTACCCAACCTACACATAAACCAAAAAGTTCCCGGGCGGTGTTCTTTTGCATTCGAGATACCACACGCACACACACACAAATGTTAATTCAGGGGAAGGGCCATCTGATTCATTCTTCTCTCGAGAGAAATAAAAGTCGAATTGCATACATTACATCTATCTACAATGGGCAGCCAACAGTACCGGCACATTTTTGAAGAACGCACACACACAAGATTTACCAAAAGAGAAAAAGCCAAAAAAAAAAAGACAGTCAGGACACACAAAAATAGTTCGCATACAAGTTCATCATCAAACTTTTTGTAATAAATCCCAAAGTTTATAAACCAATGATTCTTTCCACGAAGGGCGTCGTCTGATGCCAAGACAAGCAGAAGAAGAAGAAGAAGAAGACGATGAAAATTAAAAGAGAAATAAAAAAAGGGGACACGGAGAAGACAAGCTTTCGCTCGGCCGAGTCGTTGATATTGCCTGTTACGGTTTGGCAGATCCCCCTCCTTCTCCCCTTTTTTTTACTTTAATTCCTTCTTCTTTCTGTATGGCGGCTTGTTTCCTCGAACCCCCCCCCCCCCGTCTGGCCTCCCTCGCATCGACAAAAGCCGGCTTTTGTTTGGGATATATTTTTTATTTATTTATTTCTTATACCTACTTATATGATTGTTCTAATGGATTAGCGGGTTTCGGTTTTCTTCCCTCTCCCTTTTTTCATTTTTCCCCCTCTATTCCCTTAGACTCTACACGGTCCGGTTCAAATGTTTCAAAACCTCAGCTGTACCTTTTTTATTTTATCTATTTTTATTTATTTATTGATTCCTTCTTTTTTTTTTCTGTTCGGTTTATTTTGGTTTCATTGGGAGGAGGGTTACACTTGATCTCGGCTCGGCTATCTCCCATCTACCTCTACCGCACTATTCTCGTCATGGCACGCCCAGGCACTAGGATTGGACGGAGTAGATAGAGATTTGGGCTAGGTAAACAAGGGACTAGGTCAGGTAGGTAGGTACCTAGGTCTTAGGAAGGTAGGGGGAGGGAGAAGTACACTAGGTATGGGGGTTTTTTGGGTGGAGAGGGGAGGGGAGGGACGGCACGGGAACGGGATGCATGATCTGGTGGACAGCACAACATCGGCGGTGGGCGGCTTTTCACACACTTTGCTTTACTACCAATCAGGCATGAGATATCCTGGCGGCGCGAACAACACAAAAATACCCAAGGACCCGGGTTGGGTAAATCATATATTTTTGCATACATCACTTAACTGCCATGGGGGAGGAGATACCAGATTATTGCATCTAAAAGGTTACTAGACCTTTCTGCTGGACGGTGCATACCAAAGCGGGAGTTGTGGGCTCATGTTTTTTTTTTTTTTTATCTATTTGTCTATTTATTTTTTTGGATCTTTATCAAGTCAAGTTGCAATCAAGCCATCAAGCCAAGCCAAGTCAAGTCAAGTTAATTATATTGAGACAATAAACTGCCAGATTACTACCTACGTATTGTGAAATTGGAAAGCCAGGATCAATAGTATGATGTTCAGAAAATACCTAGGTACCTAAGCCTCAGCACCTCCTATGTATGTATGTAACATATAATCAAGTACGTAGTATCTAATTACTGAAAAACGTCTATTGATATTGGTGGAAGGGGGGGGGGGGGGGGGGGGGTTTAGCAGCGGTATGCCTGAAAACATCGCAATATAGAATCCCGTATCGTGCTTTGATGGCGGCACGGGATGTGTCAAAGTAATTGGCGTTTGTCGTCAGCAGCTATCCGCGTCTGATAGAGTCGGACTCTTAATATGTAGCGTATGTATGTACCAATCTCTTATAGATAGAATGGCGGTGGCTTTTCAATCTTCACGAACGGATGTATCTCCCGACGCCTGGTCAGCTAGGTAGACTGCAAGCCAACCTGCACGATATGCCAAATGTGATGCCTCATTTCTCTCGCCACGAGGCTCGTCTACCATGTGCTTGCATGTGTGTAGGTTAGTTAGTACATGTGTGTAAGTAGGTATGTATGTGTAGGTAGGTAGGTATGTATACAACATATGTATCTCCGTTCACGACCATTCCTAGGCTGCAGCGTTCTGATGACGATTCATGACGCGATATCTTCGACGACATAGACAAATGCCTCACCACTAGTCTGGAGTATAGGAACTATTCCTACTGGTCGACTACATAAGTATCCCACCCCCTTCGCGGCCAAGATATTGTATGTTCTGTATGGCACGTAAGTCACGTCAGTCACGTACAACTGGTACCAATGGATATACCTATTTCCTATCGAGGCACACATACGTAATTAATGTGAACAGCTGTGAAAACATCGGCTCTTCTTTTAGTCATCTATGTACATATATATGTATGCTTGTTTTCTGTGAAATACATAGTTCCCTATCGATTTCTGATGACCCCTTGCCCGTTTGTTGCTGCAAATCTGCAAATAGCTCATTTGGGATGTCCTGCTGCAGGTGGGCGAATAAAACGGTTGATTTTGGCTGGTCACCTGGTTCGACGCCTGGAAAGCCCTATGTATGGGCCAGTATGGCCCTCACCGCCAACCAGGTTCTTCCATACATAGATACGGTAGATATCTACACTACATGTAGGCTCGCTACCAGGTACCTATCTAGGTATTAACATAAGCTCGTGCTCGACCGAGGGTTTTCAAGGTTACATACATACTTACAATGTATGTACCATACCTACATGACATACCCTTTGTATACAGCCATGGATATACACTGTCACAAATATACAAGAAAATACTACGCAATGGTAAGGACATCCATGGACGAGCCTAGGCCCCTGGACCGTGAGTTTTTGTGAGTTTCGATATTGACGGGGATATGGCCTATATGTCCCGAAACAATGGGCGATCATCGTAAGCAGCTTCCAATGGACACTTTTGAGAGGCTTCTCAGAAAAATGACAGATCTGGCTTATCACATCTAAGCCACGGCACCGGGTTATTCACCAGGACACCGATCGTAGAGGCATTGCAGGAAGCTTGACAGGTCAACCGAGCTAGCCGCATACTGTATTGTCTGTATTGTACTCGTTCTGCCATTTCACAAAAACGGGGCATGACCTGGTTGGAGGCGATTGGCAAATGTTTCACATGCATAGTGGAGGGGTAAGGGCTGAGGAAGTGGTTGAGAAGCTAGTCGTGGGTGTTGAATCCCTTTGGAAGTTCAACCGGTCTGGTTGAGCTAACCTAGCCATGTAAGCTGTACTGTAGCCAGTCTGTACATAGTAGGTTAACCTAGATCATTCTACCCAAACATTCAAACATATGTACCAAGTCCGCTGTCGTTTGTGTCTCTGGGAATGATGCAGCTATGACGATAGTCACGGCCTTGTCAAGGCATTGTTTGAATAGCGGTGTACCTCGAGTACTTCGAGTACCTAGAGCACCAGGCGTAGAATAGATACCTAGGTAGTTGGAGTACGGCTTTATCCGCCATGTAGCGTAGAGACGAATAGGATATTGTCCCCTGCTTGGATTTCATACGCCTCTTCGCCCTCTAGTTCCCAGTCTGCATCGTTTATCAGAACTAGAATGCCAGGCCGCCTGGACCACACGCACACACACACACCATTAGCCCAGCTTACTATATGCCATATGCATCTTCATGTGCATCTTCGTATGCGTATTCTCATGCACCTTGATGGGAGGGGCTTGCATGATACGCGAGTTTCCCCGGACAATGCAAAAGGGACAGCGTCAAGAGGTTGATATCATCGGAAAGAATAGGACAACGAAAGGGGGGGGGGGTGAAGGAGTAACTTACAGATGATCTTCGAGGACGAACAGCTCCTTTCTAGCATCTTTCATGGTTCGTTCGCATAAATGATGGATCAGATCAGCGATAGTTGCCGGCTGACCCTCCTCGTTTGTAGCCGGGATAGATAAGGCAAGGCGACGCTGGTCTGAAAATAGCATCTCAAGGCCACCTCTAGAACACGGTCAGGAATCAGGAAGACGGCTAGGTACGTGAATATGGACCTCCATGTAGATTCGTGGCCCAACAGATGTATGTATGTAGGTAATGATAATGAAGCGTTGGGGTTACCAGGTAAGGTAGGTATTGGGCTGTGTATGTACTTACGTGAACTCTACCACGATGGAGAGCTTGGGCACTTCAGCTTCGACTTTAGACGAAGTCATTGCTGGCGTTTGGCTCGTTTCTGTCGTGATGGACATTGCTACAGATGGCTTTTCTGCGTGTGTACCTTGGCAAATCTGTGCATGGACATACAAACTTCTCAATTGGGATGACCTTGCCCTTGTCCTTGTCCTTGTTCAACAATAAGAACAGTACATATATCAATAGATAATAGATAATAGGTAATAGGTAATAATAACTTGATGACTGGATTATATGTAGAGATAGCTGAAAATACGTATAGCATGTTAACTAATACTATGCATATATATAAGATTTAGACTCTAGAGGCTTATTATCATGCTTATGACGGTAATATACTTGTATAAGCACTTATTCATTTAAAGTACTGTACTAGGTTAGTAAGGTAGTTCCCAAGGTCGGTTATTCTCGGGCCGAGCCGAGCTCTACTCTGAGGCAATGAGGTCAGTGATGGAAATAGCGATATTAAAAAATTAAAAAATTAAAAAAATAGATAAGAAAATGATTAAGTAAGCTCTGTACTCACGACTCAACTAAGACCTCTGTCCAGTGTCTACCGAATTAAATAAATTAAACAATAAGTCTCATAATGTAATCAACTCCTTTTTTTTTTTTACCCCAAACCCATCTCTATGACACAGAATCATGCGGGCCTTTCTCCCGCCTCCGTCGAGACCATCGCCGGTCTCTCCGCCGGATCCATAGCCACCCTCGTCGTCCACCCCCTTGACATTGTTAAGACGCGGATGCAAAGTACATACCCCCCCCCCCTTTTATCCAACCCTAACGCCCGTGCATAAAACTAACATACATACACTCCCCCCCAGTCCACCAGCGCACCACCACAGGCTCCCAACATGCCCCAACCACCACCTCCCTAATCCGCGCGCTAGCGCAGACGCCAAACCCGTGGGCCTCGCTCTACCGGGGCCTGACGCCGAACCTGCTGGGCAATGCCTCGAGCTGGGCGTCCTTCTTCTTCTTCAAAGCGCGCGCCGAGCGGTTCATCGCGGGGCTCAAGTCTCCTGCCCCTTCTTCATCTTCACCACCACAACTAACCCCACGTGACTACTTCGCCGCCTCCGCCGCCGCCGGCCTCGTCACCCAGGTCCTGACGAACCCGATCTGGGTGATGAAGACGCGGATGCTGTCGTCGGACCGCTCCGCCGCCGGCGCGTACCCGAGCATGTGGGCCGGCGCCGCGCGCCTGCTGCGGGACGAAGGGTGGCGCGGGTTCTACCGGGGGCTGGGCATCAGCCTTTTGGGGGTCGCCCACGGCGCCGTGCAGTTCGCCGTGTACGATCCCGTCAAGAGGCTTTACTTGGCTAAGCGCAACCAAAAACAACAACAACAACAACAACAGCAAATATCTCTTCCCGGGCGCCAAGAAGACCATCATGTGCAGGCACAGCAAACAACGAGGATGAGCAACGAGGCGACCGTCGTCATCTCCAGCATCGCCAAGCTGGTCGCCGGCGCCGTCACCTACCCTTACCAGGTGATCCGCAGCCGCCTGCAGAACTACGACGCCGACGCTCGGTTTGGGAGGGGCATCCAGGGGGTGGTGAGGAAGACGTGGAGGGAAGAGGGGTGGCATGGATTTTATCGTGGCATCGTACCCGGAGTCGTCAGGGTCTTGCCTGCGACGTGGGTTACGTTCCTGGTATACGAAAACATGAAATATCACTTGCCTCAGTGGTCGTCGACGAGCTAGCAAAACACCTTGCTGTTATAATTGGGATTATCTTTTCTTCGCATTTGTACACTAGGAGTTATACCCCCGAAATACCCATCTTCGCCAGGATAGATGCTTGGAAGTGGATGGCCATAAAACGATAACGATGACTGGCTTTATCCCAGGGCACACAATTACTACTGCTCTTGTTCATGCCAGAATCAATTAATCTATCTCGTACACTCCTAAACGTAGGGCGGAAATGCTTTCCTTTGCATTGAGCATATGCTATGACGCCCTTGTCCCAGATCAATCTGGGCTAACACCGGGTTTAGGTTGAATATATTGCAGAACCCCTACACTTGTTTCTCACTGAGAGACCAGTTTCTCCTGCAAAAACGCCTCCTCAATGGCTGATCGTCGCCGGAACACTCGGAGCCATCTTTCGCCCCAACGCTTCACGAGGTCCTCCCCGTCATCAGACACCACAGGATCCATCATCTGGTCCTTGGTTCCTTGAGCCCAGCTGATCAAGGCATCCTCCATGTTCTTGAAAAGCTCACGCATACCGGCCACTTCTTCATCGGTGGCTTCGGTGACACCACCGCTAACCACTTGCCTCAGGCGACTGGTCACCTTTACCACGGTACTGAATACTAGCTCGAAGACCCAGGCTTTGCTAAGGGCTTGACCAGATGGTCCTGCACGGTCACTTATTAGGGCCCAATCGATGACTGCACCGGGTGTGATGATCGAGTAGTTGAGCAACTTCTCGATGATGGTGATGGCGACGCCTGGGTGTGCAGACCAGTAGGCCATGACTGCGGTAATAATCTGTGCCCTCGCAGCCTCGGATGCCGCTCCAGCATCGAGAAGCCTGTCCTTCGTACGCTCGATACAAGCGAGAACATGTGATAGCGATTTGGACCCTACCCAGCAAACTGCAGTCATAAAGACATCCGTACTGGAAACGAGAGGATCAATGGATTGATCTAAGGCCGCGGAATGTATACGATCAACAATGGGCTGAATCTCCTCATCTGGAGCCTTGCGCTTGAGAAGAGCGGCAATTTCCTTGCCTTCCGTGGCAAATGGCGTATCTGGATATCTGTTTAGTATGCTTACTAGACCAATTTTGATGGTTCAACTTACGATCATCGTTGTACTTGAATTTTGGCATATCTTGCTCCTTCTCAGGACCAATAAGTGCCTGATAAGGCTCGGGAAGTGTTCCCTTGATACGTTGGGCAAAGCTATGACGTATCTCCTTATCCAAAGCACCTAGGATGAAAGCCTTGCGTGGGTGCATATCAGGGAGGTCGACATCCTCTACCCACTCAATCCACTTCCACATGAAGCCGAAGTTGCTGAGATGATGAGTGAACCAGTCTAAGAAACGGTAACAGAGCTCCATATCCAGACGGTGGATGTTTTGGTAAGAATATCTGATAGCCCGACCCAGACTAGGAGCGACGGCTCCAGGTGCAATCTTGCATGCCTCTGTAAGGACCGAGTGGTAGTAAACTAGCTTGTGCTCTGGCGTTGGAAGCGCAAATAACTGCGAAAAGACTGCGTCGACCGCGACATCCTCTGGCTTCCAAGTTGACCTGTCCTCTTCAACATCCCGAAGTCGGTCGAATGGCGTGGCACGTTTAATAAATGTGCCAGGAGCAAAATAACAGTCGACATCTATCAGGAAGCGCGCCGTGGCACCACGGTTAAAGTCTAGGACGTTGATGGTGTCGAGGAGCGCGTCCCGAATCAAACATGAGGCGATATTGCTAACAGGAGGAACTGATTCGATTTCCTGATTGACGTAGACCGAGAAGTAGATCTCGGGGAATAGGGGGCGAGGACCAGCGACAACCTTCTCTGGAATGGAAATGCTCGGCAAGGCATGCTTTTGTGCGTTGTCCAGTTTGTCTTGCTGTTCAGCTTCCTCGGGAGGCATCTGCCACGGTCTTGGCAGACAAGATAAACCCCAACCGTTCGCTGCCTCGTTTTGGAGCTGTTTTTGGAGGAGACCAATTACACTCATATTCGCGGTCGGACTCTCGGTGCCTTCCTCGGCATGGTAGGGATCGATGAGGACTTGTAAAGCATGCGGCTCGGAAGCAATAACGTCAGTTTTGTCCATGAGCTCAGCCGCCTTCTGCTGCCACCGGGCAGGCGCGGTCGACATTATATATGGTATCGTGAGAAGAATGATCTTGACGAGTTCGGTACCAATTGTCTGCAAGCATGTGTCAGCATAGGCAATTAGTCAAATGTACTGGCTCTGCCATAGCAATGTAGCGATATACTTACGTCATCGGAGCTGGCAGTCTGGAGGTCAACGGCTCGACTGAAAAGCTCTTCAAGTAGTGGGAATAAGCCGTCGCCCTCCAAGCAGCTCTGTAGGCATGCTAGGAACTTGAGATATAACTTCACGTCTCGCCATTCACCCACTCTCACCTTCTCCCCGGTCGAATTGACGACGGCACCAAGGAGTTCATCTACAATCTCAGGCTTTAGAGTGTTGATGACAAGTACTACAGCCGCAACGAACGGAGTCTTGAGCGGTTGCTCAACGAGCATCTGTGGGATCAATTCTAGGAAGTTGGTACGAAGCTCTTGATCCTCATAGTTATCGGCAACGACGTGGGCAATAGATTGAACCTCCTCATGCCAGCGTCGCACAGGTGATTCGGCAAGACCTAGAAGCTTTTTGCGTATACGCACGGGAAGCGGCGCATCAAAGCGTCGTCGCTGCGGTCGGCGGTCATGGTCATCGTCGTCTAAGAAACGCATTAGAAAAATATTAGGCGGCATGCGATGATGCCAATCCAAATTGCCGTAGGGTAAGGGTATATGTAAAGAACCGGGCTCCTACCTCTGTAACGCCGCTTGCGATTGTGGTGGCCGCCACCTGATCGTCCTCTGTCGTAGTCTGTCATTTCGTATGTTGATATTCAATCAATCTCATGAAAATGTGTATTCTATAAAAAAAGGAATCGGGGGGTTTGGATGATAATTGAAGATCGTTGACAGTAGGTAACGCTTGCTATGGTGAACCTGGAGGATTGCTGGACGAGTTTAATATTCCAAGGTTTGAAGTTGTACGTTGTGCTGCAACTAACAGAGCTTGGTCGTGACGGGAACACGCAACGCGCAAAAGTTCGAAGCACGGACCTTTCAAACTTCGAGCTTCTATCTTATCGTCCTAACCTACCTTCTAAGTAAATATATGCATATACACATACAACCATTACTCAAGGCTTGCATATGTCATATGACATATGTACCTTAGGTTACTACTACATGTACATAGTACGTATTTGACCTTTTACTCAAACCAATCAGTTCATCAAGAAAGAGCCTTGGGCTGACCCCATGGACAATAATCCCACCCCCATGACGTTACTACTTCAAGTTGGTATTGTATGTGCCACCATTGCCTTCCAGTAGCATCAACTTGGTGTGCCTACACGTACACAGTACACACTATGTAGCACTAGGTAAGTACATACCTATGTTAATGGTTTTACATAGAGATATAACATCATTGATAGGGCGTCACCATCAACAACTAAATTTCTTATACTTGAAGAAAATAATAAAAATCACGGGAAGCATCATCTTATTGGGCCCAAGTAGTTTGTCTTCGTCACTGTGTGCTGCAGTCGCGGCTGTCCTCTCTTCCTTGATGTCTGAGCAGAAAATCCGGTCCTCCCTTTTAGTTAGCCACCTTCCCGTTTCTTGACGCACGTAACGGTCCGCCTCTCGATGGAAGAAAGGAAAAAGAAATCTTTTAGATCATGCCGAGTTTCCATAAACTTTGTCCATTCCCCATGCCATTGCTGCTTGGTCCGCGAAGGCTTGCCGATGTTCACACCATGTTCCATCTCGTCGCCCAACTACAAAGCCAACTAGCACCCCACCGCATACACTGCTCAGAATAACATATACGCCATTGTGCCCCTTTAACATGTGTAGGGAATATCTCCGAAGGCCACGCCAGGGGGGATCCAGCCTCCTTGTGGTCGCCCACCACAAGGCTAAAGCGACTTATCGAACAGATAAACAAAAGCAAATGCCGTCTCAGTCATGCATAGGAGAAGTCTAAGAACGCCCGCTGCGCACGCCATATTCCAGTCAGTGCCACTAACTATTTGAAGCACTTATCCCCTGCCATCGAGATTTCAAAACCGAGCGGTGCGTGCTCAAAGGCCTCAGCAAACACCGTGGAACCTTCCACAGCACACCAAATTTTCCGGGGGACCCAGCCTCTCAAACTTTGCAATGGATTTTCCTTGGATCTCATCATGCATTGGGCCAAAAGAGCACACCGACGTCGTCGGGGAATCGCGATTTTCGGTTCCGCAGTTCTACTGAACGTCGATCCGATAGGTTTAAGCCATTTATAGGCTTAGCCAGTAAGTGAATGCTGAAGCGATTTCCCAAGAGATGATGCATACATACGTGAAACGAGAGCATAAGGGGAAAGTCCGATGTTCAGTCTAATTTCGCCATCATGTCTTGCTTCGCCATGGGGGTGAAATTATCTATATCGAGACCGCGCGATGCTAAGATCGGTTTCATGTGGGGAGGAACAAGCTTTTGGTTCAGCGGCGGCGCAATGGATAATTCTATCCGTGGAAAATAGACTATCAGTAACGACACAATAGAGGAACAAAGGGGTACTGTCACTCACCGTGCCTTGAGAAGTCAAATAGACTCGGCAAATCCTTTAATTGGCCACTCGAGTGCCGCGAATCCGGGAGCTTCGTGTTGGGATTCCGCAGCTCATCGAAGAACGGATGCACCATTGCGTCAATAGCCCCAAGACGTTCTGTCGGCGTGTATTCTAGCAACCTCGCTATCAAGTCTAGAGCGTTTGCGTCCGCCTTACGGAACACCTTACTGAACGGATGAGGCTTGATTTGCGGGAATTTGTGCTCCATGTAGTTCGGATTCATAGTACGAATCTGCTCGCGCGTTGGAGTTCCCAGTACCTTAATAATCTCTACCAATTGATCGATGCCAGATTCTCCTGGGAAAAGAGGCTGACCCAGCATTAATTCGGCCATCACACATCCAGTCGACCAGACATCTGGGAACCATGTAAGCTACTATCATTCGAACAAATATCAACGTAACACAACTTACCAATTTTGGTGGTGTAGTTGGTAGCACCAAAAATGAGTTCGGGTGCTCGGTAATATCTAGAGCAAATGTACGAAACGTTGGGTTCGTTCTCAACTAAAATCTTTGCACTTCCGAAGTCGCATAGCTTGAGCACACCCGTGTTTGGGTCCAGCAGTAAATTCTGCGGTTTGATGTCACGGTGGCAGATTCCTTGAGAATGAATGTAGGCCAATGCTCGGAAGAGCTGATAGATATAAAGTTTCACCTCAAGGATAGGCATAGTCGACTTCATCTTGTTGAAGAAGCGCGAAGCTCGATAGACAGTTTCGGGTACAAATTCTTGCACCAGATTTAGGTAGACTTCGTCCTTCTATTTGTTTGTTCAATTAGCGGTCCCAGCAGGTATATGTTAGACCGATTTGTCAACTCACTCGCTCGCCGTTGGAATAATAAAAGGCCTTCAACTGTACGATGTTGGGGTGTCTAACAATACGCATGATCTGAAGTTCACGGTTCTAAACACACAGTTATTAATGAACTTGGTACGCATCTTGCAATTGCGACAGGAGTACCAACCTTGAACCTCTTGTCTTGCAAGACACGCTTGATGGCTGCATCTTCGCCTGATGGAGAGAGCTTCGTCTGGAACACAACACCAAAGGAGCCATTGCCAACAATTTTGCACTGCGTATATTGAAGGTCTCTTGTTTCACCGGTAACTCCATCTTGTACCTTCTCACGGATGACCTCTATTTCCTGTTTTAGCACCGGCTCACCAGGAGCTTGAAGGAAAATGGAACATGGGATAGCTTACCTCCCATCCGGAGGGTATTGAAAGCCGCTGTTGGGCGGTTTTGCGCCATGTTGGAGGGCTTGGAGTATCGGTCGCAAAACAGTACGATGCAGAACGCCTCTTGAGCGTTAGCAAGAAAAGGCGGCAGGTATCAGACGCGCGGATCGAAACGCCGTGTTGGGCGACAAGATCAATAGGCAATTGGGTCGGAGCTATGTCTCGGTCGCAATTGACAGGTAACGAGATGGTGGGTCAATCTCTTAGATTGGCAGAGGAAGAGGAGGCGACACTGAAGTGAAGTGCCGGTCGGACCAGAACAAGTGTGGGCCGGGCTCGAAGAGGTGTTTGCTGAATTGGGAGAAGAAAAGAAGAATGTTTGGCTACCGACGTTGATAAGATGTCTTAATTTCCTAAGATGCAAGCGATTTAGGATCTATGTAAATTCACGAATACACGAGAACGGAAGGGGTCTTGGTTTTGGTCTGGTATCGCGAGAGGGCGGAGGTTATGTAGGTAGGGATTCTAGCGGGGTTGCAGGTGGTCGAATGACGGAACGTGACTTGAAAGAAACTTTTAGGTGTCCACTGCCATTCAAAAAGTAGGTCGAGCTACCTTTACAGGTAATACCTACTTTTAAATAAGGATAGGGCTAGACGAACGACTAGACAGGCTTGTGGTAGGTAAGGGAAAGGGGTTCAGACAGATGAAAATTTAAGATGTTTGTGCGTATGTGGGAAGATTGCTTGAGATAAAAGTATGAAAGTATGAAAATATGTATTTTGGGTAGGTGGACATGTATTGATCTGGGACGGTAAGAACGTGGCGGGGGGGGACTATGCAATAATAGATGGGTAGGTTGGACTTTAGGTAGGCATAGTTTTAGGTAGACAAGACTCCAAGTAGGCTGGTAAAATAGTAGGTACTATACCTACTACTTACTATACAGTCTATGCCTAGTACTGGGAATATTGGGAGTACTGAGAAGTACTGAGAGTACTGGGGACGTTATGTAGGAAGTGGACTCACCTTGTGGGATGATGGCACGGAAGGAACTCAAACTATCTTTCAGGTACGATTTTTGACGGCTTGCTGTGGCACTGCAATTAGCTAGACTGCGAGAAAGATCAAGAATAGAAATATACATGGGTGACGGCATCATCGAAATCGAAATGGCTGCAAGACGAGACCAGTTCCTAATCAAGGTAATGAAAGGCAGTTAGAAACATCCAGGGATAGAAATTTACATACTAAACGTGAGTGGCGATGAGTCGCGCAGGTAGGCGTTGGGGAAATGGGAAGAAATATGGTAGGTTAGAGGGTATGAGATATGTAAAGATGGTAAGAGGGTAAGAGGTTTGGTACTAGGTAGATAGAATGTAGGTTGGTAGGGCAGGTGGGAAGGTGGGAGATGGATGTGTTTGAATGGCCCAGCAAGAGTAAAGAGGAGGGGTCGCAGCTGGAGGGAAGGAAGGTACCAAAGTACCAAGCCACGGGTACGTCCAATGATGTATCTTTAAAAAAAAGACGGCCGCAGTCGGTTGTGGATTACAGACAGCCTGAGGTATATGTATGTACAATACCTTGGGAAAGTACATACATATGTATTACATATGTATGGTAGTATGGTACAGTGCTATATGTACCTAAGGCACAACCTTCAATGTTATAAGCACGGACTTGAAGATGCAATAATCATTGTAGTATTTCCATGTAGCTTCCATACCTACCTACATATTGCGAAGTAGGCGATGCGTGTGAAAAAAATAAATAAATAAATGAAAGGATAGAAGGGGAAAAGAATAGAGAATAATGAAAATGAAAATAAAATACAAAGGTTGCCAAAAGGGCCAAAAGGGCCAAAAGGGCCAAAAGGTTGTCACCAAGATTTGGGTCTCGCTCGAGATGACGGCTCAAAATACATACATGCCTACCTACATAACCCGACGAATGAAGAATCCCCAATCACCAGTCAGGCTCCCAGCAATACATACATAGTACTATATCTATGCAGAATTATAAACGTTAGTACAGGCCAGGTCCTAAGGTCGTGTGTAGGTACCCTACGATTATCAGTACGATAGCCTATGATTTGAAGACAGCATTGAATGTGGATGTCAGTGCTAACATTAAACTTGGTTCAAACTAAGACTACTTCCTGACCTCTCATCCCATCTACTATACGTTGAATGTTTTGTACCTTACAGGCCTGCGTACATACACATACGTGCCTTAGGTATTAAGGCTATTGAGATCCAAGATGGACCGGAACACATACCTAAAAGCAAGGGTACTAGGTAGTAAGTAGGGTACATACCTCAAGATACCAACTTGATCTTGATCTCCCAACTTCTACGTTCCTACTATGTCTATCGTATTCATGATGGCTTCACAAAACGTTGACATTTTCATATTCCAAGTTGTGATCGTGGAGTAATTTCTTATTATTTTTATTTTGGTTGAGGCCTCGACGAGTCTCTTGTTGAGTCACCTGTACACACACCTACCTATTCTTACCTTACAAGGGTACATTATGTATGCGCTGGGCTGCTGTTTTATGCAGACCACGGATTCTTTCGCAATGGCCTCTTGCGACGGAAGGGACATTGACTCGTCGAGGATATGCCTGCAGATAAGTCTCTCGAACGACCCTACATATAGAAACAATCAAAGCATTGGTCGATTTCTTTCGAGGGAAACTGGGTGCATTGTCTGTTTTCCATTTTCCATTTTCCATTTTCCATCCTTTATCTTTGATACTCTGTCTTGGATTCGAGATTACAATTGTCCAATCTTTCCTCCCACTCGCTAGGCATTGAGGCTCGACATGTACATATAACAATATCTGGCAAATAATAGCAGAGTGAGTACCTGCAAAATTCAAAAATTCAGAAATTAATAATGTTTATAATGTTTAACCCTTGGCAGACGTACACCAGTGTGCACGTACCTTAGTATGCAGAGGTGGCCAGGGATTAGAAAATTGGGGCGTGCTCATGTGGTCTGTTCAGATTCAAGACGGACGAACAGCTAGGGCGCTAAAGACTCGGCAACCGAAGTTTAAGTACTATGTAGCGTCAAGTAGGTAGAGTAGGTAGAGTACGTCGAGTACGTAGACACTGCATTCAAGTGGCAGAGAACATTGAATGATTGAACAAATGAGAACAGTGAACCTTGTAGTAGATGTCGAAATCTGCAGGGTCGGAGACTGGGCCCTTGGCTATCAACTTACTCGACCAGCCAGCTACGTCTTATTAGATATTTGACGGGCTTTAGATACATACATACTATGTACTTACATACATACATCCATACATACATACGATAGCATGGCCGTCAAGAGGAACCGGCGATCTGGATACCATGGAATCTAGCGGCACTTTCATCACATGATTTTCTTTTCTAGGCATTTTATTCAACGTTTCCTCTTTTCCCACAGATGGCTGTCCCAGGACTACATATGGAATACCAACATGAACACTAGTACGGAGCAGCACATACATATATGCTATGTATGCTATGTATGCTATGTATGTACCTAACAAAGGTTCTGTTGGCCTACTAGGCACTGCATATATGTGTATGTATGTACTAGGGATGTGATGTATGCGTGCTAAGTAGGTAGGTATCCATATAGGCATTGAGAAGGAGTGAGGTACTTCTCTCAAAATAGGCCAATACATCATAGTGTCGGGAAACTATAGGAGAACTATAGGAGATACACAAACCCTTGTCCATTAAAACAACCGCCGGCGTAGCACATGGGCGATTCATCTGTGTAACTCAGACGCGGGCCTACATACATATGTCTGAGCAACGAAGCGCATGCTCATCGTGACGAGAAAAGGCTTCCGAGTTAGCCTCTTAAGTAAGAGTTCGGAAATATCTACATGTATCTCATCAATCCATCAATGTTATCCATGGCAGGACAGGAAGACTAAGCAGGCGTCCGCAAACCAAATCCAGCTCTTGCATGTTTCTTCCGGGCATACGATCATCGATGGATGGAGATGAATGGATGACAATAGATGTACCTACGTTAGCACTTATAGTACTCTTCATACAATGGATGTTAACAACTTAACATATCCATGGATGATGGATGTATTAACCTTGAATGTAACCCCCTTGCCATTCATGGATACCATGGATACCATGGATACAATGGATGGATTGCAAAAGAGATCCCCCGCCTCGCAACCCCTCGTCCTTTTTTTTCTTTTCTGGATCTCCCACAAATTCCTTGGTTTCCCAGCTTTTTGTATACCCAATTGCCCCGCACTTGGACTATGTAGGTCGGGGTGCTCCCACACAGAACCCCTACCTTAACATTGAATACTACATTAGTACCCTTACCTCCCTGGGAAGATTTGGAAAAGAGAGAGAAAAAATGGGAATAACTAAGACTTAAGGACGATAAACGAACACGATCTCCACCAACTTTGCTGTCCCGATGGATATTGGAGAGAGTGCACGAGCGAATTGATCTTTATCTTATCAACGGTGAAATACATATATGTATACATACCTACCTACCCTAGGTATGATATGTACATATGTATGTACGTAGGTCATTACTTATTACATCCGCGAATATGTAATAACCAGGCCTTAGACGAACAGGCAAATCCCTGCTCACAGCCCGATACATCATGAGACTTTCTTGCTCCGAGACAACGTCAGAATCCAGGCGCTCTTTCTGCTTTTCTTAGTGCCGGCGAATAGATCCGTCTGCTCCACTTGCATCCATCTTTTTCAATATGTACGTACTACGTACTACCTAGTTAGTAGGTAACCTTTAAGCTTACCTACCTAGTACCTAGTAGTAATACCTACCTTAGGTACATACGCTCGGTACCTATGGTCCTATATAGTATATGTAACCTATCAGGTAGTACTTACCCTATGCAGCTATCTAGTATTAGCACTACTTCCAAGCTTCTTTTGAAGTTTTGTTTCTTTCAATCTGCTTTTTAACTTCAGAATGTTCTTGCTTCTAAATGCATACATCCATATCTACTCTTCCTTCTATTTCTGTTTTTGTTACTATGTCTGTGTCTGCTTCTACTTCTCTGTTTCTACTTTTGCTTCTGCTTTCGCTTAACTATCAGTACCTATAAGATTCGATCATGGTAGTTTGTAATTGGTCAGTCACTTATCGAATGCTCTCCATTTCTTTTCTTAATATGTGTACAATACCTATGCATACTGGAACCGGCATCTTCAACATTCAAAGTTGTAGCCCGTTTTGTCTGTCTAGTCTTGTCCTTCTGAACTATTGCCAACCAAGGTTGGACATTTGGACCCTGCGATGCCACCACCAAGCTAGCGAACATCGCCAGGAACAAGACCAACCAACCGGTCGAACAGGTCTGTCTGCAACGCACATGTCGCACTTAGCAGCAGTACATCCTAGTGGGGATACACACTACATACTCATAGTACTATCTATGTATGTGCATTCAACTGCATTGTGTGTAGGTTAGTAGGTATGTAGTGTGTATGTAATGCGTACTGTACGAAGTACATGCTGGGTATGCATGTATGTAGGCATGTATGTATGCAAGAAGACACACGACAACACGCGAATTTCGAATTAGGCCAAAGTGGACTCCTACTCTGGATACCCCTTACAAGAAGAGGTCATGAGACCTTCAATCTGCACTAACCACAAACTTTGAAGAGAGAAATTGCGCGCGGAATATTGGCCCGTCACCTGGTCCTACTATGGTACATCAATTGACAATTGACAATTGGCGTCATAGGTGCCCCCTATTCTAACCTTAGGCCCGTTTTAGTCCAAGTTCGTCCTAGACTCCCCCGTCCAGCACTTAAGCCAGCCCAGCCAAGCCAGCAAGCAGCACTTTTCACGGTCTGGTATTTACCAGGTAAGCCGTCCTTTTAGTGACCTTGCACTTATCCCTACCCCGTTTACACCCCGTACCCAGCTGCAAGTCACCCAAGTTGCTCTTCGCTTTTGGTCCGTCACAGGATGATTATGTGTATGTACTGTAGGTACATACATAACCTTTGCTGCTAACATTGAATGAGGAACATCTCTTGCCTCTTCGCCACGGCCCTTCTTGAATGGTTGTCGATGCCATTGACGATGGATTCAAGATGCACTGCTAAGCCTAAGCAAATTCAGGCATTTGCGTGCCTAACGCTCGTCTGGTATCAAAATCTTGAGGCGAATTGGGCCGTGATAGCTGCATGAGTTATTAACCCGAGGACCAGAACCCCGTTTACTCGACCACATCGTCATCATGATGAGCCGGGCTCGAAAGTTAAGTTTCTATACGGTATAGCTTAGTGCATTGTCACCGAGTATTCTACTTACCTACCTATCTACACCTTACATACAATCACATACCTATAGCACCTTCAGTTTCCCCTCCTTAGGTGCCTATACTTTATGCATCATGACTTGTGCCACAGCTATAGGAAGCAGATGCTAAATAGATTCCGCCTAAAATAAACTCGATGAGCCCCCCCAAGACCCATGTCCTCGTCCGCAGCAAGACAGGGCATAGGGCATAGGGCATAGGTAATGTATAGTACCTTGGTAGGTAACTTGTCAGCGGCTTCTACGCCACTACTGCTAGCTTGTTACGTTCCTTTTATGACTGATCACAGACGTCTGGCTGAGATCCAATAGGGTTGAAGGGTCTCGAGCCTCCGTCATTTTAAAAAAGCCGGCGTACGCAAAAAATGACACACCACGTGAACAAGACAACATCGTAAAACAGTAGCGCCAAGGCCGAACCCAAACTCGTCGTCTCTAGGTATGTATTTGTATGCACGGTATGTACATAGGTAGTCAGGGTTTTGCCAGTATGAACACATTGCCTCTGTGGCACTATGTGGTCCGGGTGGCTCCCCTTTGCCGCCGCATCGGGGCTTATTCAGAAAGAAGATCATGCAATCTTTGGTCTTGGGATCTACTACTCAAAGCGATCTAGGCAGCATGTGATCGATTTAAGGGGAAAAGCACGGCTCAACTGGAGCATTCCGAGGAACGGTACCGGAGTCCACGTCGTGTCTCGTGTCTCGTGACACAAAAGACATAGTAATCCCACCGACATAATTCGGAGCATATGACGGTCTCAGAAAGAGGAGCGTCGTCAATCAAACTTTCCCGCCATTTCGACTCTGTCAAGCAATGACGCTCTCAACCATCTCGTTATCAGAACCACCATATTCCAAACTACATATAAACGACATCCCTTTTTGACTTTCGACGGGTGTAATGAAGAAGTTGGCGAGGAAAATATACGATCCTAATTAATGTGATGCACTATCAGCCACAGGGTCCAGCTTTACCTACAATTCTGAGCAACCCATCAGGCGCCCTTTATAACCAGACACGATTACGCATATCAGTGCTTCTTGGGAGGCTAACGTAAAGGAGCGCTTAACTATCTACCCCGGTCTGTGAGGCGACTGATAGGCCTGCCTTCCCGAAGATAACAAAAATTATCCAAGCAATATTGTCTTTGTCTTGTCCACGCAGCTCGAGAAAACAGTTGCTAATGATTGTTCTCATTATAATACGGTCAAGGGATCTGTTGAAGACGTCCTGCAACACTTCATCAAGTGACTTCCCTTTTACTGCAAGATGCGGCGGTTGTCTCTAGCTTTCAGTCATACCAAGCTAGAACCCAAGCCTACCTACCTACCTACATAGTTAAATATTTCGGGTATGACACATCGGCAAATCAGGCTGGTACGACGAAATTTCTGAGCGGCTGTCCACATACTGCGGTATAACGCCCATACATTCGGGAACTGCGCAAACATGCTGGGCTGATTTTTTTTTGTCGGTCTCTTTTAATCCCGATTCGAGTCAAGCAATGTTGTCCGAGCTCCTGAGTCCTCGATAACGACACCATGTGGATGTGCCCTTGAAATTTGACCAAGATGAACACGGGTAGCACCGACCTGTCTCGACCAGACGGATACACCTAGGTAACCCAATTGCTTGGGCCGCAACCACGGTAAAGATGGCGCATCGGGAGAGCTATTCGGACAAGCAAGGTGTATACGGTATATTCCATCACCGATACTACCGCCACGACACTGCTAGCATTGGCAAATAGGGGCTTTCGTTCATAGGGCTACGTGCGCATGCAACATCGTTCCGCACGTTCTCTCCCCCTATCTAGACGGGACCCCAGGTGATCCGTGCTTGAAGAAAAATCGAATTTGCAGGTTCATATAACACGCGATAATTACTATCACATGCCCTTTACAATCCATCAATCACAGAGATGTATGAATTCGTTGTCCCTGCATCTTATCTCTCACGACGCCTGGGCTCTTGGTACACCGCAACTTCCAATTCGTCCCGTTGAGCTTATGCATCAATCGACTCTCCTAGACATGGCGCATGTCTTGTTTACTAGTCGAGGAGAGTCTTAGATATATGCCGACACCCATATAGCCATGGGTTCATTCTTTCACGGGCGTCTAGTCTTGCATACAAACTTCCAACGGAGCATCGATCTATAGATGCGCGCCCTGTCACGTCATGACCGGTCTTATGATTAAAGACGAGCTAAGACGCCTACGGTATGTTATATGTCTGTCTATTCATACCGTGATATCGAATATAGCCCTCCTATTTGGAACACAACTTTTCACGCTTTCGGGTTCTACGTTTCCGACATCAGATAATACACCTGGGCGCAGAGCAGAATTAAATGCATCTTTGACTTAAAGACTGCGTATGCCATAGCTATTCTTATACTTCAAGTATGTGCCATCGTGCTATAAACGGGAGATGGAGCAATTAGATCCCTTGTCGAAACCCCCCGTTGGAACGAAATCAGGGATCGGTCTTGCATGGGGAATGCCCTGGGATGGGCCGTCAAGGAGCAGCCTTACCCTTGGGGTCTTAAGTCGCCTACCTTTAGTCTTATATTTTCGGAAAAGGAATGAGACCAACGGCACACATTTTAGGACGATCGACGACAGCGACGCGACAGCTTCTATAAAATCGAAGCAAAACCAAAGTCGAAAAAAACAGAAAAAGAATTGGTAAGGTGAGTCCTGGTCTGCATTATGTCAGTCAATCATAGCTATGTACTATGGTGACTCAAACTCGAGATGGCTCGGATCCTGTGTGCCAGTCGTTTATGTGTGACTCAGATAAGACAGAAACACGCCTACTATTTCCAAGTGGAGGCGTCTGCTATATGTATGATCGAAAGCTCACGCCAAGCATATCAATCCATCATGAAGGCTTGGCATCCAGCAAAATGTCACTATTCTCAACTTCTCGTACCGGATCCTCCTCATGTTCGTTCTCATACATGGTAGAGCTAATACAGCTCATGTCAAGAATGGCTTTTTTTATTTCCTTTTTTTCTCCCTTTTTCAATGCGAGTCGAGAAAGCAGGACATTGAAAGCATCACCTAAGGTTAATCCGGTGAGGCTTCGCGATGAACTAGCTTTTCGATGCTAACACCATCAGCTCAGCTGACTCCAATTACATATCTACCTACATATCTAAGTACACATTCTAACCTGGCGGGAGCTCTGGACAGCTCACTGCGTCGCTGAGTCAATGGAAACATCCGGTGTCGATGTAAAGAGAGCCATATAAAGAGAGGTTGCAAAAAGCCAAGCCTTCATCTATCCCAGCAGCCCAGTAAAGCTATTCTTGGGAGGTCGTTGATATCCGGCTTAATGCCGCGCAACCCATTAAAAGCGACTCGAGTGTTAAGAGAGCCAATCATTGGTCATGGGGAGTTGGTGACTGCCAACCCGAAAGGCCTCTTGATCATCTGGACCAGCTGAGAAGCCTGGATCAGCCGCAAGATGGGTCGTCGAGGGTATCATATCCTACACGTCGTTGCTTTGGTGCTTGCTCGTTGCTCCCTACTCCCTGGTTCCGCATTCCCGTTTTGGGAATATGCCAATTTCATCCCGCCTTAACTATCTACGCATAGAGTCCAAAATCATTAAGGTACCTAATAATCATAATAATGTCCGAGGCGGGGTAGCTTAACGGTTGACAGCAAAGGACTGGCTAGTTAGAGAAGGGCAGAGCGAGGGGGCTGCATTGACGGCTTCTATCACAAATGACGATGGTACCACCTGTTCGGAGAATGCAGGAATCACCGTCATCTGACGGAAAAAGGAGGATATAATTGATGAAAAGACGGGGTTCCTCATAACGCTGCATGCAAGCTTCGATGAAGTCATCTCCTTCACCTTTCGATACGGCAAGATAGACAACGGATCTACCTGCTTCCATGCCTTATCTGATGTTCTCGCCCGCGCCACAGCATGGGTACGTCGGCACTGCGAGACCCAAGGAGCAGATTTATACATGCCCTTGCCGAAGAGAGGTCTAGGGGGGGTTGCTGCTGACTTGCAGGCGCGCGGGCTGCAAAGCTCCTATCATAAGACCTAGCTCTAGGTTTGTGAGCTTTGGTTCTTAAGACAAGATCTGTCGTCACCCCAGTACGACAGAAATGCCGATCATAACTACGTAGAAAGCTTGTATAGAATCAATGGGCAATCCTTCTGCCTATGTCGTGCGAAGCAGAAGCTGTAGGCACTAGAGAGCCAGGGCATGGTTTCCGGATCGAGCGACGTGCATTCTCCAATGCGGTTGTAGGGGCTGCAAGCAGGTTGGTGAACCCGACAAGCCGACTTCTAAATAATATCGACGAGGCAGACTTGTCGCTCAAATTACCAGGATATAGACCATCTTCCCGCCTAGCATTTGGTTCCTGACAAAAGGGCTGGCAGAAGATATGTCAGCGCTAGGGAGGGCGGAACGTCCCTCTTTGCTGCAACTATAGCCGGTCGAGACCTAATACACCTAATACTTACACCTTATACAGTACATGTTGCTCACGAACTGCACGCACGCCTTTACCGACCAAGTAGCTAGACGTAGCTGCAGATGGGTCAGCTTTGACACGACTCTTAGCAACGTCATTCCCCAATATGAGAATGTGTTATCCACAGCAACTTCGCCAGTGCTATTACGGCACGTGTGATTTTCCTGGCGGTTGATCCTGCTCGTTCCGGCGTCCTACATGCAGTTTGAGGACACAACAGGTGGACCGTCCAGTTCCACAACATCTTACCACAGTATACGATCATGGTATGCAGATGAACCAGTGATGCATAATTATTTTCCCCCTTTTCCCTTTACTACTATTATTCCCATCATTAACTGTGAGCGCTAAAAGGAAGGAGATAAAAGTGTCAATGTTTCACTCGATGAGATAGGCATCCTGCTCAAAAAAAAAAGAACATCTGATCTCATACGGTTTGATTGGCTGCCTCGGAGCGGGTTTTCATGAGCATGAGTCTGAACAGGATTCTGGTAGGTAGGTGCAAAAAACTCCAGATTGAAAACGAAGCCCCGTGACGCCTTATCCGACCGCCTTACAATGTGGTCGTATCATACCGGTCCGATATGAACCATTAAGTGCGGCTTCATAATCAAGCTGGCCAGTTGTTTTACAGCCGCTGGTTCCGGCCGAGATTCGTCCTTCGGAAGATCCAGCACGGTTCTTATGGATAAGAGTTACGCGGCTCCAGGGACCCAAGGTCTATGCCACACCAGCGTAGCATGTATTGTCCTTTGGGGTTGGAACTCCACTATAATGTGTGCGGTATGTCGTTGCGATGTGACTTCGGTTCACTTACCGACGTATTACTACGGGAATTGCCTATATTTGTCATACTGACTCGAAAGAAGGTATGGTCACCGGTAACGCTACTTACTACCTACTAAGGACGAATTTAGATCATCGAAGAGATATCTAACCTACAGCGTAGCAATGACATTTAACATCGCTCGCAGGCCGCCTTGAGATGTACTATACAAAGGAAGTATCGGGCGCGTAGTTTCTAAGAGAACGGAAAACAGAAAACAGAAAACACGACCCGGAAGAAGAGAAGCTCTGCGATAGAAGCCTACGTAACTGCGGATGCAAAGAGATCACAGAGGGGTCTACCAGTCGTGTGAGGCTCTTTGACTGAATTAGACCCATCAGGATGGAACACCTCAGTTGATCGGTTGGCACCACGTAGACGGTAGCACAGAGCTACACGAAGCTAAGCCCAACAAAAGCCTCCCAGGACCAATAGCTGGCATGGAAAACACCCTAGAAGAAATACTACAAGGTTATCAAACATTTTCCCGAGGGAGTCCGGCGCAAAGCAGCATTGAAGAGATATACAAGCCACTACCTGGGACCATCGAATAGTGACGAGGCCACGCTGAATTTTTCACCAGAAGGACCCCTTAACCGGGAGACGCAACCATAATATAGTCACATTTCCACAGAAGAAGGCCCTGAAGCCTGCCACTGGCAGATCTTTTGGTCGCGACCAGTTAATGAACCACATGCACGTCTCACTAAGCGAGAGGTCTAAGGATCAGATCATCTCCAATCTCCCTGGTAAGACGAGTCGTACAGGACCAATCTTCTACTCTAGGTAGGACATTACCTGTATGTACAGTAGATGTGCACGCACACACACTCTTACTATGTACATAGACACAGACACACACATCAAGGTTCTGACAATCTCTGACCATCTCACGTAATATTTAAGAGCGTGCATGAGTGCGTATGTGCGTTGTATTTAGTAGCTGCAGCCACAGAAGTACCTATGTAGGTAAGTAGTGGAAAAGGATTGTTCCTAAGCCAAACTCCTGCTGACAAAAACCGATGCTACAGAAATTACAGCACTACCTACGCTTTGCAAAATATGATGTAAAGTCAATAAGCTAAGTAGCTATATACTTATCTAAGAATACTACTACTAATAATAAATCTCGTGACAGAAGAAAAAGAACCAAGCTTACCTCCTATTGCCCATCCCCCTATCCACACATCGTCCTCGATGTAAGGATCATCTCCCAAACTTCACGATGTCCACCCACCCCTTTTTCTTTCTCTCTCTCTTTTTCTATACCTGTCGTTCGTCTTGTGTCGTCACGCTGGTAGTCGTCGACACGGACCGAACGGCATTGCGTGGCGGCCCTCAGGAAGCTTTTCAAGCCCGCAAGAGGGGGTGAAAAACGCCTCATTGTAGCCCCTCCTCCCCCTCCGGATCCCCCTTCTACTTCCCCCCCTTTACCCCAAACCTGGTGGCGTTTTAAGGCATCGGAATTCTAAAATGCCCATAGGTAGAAGGGGATAGGGTGGTATGGGATGAAATGGGATAGGGAAGCGAAGAGGGTAAGGATGTAAAGAAGGAAATAGCGTCTTTCTAGAAAAAGAGAAAGGAGAGAAAAAGAAAGAAGATGGAAAATGCGTATTGAGAATTCGAAGCTGCGTACGTAGCCGAGATGATGCGGTAGCGGGTAGACAGGTGATTGGTTGCATGTTAGCATAGCTACCTACCTACCTACCTAACCCAAGGCACATGCCTAACCTACCTGGTACCTAACTGACCTACAGTACAGTACATGCCTAACCTAGCACCTACTGCTGCTACTGCGGCTGCCCACTACTTACCTACCTAGTTAGCCAAGACAAGAGAGAAAATGGGAAAGGGGGGGGGGGGGGGGGGGGGGGCGAGAGATACATGTAGAGATAAAGCGAGAGAGCAGGGGAAGGGTGGAAGACGAGTGAGCGAGTGTGAGTACTAGGATGAATGGATCGTTCGTTTTGTTTCGCTTCGTTCGTTCGTTCGTTCGTTCGTACGTTCGTCCGTCTTTCGGTGGAAGCAAAATAAAAAACCTCATCATCCATTATCTTTCGGGTGGATCCTCCATCATTTGGTCGGCGCCCAAAGAAAAGAATGTACCTAAGTCTGATGATCAGGTGCCCGAGCTAGCTGTGGTGTGCACGTGGGTTGTTGTGGTGGCCGGTCGGGCACGCATCCATCATGCTTCCTCTTATTTTCTTTTCTCGCTCAACTCAACTTCTTGCTTGGCGGCAATGAAGGGAAGGGTGGAAGAAAAGGCGTTTGTCAGGTTTTTAGTTCTGGTGGTTAAGGGCGGCTATTTTGGAATATTGAAAATAGGATATGGTTTATGGGTAAGGGGGGAAAAGGAGGAAGAAAATGAACAGGGGTCTTTTTGTTCGTCATCCCAGCATGGATGATGGATGGATGGATGGATGGTTCCTCTCTTCTCGCTCGCTCGCTATATACTACTACTATATACTAGGTTTATCTAACATGTATCTAGGTTTCTATGTGTTTAAGGTATTACATACAGCTGTTGGTTTCTTTTTATACATGCCCAGCCATTTGATTCGTCCATCTGTCCCCCCCTTCCCCTTCCCCTTTCCTCTTACAGCATCTTCGTCGCCCTGTAGGAAGAAGAAGAAGAAGGAGAAGGAGACGAAAGGAGAAGACTACCTAAGGTGACAACATGCTTGTTGCTTGTGTCTAACATTGGATCTACGTTATTATTATTATTAATCGAAACGACCATCTAGATGTCCCATTACCTAAATCTCCGGTATTAATCCCCGAAATCTAAAATTTCCCCAATTTACAAACAACCACTATCACATATTATCCCATGAAACCAAGGGGAATGGATGTATTATAAAAAGGGGGTTTGCTACAAGGTTATTTCCCATTATGTGTTGCCAAAATGGAAACATAGGAAACAGTTTTCCTAACAGATATTTCTCTTGTCCTCAATCTTTTCAACCCAACATATGATATTTTCTTATTTTATACCTACTGACTAGATGAAGGTTTATATACCATCATTGGTGAGTGGCAAGCTTCAAGTGCTCACAGACATATATATAACTGTATGTGAGAAAGGAAGTACATATGTACCTATTATGTGTACATCAATAGTACTACTCTGTGCTATGTATGTGCTAGGTTACACAGGTAACTCGTGCTAGTATGGGGGATTTCGTTGGCTGGTAACACCTGATAAAAGGGTATTTGGCAGCTGTCGAAGACTTCTCTTACTAGTTACCATCCAATCACGAGCCTCTCTTTACCAAAAAGATCCCCCAAAAAGAAGAAAAAAAGAAGAAGAAAAAAAAGAAAAAAAAGAAAAAAAAGAGGTACATGGTTTGCTAAATACCCAAGATAATTAGAATTAGGTACTTAGTACTTACTTACTTACCTATAACATCTTCATCCAACAAAGACAAACATCCTACATCAGACTTGGATATGGATAATAATCATCGGGTTGGTATAGAATACCTCTCCGCCGGTGCTAATAGACATACTGCTGTCGCAGATTGGAGCAAAGATGGCATCGTAGCTTTCGGTGCCGACTCGAATATCGCTCTCTGGCGACCACATGTAGGTGTGACCTATTTCCTATTTCCTATTTCCTATTTTATTCTATTCTATTCTTGAATTCCAATTTAAATTTAAATTTATCTAACCAGTCATTTATTCTTTCTTCCCTTTCTAGTCCTCTCGGCCTAGGGGTGTAACCAGTTTTATCCCAGGACACAAGGATGTCGTCAAGGCCGTCAGCTTTCTTCCCAAGCTGGACGGGGAGTTCAAGACGTACCTGCTCACCGGCGCAGACGACCAGTGTCTCAAGGTCTGGGATCTGTTAGATGATGGTGGCGATGGTGATGACAGCAGTGTTGCCGAGTGCATCCAGACTGTGCACGAACACACGGCTGCCATCAACTGCATAGCCACTCTTCACCAGAGAAGACCACAGCAAGGCTCAACCCCTAGAGTATTTGCTACCGGAGCAGCAGACGCTACTGTAAAAGTATGGGAATTTAACGACGGCCAAGTCCGTTTGTTGCAAACGATAAAGACCACACCAAAATTCTTCCCCCTCTCGATAGCTCTGAGTACCCTCGGCGAGGATGACGACAGCAACGGGGCCTTGGTTCTAGCCGTAGCAGGAACAAAGGACATCGTCCAAGTCTTCCTCGCCAGGTCCCGCACCAACCCCGAGTTCCAACTCCAGGCGACCCTATCGGGCCACGAAGGCTGGATCCGGTCTCTGGATTTCGCATGGGAGAACAGCAACGACCACGGGAGCGACCTGATCCTGGCATCCGCGAGTCAGGACAAATACGTCCGCCTCTGGCGCTTCCACCAGGGCCAAGAACTGCCAGCCGCTAGTGCCAACGGGGGCGATGCGTCCCTGGGCGCCTTCATGCCGGGACGGTCCCCCTCGAACAAGGCCCATCGGCTGCACACCGCGAGCCAGGACTTTTCCATCACCTTCGAGGCACTCCTGCTCGGGCACGATGACTGGATCTACAGCGCCAAGTGGTACTCGGATCCCGCAACCGGAAAGCCGCAGCTCCTTTCAACGTCCGCGGACAACACGCTAGCGATATGGGAAGCCGACCCGTCCTCGGGCATCTGGGTCACCACGGTCCGGCTCGGCGAGATCAGCCGGGAGAAGGGCGCGACGACCGCGACGGGCAGCACGGGCGGGTTCTGGACGGGCCTCTGGTCTCCGGACGGAAGCTCGGTGGTGTGTCTGGGCCGCACCGGCAGCTGGCGGCTGTGGGACCACCACCAGGCGCAGGACCAGTGGCTCCCGCGCATCGGCATCAGCGGGCACACGCGGCCGGTGACGGGGATCGCGTGGTCGAAGAGCGGCGAGTACCTACTCTCGACGAGCGCGGACCAGACGACGCGGCTGCACGCGCGCTGGAGCGGACGTGGCCAGCGGACGTGGCACGAGATGGCGCGGCCGCAGATCCACGGGTACGACCTCAACTGTATCGACTCGCTCGGGGACTCGAGCTTCGTCTCCGGCGCCGACGAGAAGCTGATGCGCGTGTTCGACGAGCCGAAAGCGGTCGCGCGGCTGCTGAGCACGCTGTGCGGCATCGGCATCGGCGGCGGGCGGGACATCGAGGCGCTGCCGGACGCGGCCAACATGCCGGTGCTGGGGCTCTCGAACAAGGCGATCGATGCTGTCGACGATGATCACGAGGTGGTCCAGCCCGCCAATCCCGAGACAGACCGAGATGCGCTGGACCCAGGGTCGACGGTCCGCAAGTCCGCGCTCGAGATCGACCACCCGCCCCTCGAGGACAGCCTCTCGCGGCACACGCTCTGGCCCGAGGTCGAGAAGCTCTACGGGCACGGGTACGAGATCTCGTGCCTGGCCGTCAGCCACGACGGGACCCTCGTGGCTAGCGCATGCAAGGCGAGCTCGATCAACCACGCCGTGATCCGGCTGTTCGAGACGGAGAAATGGACCGAGGTGAAGCCGCCGCTGACGGCGCACTCGCTGACCACGACGCGCCTGCGCTTCTCCCCCGACGACAGGTACCTGCTCAGCGTCGGGCGCGACCGGCAGTGGGCGGTCTTCGAGCGGGACGGCGTCGCCGGGCAGAGCTACAAGCTGCTGCAGTCGAACCCCAAGGGCCACTCGCGGATGATCCTCGACGCGACCTGGGCGCCGCTAACCGACGATGCCATCGTCTTCGCGACCGCTGGCCGGGACAAGCAAGTCAAGATATGGCGGCGACCAGCACCATCAGCCGAATCTACGGACCCAGTCAGCATCTCTTGCATAACCACGATACCGGAGACACATCCCGTCACGGCCATCGACTTCCTGCCCCAAGAAGACAAGAACGAGAATGGTGGTGGCACACTGCTACTAGCGGTGGGCACCGAGGTGGGCAAGATCTCGATCTATTCGATCGACAAGACCTCCCTCGGTATATCTTCTACGCTTAACCTAGGACCAGAGTAAGCCTTCCTCCCTCCCCCCTCCCCCCTTCCCCTTACCCCCTACACCTCCGACTGGACGTAACGCCAATGAAAGAAGACATACAGCACTAACGTTTTCTCTTCTCTACCTTTCTAGGCTATGCCTCGCGAAAAGCGTCGTGCAACTCTCGTGGCGGCCACAGCACGCCGCTAAGGAATTAGCTATAGCCGGGGAGGATAGTTCTCTTAGGGTATATTCATTCATAGATGGAAATCCGTGAAGCCTTGTTATGTTTCCAGCTTATCAATCCCGTGGGTCACGCCAAAAACAAAAAAGGGGAAAGGGGGGGCTTATTCGTAGGCATCATGTGCGTTCATTGATGCTAATCTATCGATCGATCCAAACGCCAAACCCATATCGTACCTCTTCTTCTCTCCCCTATAAACAATATACTAACGCCAGATATCACCCACCACCACCAATCACCCCTACCAACTTCCTTTGATTAAGGCCATACCGAGTATATGCCCATTGATTAACATTACATCATTTTTACGTTTTTACGTTTTATACCATCCGCCCGATAAGTACGCACGTACGCACACACACACACATCCACGCCCACGCCCACGTAAGAAAAGAAAAGGTATCTTTTCAAGACGTGAATTTAAAAGAGAACCCCCCCAAATCCAAGTCACACATCACAACTCGCGGCTCATCCTCTCGGCAGTCTCGGTAGCGGCGGCAGCCAAAGTGGTAGTGGCGGACGACGTAGCCAAAGACAATGCGTCCTTGTTGCCGGCAACGACGTTCGAGGCAACGCTGCTGTCGCCGCCGTTGACGTAGAACCAGGCGCGGTTGATGATGAAGAGGACGTGCTGCGGGAGGTAGAGGATGGTGGCGATGAGGAGCAGGCCGCAGAGGAGGAACACGACGGACCCTGTGGAAATAATCATTAGCACATGTGCGCAAGAATTAGAAAAAAAGGAAAAGAAAAGAATAGGCCAATGATTGGATCTCGGCTTCTGCGCCGAGTATCGGCATCAGCAAACCGTGTCGACAGTTCCAAGCCCCCTTTTCCCGTAGCTTCTGTCTCGTAAATTGATAGAACCCTCCACAAACAATGCAAAGAGATAAAATCTCTTGTCACAAAATAACACGAAAAACAATAATAGGAATTGGGCCTGGGGCTTACAGAATAGAAACTTCTCGGTGGGCGTAAACATGTACACGCCGAAGGTGACCTCGATCTGGTACTGCTTCAGACGGAGCCAGCGGCCGAATCGCTGGAGCGAGGAGAGGTTCTCGGGTTGTTTTGTCCGGTACTCCATTGTGTATTGTATATATGATCTTTCTTCTTTTCTTTTTTTTCGTTTCTTTTTCTACCCGTCAATTTTTGTCCCAGTTCAATTCTTGACTAGGTAATAGGTAGTGTAGTGGTATGTATATGTTGGTGGTAGGCCGTATCGGTAGCGTGTTGTTCGAGAAGAAAGGGCGAGAAAGGTGGAAGGAACTAAAAACTCGGGCTAGCTTCTCTCTATTAATTAGTTAGTACCTAGTATTCGTAGTTCCCTCTTTTAAATCGTTGTGTTATCTTTCGATTTTATTTTTGTCGTGTTTCGAAAAGGTTCAACAAATTCAAGTTTAATAAAATAATTGGGGGCGGGCAAAATGTTGCAATTGAATGGGAAGGCTCACTCTTTCTTTCTATATTGCTCTCTCTCTCTTTTTTTCTTTGCTTTTCTCCTGAAAATAAAAAAAAATAGACGAAATCTAAATACCGAAGACAGTGGGAAGGAAGGAAGAGTTTAGTTAACTAGTTAATTCAATGCCAATGCCAATGCCGACTCTACATAGTACATGCACCTCCCCCAACTGAGCAAGACTCAAGGGGGGGCAGGCATTGTTGTAAATTCTAGTTCGACACCATTGGATTGGAGGAACAGGACCCCTGCTGCTTTTTTTCACACATCACCAATTAGATTTGGCAATTGTGGAGTTTTAGGGGTCCCCCTTTTCATTGCTGCATATGCACATACCTGCCATTGTAGTAACTACTGTAACTAATAGGAAGTATATCACTTTAGGCGATGCTTAGGTAAGGATTCCAGTATTAACCAAAAAAAAAAAAAAAAAAAAAAAAAAAAAAAAAAAAAGAAAAAAAGAAAAAGAAAGTCCGTCAGTGACGTCGCGCAATTCTGGTAGATAATGTAGATAGTATTGGTGGACTAGCTGTGCTAAAGCTACTCGTACCGTACCTCGTAACGCATACGAATCTCAACGGCTCAAGGTAGATACGCGCATTCTGTAATACATACAAACACGCATACCTACTACTTACCTACCTACATAGCTTCTTCGACTACCCGGGAAAGCCGTGCTTCGGACCAGTATACGAGAATATCAACCCTCCCCCTCCCCTCCCCAAAATCACAAGCAATGGCTTAACTAAAGAAACCCATCGGACAACAATATCCCTGCCCGGGTCGCCAAGCTAGCACAAATACTACCCTACAGCGGAACGGCCGGACGAAGCAACGACGACACCGACAACGACAACGAACCATGTTACCGCTGCTGCTGCGGCCCCTCCGCCTACCTTTCTCAGGTAGCACTCGAGCCCTCGTCCTTCCGCGGAGGCCCCTCAGCTTCTCCGCCACCCACCCCTTGCTCAAGCACGTAAACTACCCGCCGCGCCCCAAGCCGCCCCCGGACGAGGAGATCGACGAGTCCTTCCTGAAGGGTAGCGGGCCCGGCGGGCAAAAGATCGTACGTCCCGTCCCGTCCTCACCTGTCCCTTCCCTTCCCTTCCCTTCTTTTTCCCTTAGAACATATTAACATATTTCTATCACACCATATCACACTCCGCTCTTTCACACATAAAAAACAAAAACAGACAAGAAACATGGGTTAACTCTCAACCTGCCCTCAAACAACAGAACAAAACCAACTCAGCCGTCCAACTCAAGCACCTCCCCTCCGGCATCGTCGTCAAGTGCCAGGCCACCCGCTCCCGCACCCAGAACCGCGTCATCGCCCGCCAGCTGCTCGCCGACAAGCTCGACCAGCTCACCCGCGGCGACGACTGCCGCGCCGCCGTCGTCGGCCAGTTCAAGCGCAAGAAGAAGGCCTCCTCCGCCAAGAAGAGCAGGCGGAAGTACCGCAAGCTGGAGGAGGAGAAGGAGGGGCGGATGACAGCGGCGGAGCCGGGAGAGGATGGAGAGGAAGAGGACGTAGCCGAATACGAAGAAGATGGAGAGGAGGACGGGGCGGAGGACGGCCAAGATGCTGATTTGGGGGGGAACTCCGCCGACCTAGAGACGGCAGATAATCGTAAACTACCCGAAGAGGTTAAAAAGGTACCGGTAATCTAATCGATCTAAGAGACGACGATGCCGTAATTACTATCTACGAAACTACTCCATCTACATCATATTATATTCGAAATTGAGGCGTAGATACTACGATTTGCGGCCAAATTTCATGGCCAAGGGCTCACTAAAGTGCTGCCAAGGCAGATTTAAAAAGTCCTCGAAGAATTAGCTTTTTACTGGATCAATACGTAGCAGCCTTCTATAGGCCTATAATTCACATAGTTCACACCAGACGCATTAATATAAGGAAGAAACAAAGTAGTATATGGTCGACCTCGGCTGGAATTGTCTACTCCATCCCGCACAAGAATGGCCTCCTAAAAGTAAAGCACTTCGTCTTCTCTTCTCTCCCCGAGTAATACAGCCCCAATTTCTTGACCATCATCGGAATCTTTTGTAGATACGAGTCTCGACTGGAATACATTCGCAATGTTAAGAACTCTGTACGAGTCTTACGCTGCTTGGAAGCGTCGCGGGCTCGTGAGAAGTTATTGGGCACGCAGTGGTTCGGGAGCTGATCAGTGGGTTAGCCACCTTACATAACCATAACCGAGGGCGTTTATGGTAAAGTACCTTAGAAGCACTTGCGGTGCACGATTGAGGGACCACTCTCATCGTACTCCTGCTTGGAGATCCACATTTGCTGGAAGGTAGACAGAGAAGCCAAGATGGAACCACCGATCCAGACGGAGTATTTTCGCTCAGGAGGAGCAATGATCTTGACCTTCATGGATGACGGGGCCAAGGCAGTGATCTCCTTCTGCATACGGTCAGATAGACCAGGGTACATGGTAGTACCACCAGACTGTGAAAATTACGTTAGTACATTATCTCCATGTTAAAACCGCAGAATTAAACGTATACGTACCATGACGATGTTGCCGTAGAGATCCTTTCGGACATCGACATCACACTTCATGATGGAGTTGAAGGTGGTAACGTGGATACCATTGCTTTCGAGACCTAGGACGGAAGGCTGGAACAGAGCCTCGGGGGCACGGAATCGCTCATTACCGATAGTAATGACTTGTCCGTCAGGAAGCTCGTAGGACTTCTCCAAGCTGGAGCTCTGGGCGGCGGTCTGGATCTCTTGCTCGAAGTCAAGGGCGACGTAGCACAGCTTCTCCTTGATGTCTCGGACGATTTCTCGTTCGGCAGTGGTGGAGAAGGTGTAACCGCGCTCAGCCAAGATCTTCATGAGGTAGTCGGTCAAATCACGACCAGCCATATCCACACGAGCAATGGCGTGGGGAAGGGAGAAACCCTCGTAGATGGGGACAACGTGGGTAACACCGTCACCGGAATCGAGCACGATACCGGTGGTACGACCAGAGGCATACAGGGACAGGACAGCCTGGATGTTGACGTAGAAAGCGGGGGCGTTGAAGGTTTCGAAGACAATCTGGGTCATCTTCTCACGGTTGGACTTGGGGTTGATGGGAGCCTCAGTAAGCAGGACGGGGTGCTCCTCGGGGGCCACACGCAACTCGTTGTAGAAGGTGTGATGCCAGATCTTCTCCATATCGTCCCAGTTGGTAACGACACCGTGCTCGATGGGGTATCGCAGGGTTAGGATACCACGCTTCGACTGTGCCTCATCACCAACGTAGGAGTCCTTCTGACCCATACCAATCATGATACTAATGCCAAGTTAGACATCATGCGCGCGAGCATGCACATTTGTGGTGTGCTGAGATAGTAACTTACCCATGATGACGGGGTCGACCGACAATTGACGCTATTTTCATATGTTAGACAGTAGTTCCAAGTGGAGACCATCACCATGAGGCTCAAGCGGGGGCGGTAGTTGGGCGAGGATAAAACTTACGGAAAACAGCTCGGGGAGCATCATCACCGGCGAAACCGGCTTTGCACATACCCGAACTAGAGTCGAGTCAGCTTCAGATGTTCCAGTAACATATATAACATCACATTAAGATCAATCAGGCATGAAGATAGTCCATGGTGCAAGGTCTTAGGCCCCAGAACCTCTCTCCCCCTTTATGATAATTATGTGCGCGTTAGGATGCGGTGAGGCGAGGCTTCATCTTACCCATTGTCGATAACGAGGGCAGCAACTTCCTCTGTGATAAAGATACAGGTTAGCCATTGTGGTTTGATGAATGCGTCTGATGAACTGCATCAGGTTGAAAAAGGAGAATATTTGGTTGACGTACCCTCCATTTTGATGGATTATGTTAGGTTAGATTTGGAATGGATTAGGAAAAAAGAAGAGAATCAGAATGTTGCTTGTGAAAGGCCCAACGCGATTCCCTGACCTCGAGAACTAAGACGATGGTGTTGTTGGTGATCGAAGTCTGCTGGTAAACAGAGGACGACAGAGAAGGGGATGGTTATTTGACAAGTGGAAGTTGGATTTAAGGTCGAGAAGTCGGACAGTTAATTACTTCTGGGGCGAAAGAGTGTGGGAGAAAAGGGAGGAACGAAGTTGGTTTGATGCACCGATCCCACAGTCGATGGGAAGAACTTGTGGGCCGAACAAAAAAAGAGGCGGGGCATAGCCAAGTAGAAAATACGTATCTGTCGTATCAGCGGTGGCACAAGACAGCAAGTACCAAGGTACATCGGTACCTTTTAATCATTTAATGTTCTTTCTTACAACTAATGTTACTAGGGGGTCTAGGGGGTCTAGGGGGGGGAGAATAGCGGGCAGGAATGGCCTACGCACATAAACACGCACCTACTCACTTCATTTTAGGGGGCCAGTTACAACCAAGTACAACATTTGAACCCCTTCACCGCCGATAAAGTAGGAAACCCAGGTATAAGACGAATTGGCTCCTCTAGTCGGGCTAACTTATTTCAGGCAGTCGAATTTCAATAAATCATTCTTTTTGACGACCTTACTCTAATTGCTTGCTAATTCAACAATCTAACAATGTGACAAGGATTACATATCGGTAATTTTATAAGCTCATTATACATAATAGCACAATCTCTAATACCTAACCTACATACCTATGTATACATGTCTCATAATAGGCTCATAGGCTCATACCAGTCACATACATAACTGACTGGCCTTTTGCCAAGACTTGCCAAAGGTTGCTACCTAAATACCGTACGTAACCCACCTCATAAGCATAAGCACCTTGAAAAGAGACCAACTCACAGTAAATCCTGAAACGTGACGAGGACCCTGAAGCCTGAAGATGAAATGCATGTGAGGATGCATGAATCAATCAATCTACATCCAACTTGTGCAATACACATACCCAAAATACCATAATACTATGCCCTGTGGCTTAGCCGAACGATTACGTAGGAAAGCTTTCAACCTTTCAGTCTCGTCTGACTTTCGAAATTCACTAAAATGCCTATCTTCATTGGAGGAAAACTCCACGCCAAGTAAGGCATCGCCTATCCGGGTCAGACATGTCAGTCTCATGGGGCGAGTGGGTTGCGTATGCAGGGGCAAAGGAAACTTGTGTTGTGCTACTCTCTTGTTTCCCGCCTCGACTCTCTCTTGCCATACTATTAATAAATAAAGAGATCTCCCCAGTCACTTATTAAAGTCTTTGTCTTCATTTGCAGTCTGATGCATCTCGAGAGTCACAATTTGATTGTCACTTTACCAGTCTACCAGTCTTCTTCCACCTCCCTATTCTACATCGTCGATGCCTTATTCTTGTGAATACTAATATTAATCAATGATAGGTCTTAATAACTAAGGCGGTGAGCCACGTATGATTTATTACGTTCGACCATAATGATAATCCGATGAATATTCACCAAGTAGAATAAATATGTAGAATTGTATGATTATAGTCCAAGGCTCTGATAATTATTAGGTCATGATTATGGCAAAATTGGATTTCATATCGTGAATAGGACAATTTCAAAATATTGGGATTTTACATAGCATTATGTATAATCTCGAGCTTCCGAGGCTTACGGCGTATGTACTAGGTAGCATGGGCGGTCAGGAGAAGAAGAAAAAAAAGAACGTTAGAAGGCGGGGTGAGGGGCAATCGCGGCAGAGCGGGGCAGCTTCTGGAAGATTTTATGGCTGGCAATTAAAGAAATATTTTCCAATTATTAGATTTCTCATTTTTTTGATACACTATCATTTTTAACAGAATGATATGCGCAGTTGGTTCCAAGGTTACAAGCAGATGAATATGATAATTATCCCATGAAATACATAGTATATGTAGAAATATTTCATTTCTTGTTTCTTGTTTCTTGGTTGATTTAATGAGGCTACTTGGGTACATGCCTATCGTCAAATGTATCTCTTTATCAGCCCCACCTTTAAGCTTATCAGCCCCTGTCCCATGTGAAGCTTCGCGAATCTTGGAGATCTCTGCAGAAGATTCGAACGCTGTGTAAGGCTTAGGTTAACACTTAGCCAAAACTTTTTTATATTTCAAACATTTCAATTAAAGAGACGACTACCTGATTAAAGTAGTTGAAATTGTCATTTGAATTGAATGAAAACAAATACAATCAATATCTTCTGACTTGCTTCTATTCTATTAAAGACAGACTTGAGCAATTAATTATATACCTACATTTGACAACCCAAGATTCCATTTTATCTGGAAAAGAGAAATCAAAATCTAATCTCTTTAGGACCCTGTCTTGCATAAAACGACGTAATCAACCAAACCCCCAACATTTACAGTACTTTTCACTTCGCTTATTCAGTGAAAGCACCAACAACTACCAAACAAACCACAGAAAAGAAAAGCAAAAGCAAAATCAAATCAAATCAAATCAAAAAATGGCAATGGACCCAAGGTTAAACGACCTCCTAAGATGGGGCATCGAGAACACGGTCCCCTCTGACCCCTCCGCGGCCCCCTCCTCCACCGGCGACGCCGCCGGCGCGCCGCGCACGACCCTCAACGCCGAGGCCCTCGCAGCCATCATGGGCGCCCCCTCCGACGCCGACATGATGAAGGCCTCCATCGAGAACATCACCTCCACCGACCCCGACATCACCCTCGAGTCCAAGCTGATCGCCTTCGACAACCTCGAGCAGCTCGTCGAGTCCCTCGACAACGCCAACCTGCTCTCCAAGCTGGGGCTCTGGACCCCCTTGCTCGAGCTCCTTGCCCACGAGCACGACCAGCTGCGCCTCATGGCCGCCTGGTGCGTCGGCACCGCCGTTCAGAACAACGCCCCCAGCCAGGAGCGCCTCGTCGCCCTCGGCGGCGTCGAGAAGCTCGTCACCATGGCCCTCGGCGAGCGCCTACCCGTACCCGTGGAGAAGCGCGGCACTGTTAACGACGAAGCCACGACTGAGGAGAAGAAGGAAGAAGCCGCCGTCGAGACACCGGCCGCCCCCACAGCCGGCGAGACGAAGGATGTGCGCCGCAAGGCCGTGTATGCCCTCAGCTCCGCCGTGCGGAACTACCAACCAGCGTTGGACGTCGCCGCCAAGGAGCTGCGGAACCGGGGCGAGGAAGTCCAGGAGGGGATCGATGCGTCGGACATGGAGGCAGTGAACGAGTTGATCGACGGCCTCAAGCAGAGAGCGTTGAATGCGTAATTTTCATTACGTATACGGTCATGGGGATAACGAGGATATAGCAATCATGGCATTAATCGGCGTTGGTTGGGGGACATATCACACATATCTGGGTCAATAAAAAAAAGGGAGGGGGGAAAGGGGGTTCTAGGCAATCACGATATAAACTCGGAAAGTCAAGGGTTCTAAGTGAAGAAGAAAAAAACACAGCATTGCATCGTCCAAATGTGCCTCTTACGTGTGACCTGTCGCGCATTTGTACAACTAACTGTATTCGCTACAGTCTATGGTTGGTATCATCCCTTATTTGACATGTGATACATTTTTTTAATATGTACAAGACCGGAGGAAGGATAGAAGGGCATCCGCCTGTCAGTTCCTAATCTACCAGCTTGCCATAGAATGGGATCCCCAAACTCATGCAAAGTAGTCTGGCGTGTCTGTCAGACTTTGCGGTGGTTTCGAGGGTGAACCGGCAGCCCGTGATCATCTTGGCTGGGTATAGCTAGAATGCATGTGTGAGTAAAATGGACAGACAGATGGCTGCCTAACTGGCTTACGACACAACTTACCGAGTAATTGGCTTCAACTTCTGGGAAGTACATCATGGTCTGGGGGTCTAAACCCCAGCTTATGTTGCCGGTACTGTCACCGGTGGTGCCTAAAGATTTGTTAAATTCCGTAGGCTATTGAGAATGGTGGTGGAGGTGGTGGGAGGTTGCAGACCTTCGATACCGGCCCAGTCCTTGATCTTGGGGAAAACAAGGTGAATGATCTTGTCTACCAATTCGTAGGCCTGATCCCCATAAACCGAACACTTGGCACCTGATCTGTCGCCCTTGACAATACCCCACTGGGAAACGCTCGTCTTCGTCGTCGTAATGGTGGGACGGACGCCTGTGATGGTCTGCAACACTGACCTTGCAATGATGAGGTGGTCCGGGTTCTTCTTGGCCTTTGGCGTGTACATGGCTAGATGCACTGCCCGGATCTCGGGGATGTTTCGCCAATCGATGGGTTTCTCGAGCGGGAAGAGGACATCGTGGCCTCGTGGCCCACGCTTAGGCCGGTTTATCATGTAGGGGGATGAGTCGTCCCATTCTCGCAGCCGTATCCGCTCGGGCTTGTCCGGCGTTCCTGGTGGGGTATGTTGGTACATGAGGGTCATGATATCCGAGGCCGTCGTCGAGTGAAAAGTCTGCTTTAGCCGTGGAAGATTGAAAGGTCCCGGGGAGAAGTCTCGGGCGACTGGATCCGAAGAAGGCAGTCGTTGAACTGGATGTCGGGGACCTCGATCATACTTGGGAGGATGGAACCGATATCTAGATACTAAGCACTCAGTAACCCGTTTTCTTCATCTCCAAGCCTCCAAGCCCCCAAGCCCCACGCCGTCGCATTGCATTGCATTGTCCATGCTTACCGCTCGTGTGGAAGTTCGAAGTTTCTCCGGCTAGCCCTCCGTCGCGGGTCTGTAATTTTGACATCCTGCCTTGTCACAATTGGCGACGTTAGACCGGAGTCTTGTTCGATATCAGGAATATCGGGTATGGAGGAGGCCGACGCAGGAGGACTGGCGTCGGTGGATGCACATCTTCGGAGGCTTGATGGGCAAGGCTTCCAGTGCGATGCGGCGCTCAAAAGATGACGCCCGCCCCGAGGCATTTCTCGTAAAGCCGCCATGGTGTACTTGGGTGTGTCGACACCAAATTTTATGTTCAATGGCTACTCGGCGCATTCAATAGGTGCGCGGAGCTTTGAAGCTTAGATGGTGGGGACTTGGAAATTTCACAATTGGAAATGTTTCTCGGCCAAACAAATATCCGGGACCTAACTAATACCGTTGACGTAGGTATGTACCTAGGTATAGTTATGTATATTCAATATTCGATATTCGGGTTGTTAAACCTCTAACCTAGTTATTATGTACATATCCACAGCTACAACATAACTACATAGTTAAATCTAGTTTTCTTCCTAGCAATCGCTAACATACATATGTAGTTATTGCCAAGCCAACTTTCCGGTGTGCTACGATGAGCGTCCCTTTTTGATCTCCTTTCCCCAAATACACCACCCTACACACGTCAGATGTATGTATGCAGATATCGTCATCGCACACATCATATAAAGTGTTCCCGAGTGAGTGGATTTGGGACACTAAGGTGAATTACCTAGCTGCCTAGGTAGGTAACTGTACCAGCTGCAGGGTGGTATGTCGATCAGCTGACGAACTCTCCACCAAGCAGCAACGAGCGCCTCCTTTTGGCAATCCATTTTCATCACGATGAATTTGACGTATTAGTACCGCTTGCCATAACACGAGACCATTTAAAATGGAAGTCGTTCCGAAACTAAGAGTGTACTGTACATATATACATGTTATGTTACGTAGCATACGACCACATCATGGGACTTGAAAGCTGACAATGGTAAGGCTGAATAGAATAACGGTTATTTTACCATCCGGTACAAGCAGGCATCAATAACTTACCAATGTGGTCATGTACGGTATAGAGCTGAGCTAAAGGCTGAGACATTCGATATATGAAGCTGCATACATATGTAGTAGACAGTTCACTACATATAGGTTAGGTAATAGACTGATACTTATCCTTGTCACGATCATCTTCAATGTTCGCAACCTACAGGTAGTACAGCTCTCAAGTATATATTAGATGGGTAACATACAACACAACTTGAAGCATCATTCCGAAAACTTGTATTATATATACTACAAGTGTCGGTTAAATGCTGAAGGATTCAATGTTACCACTCGGAACTTGGAACTTGGAACTTTCAGTATGCTACTATGGTCAACGGTATATGTATATGTATGTATCGTTGATGTAAGTACGTACTATGCAAGTAGCAGACTATAAAACCAAAATCTGAGATCTTATTCGATCGCCCGCATGTGGGTGATCTGTAGGGGAAAACCCAAGCGATGGCTCGCACCGCTCGAACCGCTCGAGTCCTACCAATGGGACGAGAGAACAACGCTTCTTAACCTCTACCTAAGGAAAGTTAAGTAAACTCTTAGTTTCGTCCGTCCCGGGCAATCCCACGCTATTTTGGCAATGATTTTGCAGGGAGGAGAGCAGGATACCTTCCCATATCTTCCACATCATTACGATTTTACTTGAGAGGCACACATTAAAGTTACGCACGCAAGGTGCAGTGATGTCTACTACCAACCTAGTACCCTACTAGTCTCAGACTCTCAAGCTGTAGATATGTGTAGCCTATAATGTAGGTTAGGTGGTTACTACCTAGAGTCCCAGACAGCCAAGCAGTTTTGCAGTCAATGCCAGTCATCCATGATATTACAAGGAAGGAACACCTATAGTTCTTCATGTTTTACCAACAGTAGCGGCATATAGTTACATGTATATAGTTACATGTATCTTTTATTTTGATTTTATCCAGTTGCTGACCATGATTTTTATCGGCTTGCAACGGACAACATTGAACTCTCTCCTGACTTTTATTTAGTGCCACCTGCTAACCTAACCTGCTAGCTTGCTTTTTTACCTACATGGATAATACTACTAGTAGTAGATATATGTAATATGTAGCTAGTAATATGTAGGTACTAGGTATCAAAGCTAGGTATTGTACAACTTACCTGGCACCTAGCAGCTACTAACTAACTAACTTACAAGCCAAGGCTACCTACAATTCGAGAAGCATCTTCCACCGAATGTTTGACCCAAGCTCGTGCTTTGAAAAAAAAAATCCTCTATTTTGCATCACGCGAATGCAATTGATTAATAAGATAAAACTTGAAGAAAAAGAAAAAGATCATCGATAACAAAAACGACATAATCCCCGTCTTTGATCCGCTTAACATTGCCAAGTTCTCGTTTCTGGACCCTTGACGCAAAACGCTTCCGTCTCCCGGTCCATACTTCGTACATACCTACAGGCTACAGGTCCTACACATACCCGTGGACACATACACATACCTAAATACAGCACCAGCGCAGCGCAAAGCTGTATGTGCTGCTCTACCGCTTTACCGTGCTGTCTTCTTGGCTGCTGCTACTGTTAGCACAAGTCTGTTACATGCTGCTTGCTGTTGATGCATGCTGCCGCTATTCTTTCAACCTATTTCTTCTCTTGATTTGATTTGATTTTTTTTTTTAAAAACCCCATGAACTAGACTTTTGAAAAAGACAACTCAAGTCATGATTTAATTAATTCAAACCATGCAAGATTCCATTCCATGTCATCACCTTCTCCAACCTTAGCACCTAGTTGTTGCGATCCGTTCTCTTTAAACTGACACTCCTCGACACTCGTCAGCTCTCGTCAGTCCGTCACTTCGCAAGGAGACAACATAAAGTATCAACCACAATTTCTAAACGTAAAAAAAGAGAAGAGGACAAAACAGAAGACTGAACAGAAATCATTTTCCCTCACCTGCGTTGCACAATTTTTCTCTTCTTTTTTTTTATTTTATTCTACAAATATCAAACATGAATGAAGGGTTGCTGCGTCGCTGCACATTATAATACATTAACGGCTGTCGCCATTAATCCTCCCCCAAAAGAGAAATATGCCCCTCGGCGATTTTCTACGAGAAGAACAGAACCCCACCATGAAGACCACCAGCCTTCCTAGGAAATTTCTTAGTCGCCGCGAGAAGAATGGCCACCGTCGTGGTAGATCTTCTGACCCTGCTCATAAGGTAAGGTGACATTCGACCTACCTACCTACTTACCACTTAGCTATTCACCTACCTACCTATATACTTCTTGGTCTGCTAACCACTACACTTCTTTTTCCAGCACCGTCCACTATCATCCGAAGCTTTCTTTTCCCTGTTTAAGTCGGAATCCACCAAACAATCTTCGAGCCCCGACACCGAACGAGAAAAAGAAGTAGCTAAGGTGCGTCAATACGCCGTTAGCTTAGCATTTATTTGTCTTTAAATTGGCCTGACCCTTGACTCCGAACAGATCGACGACATACGACGTCGACTTGCCGACTTGGAATTCCCCATCCTCAGTGATGACCAGATTCGATATGCGCTCAACTCCAAATACGCCTCCGGCGATGTCGACAAAGGTATCGAGCTGCTGTCACTACAGCAGAAATCCCTCTCTGGCAAGATTATCAGCTATAACCCAGCTGTTCATATGCTTGGGGCCGAAAATCGAGGAAATGTAACCTGCTATCTCGACGCCCTTCTTTTCGCCATGTTCGCCAAGCTGGAATCTTTCGAGTGTATGCTCAAGAATGATTCTATGGAAGAACCACAGAGGAAATTGGCTGCTCTGCTTCGACTCTGGGTGAACATGCTGAGAAGCGGGAAGTTGATCGAAACCGACATGGTAGGGAATTTCTTCAAGCCTATAAGACAATTAGCAGTTACTGATCTTGGACAGACCCAACATATCCAGGACGCCTTAGCGGCGTGCGGTTGGCGAGACGCACAGTTTTTGGAACAGCAGGACACATCTGAAGCCTTTGCCTTTATTACAGAAACACTTCAGCTTCCTCTACTTACCCTACAAGTCGACCTATTCCACCAAGGCAAAAATGACGATGCAGACCATAAAGTCGTGTACGAAAGACTCTTGAATCTCGCCGTACCACCGGACAACGACGGCAAAGGGATTAGACTAGAGGACTGTCTCGAAGAATACTTCAACTCACAAGTCGATGTCTTAAGGGATAGTCTCGAGGAGAAAAAAACCGCGGAAAGATTAAGCAGGACTCCGAAATACCAACCCCCTCATAGTCCGAGCGCATCCAAAACTACCATTCGAGTGGTCACTGAAGATGATCATCAAGAAAGCACGACGCTCGAAAATGAGAGTAGCCCACATTTAGAACGAAGGTGGACAGTAGCCCTAAATTCACAGGTGCCCAACCTTCCATCGGAATCCGATGCAGAGTCTTCAGGATCTCCTCCAGTCACACGACCGCGTCGGAGCCGGACGGAAAGTATAATACAACGAGTGGTGCTTGATGAGCAAGGCACGCCCACGCCATTCGAATCCGACACGGCAAGCTTATTTCAGAGGGCAAAGAAGACGGCTTCGGTTGTCAAGGCCGTGACAATACCGGCGTGGCAGTTCTTTAAATTGATACGTAAGATGTCGTATTACTATCGTCCAATGATGACGAAGCTAACTTAAGTTCCCAGCTTGGCATTCGCCGGCCAATAAAGAGCCAGAAAGTGACCTCGAAGTCGCACGGCATTTCAACCAACGGCCGGTAGTCGGCATCTGCTTGAAACGGTACATGATGGATGAAAAGGGTGACATGAAACGGCAGAATACATACATCGACATTCCCGATAGCTTGAGGTTGCCTCATTTCATAGTCGACGAGAGACATGTGGAAGAATCCGGGTTTGCTGCCGACTATAAGCTTGTGCTTCAATCGGTTGTCTGTCACCGGGGAGATTCGTTGCATTCGGGGCACTATGTCTCGTTCTGTCGTGTTGCCCCAAAGCTTCTCACTGACAATCGCAGACATGACAGCGATCCACCTCCGGACTATGAAGAGGCACAATGGGTCAAATTTGACGATCTTGCGACCGAAAACCGGGTCACGCTTGTTGACGACATTAAGCAATCACTTAAAGAGGAGATGCCCTACTTGCTATTCTATCAAATAGTTCCTATAGTAGAAGTAGCGACCAGCTCAACCGAGGGCACGGACGCAGAGCCTCCATCGTATGATGACGCAGCACTTAACCTGACCAATTCAGAGACCTCAGCAGCACAGAGTCAGGATAGACTCTCAGTTTCCCGCCAACCTAGCAGTTACTTTGATCACGCAAGTGCGCACCCGTCGGCCAATGGCAGTGTGCGTTTCTCAGGTGACCTCGAGAGGCCAATACGCCGTAGCTTCGCAGACGACGACGGGTTTCTCAGTGTGTCTCGTCGAGGCAGCATATTCAACGACTCGAACATGCCAAGCCCCGCGGCAGGTTCGGATAGGACCTCGCCAGCTGTGACTCCCGGAGAAGAAACGGCGGCACAGAGAATTAGTCGGGCAGCCGCAAAGTTTAGAAGCAGTAACAAGAGCAGGCCACAAAGTCAAGCAGGGGAAAGTCGCAAGAGCCTAACCGTATCCAGATTTGGGGGTTTCATGATGAAATCGAGCAGGGAACCTTTACGAGACTCGAGTTCGACGGAGGCCGAGGATGACTTCGAATTTGTGGAGAACGTCAACAAAGACCCTTCCAAGGAAAATGAGTCGGATGCGACCCCTACACAGAAACGAGGGAAATCGAAATCAAGGTTGGAAAAGGGGAAGGTAAAAGACGGCAAGAAAATGGGCTTGCCGGACAGGGAATGCATTGGTAAGTAAACCTAGGTGCTGCTTTTGTCTATTTTCCTTGCTCTAAAACACGAGCCAACACTGCATGGTCCGAATACGTGGGACGTATTCGGAAGCGTAAGCTTAAGCTCACGGGGACGGTTGTCAGGGCACCAGGTCGCACGTCTCAAAACAGTCACATGTGCTAACTTAAGGTGTTACAGTGCAGTAATGCTACTATTTCACGTGGTCGGGTTGGTCTGATTGATTTAAGAAACTAGATACCCTTCAGGCGTTTGCGATACAAAAGATTTGCCGCAAGGAAGTTAAAAACAAGGAGCCGGGCTGGTTTAAGGTATACCTAGGGAACGAAAATGAACTTTACGTCCGGAGTATATTTGCATTTGCATGAAATGACTAGAGGATAGGTATCGTCATATCGCACTGGACAGCATTCAAACGGCGGACTCTTTTTGAGATTCGGATGTATCTCAAGGAGAGAATATTCACCCTGTTTGCGTAATGAGAACACTGGCTGGCGGCGGCAGTGAATATAATAATAATAATACTTGACCCCTTAACTCTCCCATAAGTGATTTCTTTGCCAATCTCGAGACATCGGCCTGCTGTCATGCTAATCATTATTGCGATGGCTGCGACGAAAACTAGTAGTAAATATCTTCGGCGTTCTTGGTAAAATAGAGCCGTTAAATCTAAAACCAGGGATTTAAGCAGCGGGAGTCAGGAGTTGATGACTTATACTTAGAGCAGAAGTATATGATATATTATTAAAAGGTAGAGGGGTGAGTTAAGAGGATAAAGCCTGTCTGTCTGTCTGTCTGTCTGTCTGTCTGTCCTGTCTATATTTGTGAGAGACGGAATGTGGGGGAGAGGGGGGGGCGGAGAGGAATCCGGAAAAGGGGGGACATTGAATGTCATTAGTTAGGTTAGGGCGGAGAGGGGCGGGGCGGGCGAATGAACGGGCGGAGAAGGGGGGTTACTCTGCTTATGTACTTCCCAGATGGAAGGGGTGGAAAGATGGGGGGGGGGGGGGGGGGGGGGATGTTATTGCATATATGTTGGGGCGTGATGCTTGAGTCTTGAGGGTGTGGGATAGGTATTAGGTAGGTACCTAGCTAATTAGTAAGGAAAGTAAGCAAGTAAAACAATTGAATGTCATGTCGCTTCTTAGAAATAGGGAGAGGTTAGCTACCTAGTAGCTATGTAGTTGCCTACTTAAGGGGAAAAGTTTACGAACCTCAGTAGTACCGGTAAGTACATATTATTATTTTTTTGTCGTGGACCCCATTGACATCAAGTTAACAAATACCTAAGGTTTGGTTAGTTTAAGTTGTGCTGGCCAGAGTACAGTACCATGATTTGGATGAATCAGTTTCGTAAGCAAGTAACTAACATGACGACCTAGCATTGTGTTGGCCATTAAGTCCCAAGCACATATATATACATATATACACATAGCTTCGCCAGGGCTTGCTTGGGGTTCATATACATAAGCACTGGTAGGTAGTAAAGAAGCTATTTCATGACCTGGCGGTGCCCGGAAACTATAGTAAGCATATTATCGTCGCTTGACAGATATGTAGGTTAGGCACCTTGTCAGGTACGATGTTTGTCAAGGATGAACATCTATTTCGATACATCTTCTATGCAAAACCTCGCGCCTGTCTACTTTCACATTCGCAAGCCGAGTTATTACGGCAAGGGTTGAAACTCGTATTCAGTAATGCGTCAATAATCAACGCAACTATCCCGACTGTCTAAAGAATTGCCGTGTTGCGCAACTGAATCAGCTAATTTATGCTCTTGCTAATAAAGCGGGCCATGCTTCATATACGTGGCACGACCTAATCTTCATCCGTGATCTTGTCTCTTACGGCTTCGGCTGCTGTATTGACCACTTTCTCAGGCGGCTTTTCAATAACAATAGGAGGTACAGTAGGGGGTGAGAGGCCCCCGCCCGGCAGGGGCGCTGGGGTTTCGGCACCACTATCCGGCACGGGAATCCGTATATCCTCGGGCGAACCAGGAACTGTTCTGGGATCCAGGCCTGGAATATGAATGCGCTTGGCCTCGTTTTGATATGCGCCCGGAATGACCTCGATAATCTCGTTGCGCGGGAACTTCAGAATAGGAATGTCCATAGTGCTACAATGCATCAGATAAGCGTAGAGAACGCGCAAGACGCTCTCATGGGCGATGATTAGTAAATCATTCTGCTCGCGTTCAAGCTCTAAGATGACTGGTTCTAGTCGTACAGCCAGATCGTGGTAGGACTCGGCGCGTGGATAGCGATGGTGATAAGGATCGAGTTCATGCTTCTCGACTTCCTCCGGGTAGAGACGACGAATGGCACGCTCACTAAGCCTTTCACACACGCCCGGGTTAATTTGAGCCATCTGGCTGCGCTGGCGAACCTTGTATCCAAGTTCCTTGAATACGTCGGCCGTTTGCAAGGTGCGCATTCGCGTTGAAGACCACACCGCGAGCGGGCGTAAAGGCACATCGGCCCCACCATCAGCAATACGAGAAGCCCGTTCTTGCTCACGATGCTTGATGACCGTCTCCGTCATCACTCTAGCATATTTAAGCCCTTCCTCAGACAGGGGCGCGTCAGCTTTGTAACTTTCCTCTTCCATTGCAGTGCCAGGTCGGACGAAGAATGTCGCTCGAGACTTGACATGTGTATTTGTCAAGTAGAAAACAATTCGGTGCGAAAGATAGTTAAAAGATACGTTGTTATAAAAAAACTTTTGGCCGGCGTTAATCATTTTGATATAGTTGAGCTCTTTTTCGTCCATAGTCTCAAACGTCGGTATTTTGGTCTCCATGCGCTCCAAATAGAGCTTTGCGGCCTCGTCAGGGTCCATGTTGGCGAACTACAAGCTATTAGCCACATACTAAGTAGGTATACAGGAAACGCTCAACAACATACATCGGGGGAACCAATCTTGACATTACGGGCGTTTTCTCGGAGGAGATTATCATCGTCAACGTAAGATTCTAGGAATAAAGTCTGAGGTGATATTAATATGACTTCGTAGCTCTGTTGCTTTTCTTTACCCAGTTGAAGTCTTACCTGAACATCATGCTTGGCGAACTCCTTAGCCAGTGAGCGACGACCGCTTGCGGTGGGATTTACGGCGTCGTATATAGCCACTTGGCCATTTTCATGGTTCAACCAACCGTAGATATCCTCACGACATTTCTTCAGGATCTTCTGGCGTAGAACGATAGAAGATGGGGAGGCATTCGGATAGAAGTAGTCCTCAGGCACGTGACCACCTTGACCAACAGTAGCTCGGCGATAGTCTCCAAGATGGAAGATCCGTGTCTTGACTCCTAGCCTAGTAGAAAGGTAAGACAATGTTGACAATCCAGGTGCCATTAACATACCATTGAAGATACCGTGCTAATGAAACAGCTATATGGCTAGAAGAAGGTTAGCGAGTACTTGACACAGAATAAAACCTGATAGGAGCTTACGTCTTGCCTCGAGCAGGAAGTCCCACCATAACAATGGCAATGCGGCCGGAATGGAAAAGCCTCCCAGACATAGTGCTATATAGTTGGGCTGGAGCCCTATCGCTATCTTCCGGGACATCGTGAATACCATCGATAAAAGTGCTGCTTTTGCGCCGGTACCTTGGTGCATTCGCAGCAATATCTGCAGTACTAATACAATTAGTTATAAGCCTATATTGGCGACATAAGCCACCAGAGTGGGCAAGTGAACAATAGGGATAGGGATATGGCTTGGGATATGCGAATGCAGAGGTGGTAAGGATTAAATTTAGACTTATCAGAATAAGGCATTTAAGGAACTATAGGAAGTGAAGAGAATATACTCTTATTCCCATAGACAAGATATAGTGATGAGCAAACCCTCATGAAGTTCCAAGCTCTGGCAAGAACTCCCGACACATTTGTGACCACGGCATTATACTTACAGTAATGTATCCATCGTGACGACGAATGAGGTTCTGCAGTTTCCTCTCTTAATTTGCCAGAACCCGGAGCTGTTCGGAACTGTAGTCTTAACTGAACTTGTTCAGGTGGGACGTGATCCAGGGCAGGTATATGTAGACACTTGAGGTAACTAGGTATTGATGTTTTGAACAGTAGGGGAGTCTCTTATAGTAGTCTTGGTTTAAATGCAAATACTGCAAAATCGACACCCTGTCACTCTTGAATCATGAACAGATTTAAGAGATGATCGCCGTGAGAGTAGAAAGTATGACGAAACTCGGCGTGTCCAAAGTCTGGCAGCCACAGAAACGATTTACGGGAGGGGTCAGGAGGTGACGGGTTGCCTTTTGCATGAGCTCAGGTATGGAGGCGCTGACAGGAGGGTCAACTTAGACGCCCGTGAACGCTTAAAGCGGTTAGATACAATTGCGCAACAGGACGTGCTGCTTTTGCAAAGCTAGAATATTTTCTTGGTTGTGAGTTTTGTTATCGCAGCAGGTCGTTATAGAACATGAACATGAAGATATTCTTTATGAAAGGCGAGCTGAGTTACCTAGGTTAGGAGGATTAGTAAGTAGTAACTATAGGGCAAGGCAAATAGTAAATTGTATAGGTAGTAGTTATCTACTATACCCTTAGGTAGGTAGGTATGTAAGGTTAGAAGAATTGATATTAGAAAGAAGAAGGCGAATGCTCCATGTACATGTGATCCTCTCTTTTGACTTTCTTGGTATTGAACTCAAGTTGAGCAAATAATGTTGTAGGCAAGTACTATTGAAGGGACTATGTACGTACCTAGTACTTATAAGTTATCACTACCAAGGTATGTATGTAGTAGGTATGAACCATGTAAGGATGAAAGTTCCAAGCTCGATTTTAAAAGGTCAGGGATCATTTATGACGAACGTCAGAAAGATACGTACATGCATCCAGCTATCTGCACTTGATCAGGGTTCAACAAAGTTACCTAACTGACTTTTAAGGGAGTTGCTACCTATATGTAGTACCTACCATTACCTAGTACCTAGTAGTACCTACTGTATTGTACCTAGAGATGGATACAATCGGTAAGAATGGTTGATCCGTCCGGCGCACAAAACTGCCAGGTGACAGATAAGTTAGGTGGGGACCTTTCTAAGGTTAGACCGGGATGTTGATCTCACTCCCGCAAAGAGCCCCATGATTGATTTTTTTTTTCGACACCTCTGCAAGCTAAATAATTAAAAAAAAAAACCGAAACACCGTCTCTCTAATTGTCGGGACCTCATACACTTGGAATCTAACCCAGATAATAATACTCTTCACAAGATCAAATCGGCTGGGGTAAATACTTACGAAAAAGAGTAAAATACCGAGCTTTCTCTTTTATTCAAGTCGCCATATTTCGCCAAGTTTCCTTTTCTCTTAATTTTTATTTTCTATTGTCGTCATTCCTTATCAACGACGTCAGCCCTCTCGACTGTCTTCCGACATGGAATACAACCTCTCATCCCAGCCTTTGGGCTCGTCGCCTTTAGGTTTCCTCACAGCCAATCCCATAGCCAATGCCATCGGTGATGCCTATAAGTCATTTTCAGAGCGACGAGCAAAGCTCGGCTTACCGAATCCCGGCACTGTCGAGACAATTGCGAAGGAGGTCCAACGAGATGTTTCCCTTGCCAACTACATGCACACTGGCATAAGAGCAGACCTTACAAAAGCTGTCAGCTTGTCACCACTGTTCCAAGTTTCCCATCAATTCGCAATGGGCGAGCACCAGAATCCTTATGCCTTTGCTGGCCTCTTTGGCACTAACAAGGTTCGTAAAACAATATCCCTCTTCTCAGCCATTGCCAATCCCCCTTTTCCCCTCGGTTTTGCTAATCTGTTATGGGCGTTACTAGGTCTTCCTTCAAGGCAACATGGATAACAACGGCCTCCTCTCAACGCGATTCAACTATCGATGGTCTCCTGCCCTTGTCTCGAAGACGCAGTTTCAGATAGGATCGCAAGATATGGCGTCAATTGAGCATGAATATGTCGGTAGCGACTTTACTTCCTCGGTCAAGATGCTTAACCCTTCGTATCTTGAGGGTGGTTTAACTGGCATCTTTATCCTGAGCCATCTTCAATCTCTCACCAGCAAGCTATCCTTGGGTCTTGAAGCGGTCTGGCAACGAGCCGCACTGAACCAACCACCCGAGTCTGCGGTATCTTACTGCGCAAAGTATAAGTCCGACGATTGGATCGCGACCGCGCAGCTACACGCCCAAGGTGCCTTAAATGCGACATACTGGCGAAGATTATCCGACAAGGTTCAGGCTGGCGTCGACATGACTCTTCAAGCAGCTCCTACTCCCGGCGGACTAATGGGAGGCGGCTTTCAAAAAGAAGGTGTCACGTCTGTCGGCGTGAAATACGACTTTCGCATGTCTACATTCCGAGCGCAAGTCGATTCCAAGGGCAAGTTGGCTTGCTACCTAGAGAAGCGCGTGGCACCCCCTGTCATGATGACTTTCTGCGCCGATGTCGATCACTTCACTGTAAGTTTCCCTTCTGGTTCAAAAAGCATATAGGACCGTTTCTGACTATTTTATTTCTTAGCAATCTGCCAAGGTTGGTCTAGGAATTAGCATCGAGGCTGGTGGTGAAGAGTTGCAGGAGCAGCAAGAGGTTCTTGGCGCTCAAGCATCTCCCAACATCCCCTTCTAAGCATCGACTTTGGTCACATTTGGATGACTCTCCTGAATAGAACCTCCCCTCTCCCAACACGACATATTTGATACACGACCTCAGCACTCGCCATCAGAACTGACCATACACCCATTGGACTGGCTTGCCGAAGAACCCGCGCAGCGTCGGCCTTTTTCTCATTGTCTTACCCAGCCCATTCCGTACGTCTGCATGTGGCGTAGGCGTTTTCGGAGGGTTAGGTTCTGCATAACAAAATCCATGTATAGATTTTCTTTTCGCACCGAACGCGGGTTGGCAAGTCCCAGTATGAAGCTCGGATGAAGCTGAGCTATCCATTTTACGAAGCACAAAGCAGAAAAGGATGGATCCATGTACAATAAGGACAGGATGGCCGCTAGGAAGGCATTATTAGGGAGGCACAGGGGCTGCGTAGTGATGCTTCACGTATGATGGGTTGGTTGGTAGTCGTAACCGGCACGACAGTTGATGATGCTCTGAGATACCGAAGAGACGCCTGTATTTCTAGTGGGGGTACTGTATATAGTAACCCATCCCATGCATGTATAAGACCGCAATCCCTCGAAAGTCGCAAGTCGCCCCTAGATATACAGCTAGTAGAGGGGACCTGTAGAAGTTGAGCCTCAGAAGCAAGTTAACATGCAATGTCTAGGGGGCCATCGTCTTTCACTTACAGGCAAGTATTCAATCTGTTAGAGATAAAACTCAGCAAAGGAGCAAGTAAAATTAGGATTCTGCAACGCTACAATCATCTGCTAATCAAGTCGTTCAGCCATCAGATTTCGACATTCCCAGGTCTTACCAACCCTATCGAACACGACAGATCCCAAAGAAAATACGCCCCTTTTGGGTATCGGAAACGAAGTTACGGTATGACAGCATTCAGCTGTATATTTCTAAAGAAAACCACGGGGCTAAAGAGTGTCACTTCAGGTCCTGCATTTTCAGGTCCTGGATGCTACATAGGTATGTACCTACATACTCATAGCCTCAGTTCGATAATAACTCGCCCCGGGGCTTTGCTCTTCATCGGTTGTCTGCCTATCATGTAATCACTCATATATAGCCTACCTAAGACCAAAACTCCGACACCTGCAGTTTCCTAGATCGCCTACGCCAATACTTCATCGGAACGGACCTTCTTTGGAGCCCGTCTTGCAGCCGCTTGATCGCGTGCTCTGAATATTGGCCTCAGCGCTAGATTAAGGGGGCTACAATACGATTACCTATTACCTAGGTAGGTGCTGGCTAAAACATGGTTGGCTGCCTACCTTAGGTGGTATATGCAGCTCTCGTGTAGCTGAATTTGTGATACTTCCCTTGCCCCCTTTGACAATCCCTTCAACTATCTCGACAATCCTGATACATCCTACCTTGTACCATTTCGGTGCTATCTTGCCATGTCACTTCTTTGATTATATTGCAGGAACATCCACCGGAGGGTTAGTTGGTCCATCTACAACCATAGCCATAACCATACCTAATGCTCTGCTAATCACGAGTCAAAACAGCCTAATAGCCATAATGCTGGGTCGTTTCAGGATGACTGTCGATGATTGTATCCACGAATACGAAACTCTCTCTGGTGCCGTGTTTGGTCATTCTCGTTGGATTCATGACATGAACACTGTGGGCGTTTATAAGCGTTGCAAATACAGCACCCAGAAGTTCCATGATGTGATCACCGAAGTTATCATGCGCCGAGTAGAAAGGGGTCAATACGATCGCCAAAATGCTCGATTTAACACAGAAAGTGGACTTTGCAGAGTGTCAGTACTAACCTGTATATTTTTTTACGCTGACTAGAGCTGACGGCCGATAGCTTGGTGATCGCAAACAAGAAAGAAGCAGAGGGCATAGTAACAGATGTTCGGTTTTTTCGTTCATACGAAATATACCCACATCCAGCATCTTTTCACATGACATTCATCCTTTCGGACAAACTTCAGAGATGAACACGGCGAAAGGCCAGGGGACATTTGTGTGTGGCATGTCGCACGAGCGACTACAGCTGCCCCATTATATTTCGAGCCCCTGAAGCTCACACCCGATGACAATACAAGGCGCCTGGGTACTGACCTACAGTCTATCGGAAGGGCCAGGCAGTCTAGTACTAAAAGACAGCTTCGTATCAACATGAGTATTGGAACTTTTGTGAGTATCGGGACAGCTCGGCCCAAGCCACAGCCAACTGGGTCTCGGTTCTCCCAAGTTATTAGAGGTGGTATAAATCGTCTCGGGGATCCAGGGCGTCATCGCCGCAGTTGTGCAACACCAGCTAGCCAGACAGTTATCCTTCATGCCTACCTACTTGATACATATTACCTCAGCCGAGGCATAATTACCAATCCATCGTAGTGCCCCCCCTCCCCATAAATAGCCACCAAACCCGATATCTGATACCAACCTTATTTTCAAGTACTAGATGTCAAACACCCCCCACCAATGGCGAGGGCACGACGCACCCTTCGAACGAGGATAGGCTCGTGGTTGCGGCGATGTTTTATCTGGGCAGTCTTGCCGTGGGTGGGTTCTGCTTTGTCGTACGTACTTACTTGCCGGGGTATAGTTCTCGTGATAAATAATAGTTGCTGACTATTTTTGTTGCTTAGTGGTGCTCTTTCTGGGCGTATAGGTCTGTGGATTTGGATGAGCCATGACCGGGCTGCTTAGAGTGGTAGAGGGTGTGAGGTTGAGCCTCTTTTATTGGAGCTGTTTCTTCACAGCCCTACCGTCTAATATGAATTATAGATACTCTCCTAGGTTAAGCTAGTGAGGGTAGATACGTCAACACGGCAAGCCTCACAGAACAGGTAGATACCAGGATCAAAGTGCGTTTCCAATTTTGTAATCTATGCTCAATAGTCAAAACAACGAAATACGGTCACATACCTGTTTAAGCTATGGTTGGTTTACTCGCGCTCCGTGCTTGAGGTCGCCTGTATAGTTGAATGATCGCCCCGTAGCCCTGGTATAGCCGGTGGGCAAGTATTTATCCTCGATGATCATCGCCTTAACGCTGTCTTCTGCCTCCAACATTTCCTTGGCCATGTAAGATACACCTTGATGACTTGAACACCTGGGGATTGTAATAGTCAATGGTTATTCATCTCAACGATACTTTTGAATAGGCATGAAGATTATAAGGAGGATTCACATCTAACACATTGTATATTTTGGTTTCTTATCAAAACGCTAGACTAGAGTATTTCCCTCCTAGATATAGTATAGGGCGGGAGAAATCTATAGACTAGGATCATATACCAAGGTAGAATCAACTACGTAAAGCCAATTCTGGTGTCATTTATCCGAGAGGGATCGTCGCTGCACGATCAATTATCCCTATTCCAAGACTTCAGTTTCACTTGGTAGTCTTAGTATGGGGAGATTTATACGTGGTATGCTTATCGTCGACTATAAATCATTGCATTACATAGGTATCAATAATAATGGGTTTCATTGTATCCGTATGGTACCATGTAGCACAACCATAAGAGGCAGCGCCATCGCCCTGCATGCTTTACCACGTAGTTAACGCCTGACTTTCTATATCCAAGCTATCCTTCATGGACGTCACGAGTTGATTCTAACTATCTTAGAATCTTTCCTGTATTTTCGGGGGATTTCGCCATTGCTGATCAACACAACCCTGGTAGTATTTTGTACCCATCTCGACTGTCATCAGGCCAGCTATAGTGACTAGCATCACGAAATGGCATACAACATCATACTGGTGACCCTTCTCCTCGTTTCGCTTTCGGTCGCCAGAGTTATCAGGCTCCCCGATGGCAGACTTCAGCTTGCCCCGCTGGATGCTCATGCTTCAGAATGGGTAAGCATGGTGATTTAGTGATTTTAAATATACCACTACTAACGATCAGCTTTTAGGGACCAGATCTCGCCAGTGCGTACCGTCGCGAGGAACCCCAGCCCAAGCCAGGAGGATCTCAGTGACAAGTGATGTCAGCTATGTAGAGAGGACACGTGAATGGCAGATTGTAGAGATGTGATAATCATATCCGACTACTTTAGAATATTTTGGCATTCAGATGAATATGGATATCTCACATAAACCAATTTTCTATGCACCTTGCAGAGATTCACGAAAAGAATTGTTCAGTAAAGTAAGAGGTGAAGTAAAAATAAGGTGTTGAAATAGGGGGACAAGCTAAAAAAGGGGTGCCAAGAAGTGAGATAAAGCTATTGTTTATCTTATCATTAGTTATCGACAATGAACTGATAAGGAATTGTATTATCGATAAGGAATTGTTACAACCTGTGAACAAAGGTACCTGGTACGTGGCCTGTCCATCTCTCTTACTTACATATAATTGAACCTCACAACTTCGATGTCTCTGGGCACAACGACGATTTCTCTCAGTCCCAGTCCCAGGTTGCCAATGCGAAACTTAGCGACTATATAATAGCCACGAATGCGATTGCTCACCACCTGAAAAAAAAAAAACCACCTCCATCACCCTACCCAGGGAACCAACCCTTCCCATCCTAGCCCAGCATGTACAACTCCCTCACCCGAATACAAAACGTCTTCGGCTTCTTCACCACCGTCGCCTTTGCCGTCGCCGCCCTCATCGCCGCCTCCGACTTCGCCAGCCCCCGAAACCCCAGCGGCTCCATAATACCCACCAATGTCCAAGTGTAAGCTCTTCACCTACCTTCCTACCTACCTACCTACCTGCCTACTCTTTCTTGTATACTAACCCAACCCCCCAAACAGCGTAAAAGGCCGGCCGCACTACTACAGCACCAAGAAAGAAGAATACGCCATCATCAAGTTCTCGCTCGACGCCGACCTCTCGTCCCTCTTCACCTGGAACACCAAGCAGGTCTTCGTCTACGTGACCGCCGACTGGCCCTCCCCCGCCTCCACCGCGAACCAGACCAACTCGGCCGTGATCTGGGACGCCATCATCACGTCCCCCAGCGCCGACCACCTCGCGAACATCGGGCCCGTCGCCCTGCGCAAGCTGCGCCGCAGCGCCGCCGGAAAGCCCGTCGACCCCTCCCGCGGCCTCCTCTCTCTCAAGAACCAGAAGCCCAAGTACCAGATCACCCACCCCACCGGCCGCATCGCCGACACCGAGGGGGTCGCCCTGCGCCTGCACTACAACGTCCAGCCGTGGGTGGGCCCGCTGGTGTGGAACCAGGCGGTCGATCTGGGCCCGTGGAAGAAGCTGGAGGGCGGCGAGAGCGAGGTCTTTGCGCTGCCCGCCTTGAAGGGGGCGAAGGGGGCGAGTGAGGGGAAGGCGAAGAGGAAGGCGAGTTAGTCAGACCCCAAGATAAAAAAATAAAAAAAAAGGGAGAGAGAAATAATTAGGAAATAGTTGGTTCTCTGTAGGTAGGCACCTACCTATCTATCTACGGGCTAGTTGATTAATTTTTTAACGAATGATGAGTTGAGTCATTTACGTCTTGATAATGCATCCATGATACATACATGCCTGCATACTGTAAAATGTGACTCCTGGTGGCCATTGCCAGGACTGATCTCTACCAAGAAGGTACCCAGGTCGGCAGGCATACAGAGAGAGGTAGGTTAGTCAAGTATAAAACCATAGTTACATTTCACACAAAAAAAACGACTTTCATACACGGTATCTATCACCCGATTCAAGAGTCTGGTTTGTTTTAATACCAGAGCACATAGTAGTATACCCACGCAAGTCAAGAGTAAAAAATGAAACCACATTATGTTTTTGGTATTAGCCGTCCTACATACTTAGGTAGGCACCTACTTAAACAGAACCTATGTAATGCCCTTGGCTACCTAGTATCCGATTCTAGGAAGCAAAGCAAACAGACTCCTTTGCCCGTCCATCGCCTCAATAGGGTATAAGGGCGATGGGAAATGCACCGCCAAACTCAACCATGTACGCCAGTTTTCATGCATATGTACAAAACCTCTCCCGTTGTTGACACCTCCCTCCTTCCCACCCTTCACGCCCCTGGGTAAACTCCAAGCAATCACTCCGTTTTCTTTCTCTCAGATCATACAGTTACCAAAAACCTCTGATGCTCAATCTGAGATGTCGACAATATCAGTCGGGGTAGGCTCATCACGTAGTTTGGCCGAGGCCATTCGGTCGCCAGGTTGTCGTCCTGCAAAATAATGACTTGTTGTCTGCGTCTTCTCTTGGTGGCAGGATTGAGTATCCTGCTTATCCTGCTTGTGAGGTTGCGCAATGTCTTCAGGTATCTCTACAGATGATACCATAGGCTTAGGATCGCCACGACCAAAAGTGCACTCCTGCGTCAATCCCTGAGAGGCCTCTGAATCGTCGACCACCATAGGCCTTGAAGGTGAAGACCCACGACTAGAATCGTAGAGCGGCGAAACAAACCTCACAGCTTCGCTTCTCTTGGCGCCATCCACACTGGCCATCATCGAACCCGTTCCCGTCGACTTCTCGACAGCCGGGGACTGAGGGAAAGAACCAGGAATAGGGCATGCCGCTTCCGAGTTGGAAGAGGAGGGCCTAACTCCTGAGTTGAAAAGCTTGCGCGCGGCCTCTCCGGCCTCTCCCTCCGGGGGGTTGGAGACATGCTGCTTAACGACCTTCTCCTTGGTTAGCGCCGCATGATCGGCGAGATTTTGTTCAGTTATATCATTTTTTGCCACCAACGGGAGCTTGAGGGTCATTCGATTGATGTCCTTCTCTTTAGCCAATGACGCCTCCTGCTGAGATGGTTGCTCATCCGTCACCGATGCTTTCCTCTTCTTCGACATTCGCAATTTGCGTTTCTCTTCTCTTTTCTCTTCTTTGTGCGCATTTTCTCGATCTTGCTGTTCTTTTTGGAGCGTAAAAATCAAGTCCCTAATGCTGTTTCGGAGTCCCGATGGCTCCAGATTCCAAGCAATCTCATCATCATGCCGAAGGAGACTACGAACAAACTTGTCGGGATCTTTAAGAAACTCCTGAATGTATCCTAGCAAATAGAGACCACAGTCGCAGTAGTTCGTTTGCTGCGGTATACCCTTGGCCGTCATACCCAAAGCTCCAGGGGTCGGGATCTCAATACCCTTCTTGTCCTTCAGCTCTGCAATCAAGTACTGCTTAAGACAACTGCAGGCCGGAGAATGAGAAATCCCTAGTGAGTCGAGCGTGATGATCTTGGTTTGGTCTGGGCTCAGCTTTCGAGGGCCCGAACTAAGTCTCTTTCCTATTTTTTTCGGGAGCATATTGTCATTGGCCGGTAGAGCCTCTGGTTCGTCCTCTTTGAGATCACTCTTGACAAGGTTTGCCTCCGTGTCTTGGTCGTGGCTCCTCATGCGCAAATCAGTCTTCTGCTCTCCTGGATTGGTTGCTGCTGCTGTCTGCTTAGCTTTTTTATCCAGATAGTCAGGGCTACTAATTGACATACGGCTTAACTGGTTTACCATATCGATTTGTATTGTAGGGACCACGGTCTCTGAACTTGCGGAGTCGTCCAATTTCTGATCGTCTGAAGAGGTACTAGACTCTCCTCCGTTGCCGTCCTCCTCGATGGTGACTGATTCTCTGGGCTTGGCCTCGGCTTTCTCGATCTTGTCCGGGCATGGGACAAGTTTTGGTGCGTTATATATGATTGCAACATACCAGTGAGAGTACTCGTTGATCGGGACAATGATGTAATCCTTGGAGAAGAGATCTACTTTGGAGGTCCATGCCTTCACACTATTGTAGTTGATGCCGTGATGCGTTCGTCCAGACTTCAGTTTCTCATAGAAGAAAGTATTTTGAAAATAAATCCTCTGAGCAAGATCTGGCCTGTTTGCCTCTAACGAATGTTGAAGGTAGCGTAGATAGAAGATGATCAGGTTGTCATTCAGATATTCGCCCTCGTTTAGCCGAACAATATCTTCCTTGTCAACAGTAGCTCGACTCTTGCCCTGGGAGGGGAAAATGAGGGAATTGCGCCATTTCGTCTCCCAGCCTTTATTTTGGGTCGTCCATCCGGGTGTAGGAGGTTCCTTTTCCAAAGGTGGGTTTTCCTGGGGCGCCAACTTGGAACGAGTCGCTCGAAGTTGTCGTTGAGCTTCATCATGTTGCTGGCGATCACCGGATTGCACTTTTATTGCTGGGTTTCGCTGAGACGTAGAGCCATACCGATTCATCATATCCTTTGTCTTTCCTTGACGAGACGGAACATGTGGTCGGTTAGCGGATTCTCCTTGTTTCGTACGAGTTGCCGCATTGTGCTCTATGAGCTTCATATCGTCTCCAAGCAAGTCATCATCTCTAACGACTCTGCTCTTAGTAGCTTTAGCCATCATATTCTCGAGCTCCTTTTCAAGCCTATCCCTATACATTGCATTAATGGCTGTTCATAGACAGGGAGGAGTATAGACGTACTGTTTGTCAATAGATAGTGGCGTTTCTCGGACGCCTTCTTTATGCATTACTACCCATTGCTTGAAGTGCTCAAGATCCTCAGGGGATAAAAACTCGATGAGTAGCTTTGGGCTAGCACTGATCGTACCATCTGTAGAACGACTAATTGAGACTATGCAGCAATTGGGCTTCATGGAAACCCTAATGTCCTGAACCTTCATCAAGTTGATCGTAATATATGAATATTGTTTCATAGAAGTGCCCTTTGAATCCGTTGGATGGAGTATGTGGCTCACTCTTCCCAACTTTAGGGAGCATTGTTCCACACCCCCTGTCTCGTACTTGAAATCGCCCGACACAGCTCGTCGTATACAAAGCCTTGGCCCAATAACGTTTGTGGCGTGGTCCACCTCTTTCAATGTTGAAGTGTCATGAAGCGAGTTTGAGAACTTAGTTCGCTGGATATTGCCTCTGTTGGATATGCTTGGAGAAGGGGGATGGACCTTCTTGTTGGGCACCTTGGTCTTACTGTATGCCTCCGACGACAGTTCATCTGGGCTGGATAATACACCCCGCGGCTGGCCTTCCTTCGATCCCTGCTTGTCAATGATGCTGTCTACCTCTAAGGCGGCGAGGGTTTGCTGGTTATGTCCTAGAGCCATCATTTTGCCCTGTTTAAAGCGCCCCGCCAAATCCGTAATAGGCTGCTGGACCTCTTTCTTCTGCTGTCTCGCGACAACTCTCTCTGTGCCTGGTCCTTGGACTACCTCCACCTCGCCATCACTATCATCATTATCAGGATCAGGGAGAGTAATCCAATTTTGATTCTCCCCTTTGGATTGCCTTGCGCGTGAGTCATGCCGTGGTCTCTTATTAGGTAGTTTCACGGAGCCCTGCGATTTACGATATTCTGCGAGACATGGTTGGGAGGATTGATGTCTTTTGGCCTGAGACGATCGTGACATATGGGTTTGTTGGGAATCGCTAATGCTATCGAAAGAGCGTTTACGAGGTATCGGGTGATGAGCAGAAGGATTAGTTGGTGAGGCGAGGGCAAATTGAGCAGTCGTGTGTGTACTCGGCTCCTGGACCTTTTGGCGTTTCGAAGGCGGTGGGCTCGAGTTTGGGCGTGCAGTCATGATTCGTGTAAGGCGTGAGGGAGTTTGGTTGCTGCCATTGAGCTTGTTGATGGGCATGAATCCAGTAAGACTCTTCAGTTTGTCCTTTTGACACAAGAGTTAGAAATAGGAAGCCCAAAGTAAATATGCATCGCTAGAACCTACGTAGTTACTGCTCATATTGTCGCAAGTGCCTTCTCCAAGGCCTGGGCCGACTTTATTCAACTTAAGGCAACGAGGTGTAAAGTTGGCCAAACCTCTCTGGCGATTTCGGAGAGGATGTTAGGTGAAGTTGGATCTTCCAAAGACGATGTCGCTTTGGTTCGAGAGCCAGGTTAATAAGTGCACGAATAGAAGTAGCTTGATATCGCTTACTTGTCGACATGCTTGGCCTTGCGCTCTTGTCTTGGTAGCATGTAGAGATGCTGATAGGGCTAGCCAGTGCGAATGCGCATTCGCTTTGTGACGTATAGGTAGGTGAAAGGAGGATGCAGGTGTTTCCCACAGAGAGGCAAATCAGGGAAACGGTGATGTAGAACAAAGTAAAATAAGGAACCACAGTCTGTAGCAACTTAAGTTCGCGACTGTATTGCCCGTTAGTACGGCCTAGTAAGAGCAAATATATCTAGTATATGCACTGTCGGCGAAGAAAATAAATTCTGCATGTAAAAAAATGTACCTAATGAGTTGAAATCTACCAGGCCGGAGGTTACCTAATAGCTTGGCTGGCAACCGTTGGTTTGGTAGGCTGGTTGGTACATAATAGGTTATTACTAGGTATTATTATTATTATGTAGTTGGTATTTCGGCTTGGGGAAACATGAACATTGATGAAGAAAGAAAAGAACGAAAAAAAGATTGAGTGGCGGGGCTAAATTGTCAGGGCTGCTAGCCTATTTAGTAGGTATTTGCGTGAACCGGGTTAAGGTAACCTTGGAAACGCTTGCAGGTAGTTACATACATACATATGTAAATGTACCTTGACTAATGTAAGTATTCAATGTTTTTAATGGGTACTGTATCTGTGTACTATCTGCAGGAAATGCGGCTGCTAGCGGCTGCAAACCAATCCAGCCAGTCACCTGGCCTCGTACCTACAAGCTTTAGTTGCGACTTTATTAGTCCCGATTTACGCGGTTAACGCGTTACCAAATGCCTTGGGATTTCACTATTATCACTAGGTATTAACTCATTAACCCAAATGGTTTTATGTGACAAGGGGTTTTCATATAGTTACACACGATGTACATATGTATCCCGACTGCTTGTTACTTGGGGTATGTACATTCAATGTTAACTATTTCATCATTGATGTATGTATTTATGTTATTTACACAAATGCAACTCAATCACACATATCGACTTAAATACTTACCTAGGGTATTCATTGGAACCTAGAGATTGATAGGAATGTTTCCAGGGTGATCACTGCGTTTGATTTGAGTATCAAATCTTATGAACCAACCCTATCACTGTCACAACTAACTTCCTTTAAAACCTCTTGCATTTCAACTAAACTTCCAGTATATCAATACACTTAGGCGCTGTACTACTAGTAGTATACAACATACATTCAATGTTCTGCCATATATCCATACATCCGTTCCTCGTCTAATCATCGTAAATCGTACTTTTATATCCGGATATAGATCATAGGCACACCACAATTATCCCTTCATAAATACCAAGGTTACCATAAGCGTCATCTCACTCCCCAACGTTTAGCATTACTACACATCCGGGCTCGCCGTCGCTGTCGCCGTAGCAAGCAGCGCCGAAGAAGCCGTCGCTAACTGGTATAGCTCCAGTCTGTTTCCAGCCCCGCAATACTCATACCGATTACCGGCACAGACCATGGTCTGGCAGTCGGTCTCAGGGGCAGGAGTGCTGAGGCTATCCAAGGTATCGCCACAGTAGCACTCGCGGCCGTACTCTGCCCCCCAGTACGTAAACCCGGCGCAGTTGGAAGCACACATCTCCAGTGTCATAGAGTCGTTAGCGTAGGATGCCCCTGTTAAAGCCCGGCCGCCCGAAACTTCGTTGTAGCAGCCGACCCGGACATAGGGCGAGACTGTCGGTTTGGGGGCCAGTGTGGCAGTTGGCATTGGTTGGCTGGCTGTAGTGCTGTACAATTCGATTCTATTGCTATCTCCGCAGTATTCCGTGGTATCCCCGCCGCACACCATTGTGCAGTCAGTCGAGGGCGCATTTTCGCTTGTTGGGTCAAGCGAGTCACCACAGTAGCCTAAAAGAAGTGTCAGTCGCTTCGATAACTACCTAATCATAACGGCTCGTGCGCGAAACTTACATTCCCGGCCATACTCTGTGCCCCAGTAGATATAGCCGGTACAATTACTCATACAACTTTCTAGGGTCATACTATCGTAAGCAAACGAAGCACCATTCAGAGCTCGTGCTCCCCCTGTTGTGGATTCCTTTTGGCATCCTACAAGCTCGTATCCCCCCAAGTCCTGTCTGTGATGTAATGTCTCTGTTGGTGCTGTAGAAGAAGTGCTTGTGCTAGTTGACGAGACAGTAACCGACACAGTCGATGACGAGGTAGTGTCAATGGACAAAGTAGCCGACGACGCAGAAGATGTCGACGCTCCTCCTGTGTTACATAGGGACGAGGGCGGGTTTTGGAAAGGTTGGCACGCTGCTCCCAAGTCACTTGCCGCATTAAAGTCGTCCCTAAGAGCTGATGATTCACTTCCACTAATAAGGTCAATTTTAGATGTATATGCAAGATCACCAAGGTTAGTGTAGTTCGCCGTATAAAAGGTATGCGAGCCCACACAAGTCCCTTCAGTCATAGTCACTGTCGCATTTCTCAATGTTGGTACAGGACGATTTGGATTTCCAGTCGGGGTCTTATACGAGATAAACATGTTAACGGGAAGGGTTTTGCGGTCATTGCGGACCTGTTGATATCTTAGTATTCAGATGAACAAGCTGTTTACAGTTGGAATCGCTAGGATGACCTACGGCTGCGGTTACTGTGAGAGTTCCAGCAAGGAGACAGCTTTGAGGGCTTTGAATTAGTATCGCGTCTTGCATAGGATACGAGTTGCCGTTGTTGTCAAAAGTCTGGCTTGTTCCGCTTGCCATGTTAAGGGTTACGGTGAAGGATGAAATGCCGGTAGAGGTTGAGATAGCAGCATCGATGGGAAACCACTAACGAGTGTCAGATTACTCTAGCGAGCCAACATCACACATTATTCTATATACTTACAACAAACTGGTCGTCAAACCCCTCAGTTGCACCTAAAAGAGTTGCTGTATATTCACAGCTCGTCCTATCACAGTCATCACCTCCATTCCGGTCCTTGTAATTGAGTGTGAGACTAGAGACAGAGTCAGTTCCCATATCTGTAGTTCGCACACGTATCAGTCCAGTCAACTGCATCGTAGTGGCCCCAGGATTAAGTGCCAACTGCATGTTAACTGGCTTCACAGAGTACGGTTGAATAGGATCTGAGAGAACCACGCCGGTTGGCACGGTATCAATCATTTTTCGGAGAAGGGTTGTGCATATGCTATTGAAATCCGCAGCACCTGCCATCGCACTAATAGTCACGTTCCCATCGTAGTTGAATACTTTGAAGTCCGAGTTCCTGGTTGCCCTAATCGATGGACCAACCACCAAAGGGTTTGTCGTGTTTCCAGCGAGGTACTCGGTAACGACATTGTTATCGAAGACTGCGACAGTTGAATCCAAGGCAACCTCGCCATTTGATGCAGACCCGACAGGAACGATTTCCGGGAATTCGTTGTCGTGTACGCCGCCGATCGAATGGCCACAGGCGGTGACTTGAATCATCTCCTCTCTATCAAACCCCATGCGTATGAATTGCTGCTCAAAAGTGAAGGCAGTGTTCTGTGGCAGCGGTACACCTATGGGACCAGCTGTCAGAGCATCAACTCTCCCACCGGAGACGGGCACTATAGGTCCACCACAAGACCTAACGGAATAGTATACGCCTAGAGCGATGAGATCCGCTACACTTGATCGACTAGTATAATAGTCGGCCATGAACCTGAGGGTTGTGTTAAACCCTGGGCCAAGATTGTCCGAGCTAGTTAGCTCATACTGTAAAGAGCCATCAAGCCCACCGGCTCGTACGTTATTCAGATTCGTAGTCGTGGCCATGTCATGGAAAGCTGCTCGCAGCCACTCCGCGGCATTCTGTCGACCAGGGCCCGATGCTTCGTTAGAACATGGAATGACAGTCCCACCGAAATTCCTACTCCTATAACCTTTGACCTGGTACATGATCTCTTCGAGTTCATCATTCTGAGACGGCCATGTTGGATCAGCCCTCGCAGAAAAAATCAACGATAAAATAGCCCCCCAACATAGAGAGATCCAGTGCATCGCTGTAGGTGATATTAGTCAAACCAAATACAAATATTAATAAGCAAGATATCTACCGCTAAAATATTAGACAAAAACACGCTCTAAACCTATAGAATGAACATAGGGGGGCAACGACGTAGATAAAGAGAGTAAGCACAATATTTGACTCGGAGAAGGACTCTGCCACCGGAGGATAGACTCAAGATTCAACAGGAGCAGAATATAGGGGATATCCAACGACCTACATAGCGATTCACGTACTGATATGCTTCCATTACTACCTCGTCTCGGGCAATGCTTTGACAATATCTGGGAGATAAGGGCGCGAGCCGCCCAAGTGTGGCAGCTGCAGACCCCCTGCAAAAAATTATAATACGAGACCTCGTAGCGATGCAATGCTACGCAGGGTGGCACCTAAAAGCGGATTGGTCAGTGGCCAACCTCTCGTGGGAGCTTCCAGCCGCACGGGTATAAAGATAACTAAAGAGGCCATCATAGCTAACGAGCATATGTACTTGCCTGGCGTGGTTCGTCTACCTCCATAGGCCACATTGGCCTTTGGAATTATATAGTTGAAGACTTTTGGTCATCATGTCTATGGAAAGAATCGAGTGTAGACATATGTAACTGGACTCTAGCGAACATGCAGAGTACAAGGTATGGATAAACAGGTCAGGAACGAAGTAGAGAGTGCTGATTGTTAGGACAGGCAGTCTAGAAAACATTAGGTATGTAAAGAATACCTCAGTTGCACCCAATGGGTTAACTATTGCAGTAGAGTTAGCAAGTGACTTTACTTTTGATAACTTACGCACAGGTAGGTCATTGACCAGCTCGTCGCCGAGCAATGCCTTTTCGTTGGCCCATCTTTGCGAACCACTTTCGGGATTGGCACTTCGTACTTAATACATATTGTCAACTACATGTACCCTGAAAGATGGCCTCTGGGACGGCTGGCTTAACCGACTTTGAGGTGGGGGGGCGCTTTCAGCCTCATGCAATCCACGCCGATACCACCTACATATACATAGTAGAACACAGAGAAAATCCCAACCCTAAGAAGGTATGAGCTCATTCAGACACACCCGATGTCGTATAGAATGACCTATAATGCTACATAGGTGGAATGTTCAATGTTGGTTTTCAGGTTGTCGGATAATTTAGATGAGATGAAATTCTTTCTCGAGCTTGGCAACTCGACGGTGTTAGAACTTGGCATAACAGTTCCCTTGAGGAGATGATCTGATGAGCATGAAGTGTAACCTGAGAGAAGTTTGCAAAAGTCCAACAGTCCAAAGCGTTTTCACGTTGAACAAGACAAGTGGTTAGTTAGCTGCGGCCACTAATAACGGGAGCTAAATGCTTACCAAATTAGCTTCCTTCTTAAGCGTGGTCCAAGAACCTAAGAGATCTGTATGGGGGATGTTTGTTTGTTAGCATGGAGCAAACTGCGCTACTACATCATTTGCATCATAATTGGATGTGTATAAGAGAGAAACCTCGAAATCTGTCACTGCGCCGCGAGTGCTAAATGAAAATTGAACCCCGGCACGTGCCACGAGCGAGGGGCATTGCCAGGGATCAGACCAGGATCAGGGATAACTCGGAAAGCTCCAAGCCCAACCCTTGCAGAGGACCCTGAAAAGGTCACGGGCCTAGAACTTTTTGACCACTGCAGGAGCTGCAACTCTTTGCGATTTCAACTTCACAACTTCCTCTCCCGTCCTAGTTTCTACCACACTCATTTGTAGGCGAGTGACCTCAATATCGATGTGGCGCTGTCAAAAGCCCAACATCGTTACGAAGGAGGCGTTTTTTATACGCGATAGGGAATACAGCTGAATTCTGATTGGTATGATTAGCTTTTCGATCAGCTCCGAGGTGGTCAGCCTCACTGAGCAGTTTTGTTGCAACCTGATGGGTTACCTTGGTGATCGGGAACATCTCGAAATCGTCCTATAATTACCTTAAGGCTTACCTATGGTTGTGTAACAGATGATTGCTTATTTTGGAGGCCAAAAGTCTCAATGTTCATATCTCCATGTATTTACAGGCCTTTCCCGGCCTAATGTTATTGGTTTATACGTAGGTAGATAAGTTTTAGACCTGGGGGACTCAGGTATAACTACGTCTTGAACTTAACGAAAGGTAATATTTTAGGGTTTGGAATAGAATAGCAATCAGAAGTTGAAATCGTCCATATAGTTCTCTCAACATCACCCCGTAGATTCAATCCCAACCTACGCACTCTCAGGCTTTCGACCATATACGAATCGAAGTGTCATGTATCCGTGGATAGCCTTTGACTTGAACTCCTTACGCAGATGCGCTAGGGTCTCGTGATATCCTGGAGTATCTTCTCCGTGCACCACATTCCACGGGAGCAGGGTGTAGCCTGTGTGATTGCCATGTTAATTGACTCTTTTACGTCCGGTCCTCAATACACGATTCTCAAAACAGATAAACGGCTCAGGAAGACAGTGGTGGCATATAGATAGGAACGGAGGGAGGCTGTGAGACTTACCTGAAAGATCGTTGAGTAGAGCAAGTAGTGTGTACTCGCCAACTTCCGCTAGCTTGGGATCCCGAGCCCATCCGCCGATAGGTACCTATAGTTAGATCAGCATACAGATATAACATGCCATTACAGAACCTAGCTCGAACTGAACGTGACCAAGAATGAAATATGTTTACTCACCTTGTAATTCACTTCTTCGATATCCACGAATCCAGCCTCTTCGAATCCCTTGTTCTGGGACCTGTCTTCCAGGACCTGGAAACTGACCCCCAGCTTCTTGGTCATCTATCTCATGTTCGAATTAGTTACTTCTTGTTTCATATGGTGCCCTCATGCTAGAGTGAGTGGGGAAAAGGATGGCAATAGGAAGGTATATTAGGGGTTAAATATGCAACTAGAAAGAAAATCATGTGGATTGAGAAAGAAATGGACATACCCCTCTCCAAAGAGGATTCCAAAACTTGATAATGGTGCTATCCTCCTTGAGGGTTCCATCGTCTGAGTTCAGAAAAACATCCATCTCGGCAGATTGGACCCAACCTCCAGGCTTGCAGCAACGATAAGCGTTGGCCAAGAGCTCGTTCCAGTCGGAGATGGCACCAAACAGGTAACGCATGTGAATGAAATCGAAGCTGTTGGGCGCCCATGTCCACTGCTTGGTGCAATCATCGATCTCAAACTTCACGTTCGGCGGAACCCACAGCGGCTGGGTTGGGGACAGGTCTGTTCCCGTGATTTCAGCGTTTGGGTATCGGTCACCCATGTCGCTATATTCAAGTAAGTACTATGGCTTATGATGGGTGTAATGGGATTCAATGATATCAAATGTATATTCATGAGAGCAGAAAAGGTGGGGCGAAAAGGGGTTGGGGGCTTCAAAATCAGGAGGTGAGAAGAGTCAATTACATGGCCCAAATTCCTATCATTTGCCCCGAGTCAGCATTTCATCTGTCCAAGATGATAGTCAGGTCTTTGCGAATGATCGCTTACCAGTTCCAGTTCCGACGTCTAACACTTTCTATGCCACATCAGCATTTAGCAGTCTAATACCCAAGATCGGTGTAAAAGTCACCTCGATGTCTTCCTTGATAGGTGCAAGAAAGAGTTTGTCATCTAGAAGAATAGATAGATAATGATGTCTATATCAGCAAATTAGAACTAGTAAGTTTTGAGCCAAGGATGAACGCCATCCTTACGTGATGTCCTGAGACTGCATCTGCTGCTCGTCGTTTGGCGTAAAGTACTTGGATTCGTGCTTCTCGCTGTGGTACGTCCGGCCTTTGATGGTGCGATACTCCATAATGCTTGAGGTGAGGGAGTTCGTACTGCTGGCACTGTGACAATTGTAATGTTATTAAGCTGTCCTATCCATTGCCATTTATGTAGGTATATAGAAAAACGAGTACTGACTTATCATTTCCTAATGCTGAATCAGCATCCTCGTCGAATTCCTACAATATAGAAACGGCGTCCGTCAGTAACTGAGACTAGATTGTCTTCCACATTCTCCTATGTTCACCACTTCCGGACTTAGCCAGTTCAGCTAACAGTATACATACCTCCTCTTCTTCAAGCTCGGGGTTTGCCTCCAGTAGATCATGTGACGCTTCTGCTGGCGGCGTCTCTGTCTCTGTCTGTGCTGTTTCTAGCTGCGGAGTGGCAGCAGGGCTTGGAGCGGACGGTTGGTCTGCCATCTCTAATCAAAGTTGTCGGTGAACTAGCTAAAGCTTGAGATATCAAGTTCCAAGAGTATACATCAAGAAATCCAACCAGAACAATCAAGACCTATATATCGTAAACCAAGAGCAAAGATGTTGGTTCTGAATGCTGTAACTGCATATGAAAATCACGTGGTTGGAGATAGCAGGCCTGGTATTTTTCCCAGTTAGGGATTATCGCCGCCCCCCTCTTTCCATGAGTTCTCTAAAGTTCCCTATTTATTTGATGGTTATATAGTAACATATACCACACGATGACCTAACTTGACTAGGGACCTACCTATCTTTATGCATATTCAATGCACGGATTTGCTAGTCTCACTTAGCTTTTCTAGATTGAGGCATATACAATCCTACATATGTACCCTTAGGAGTCGAGTACGGACTAGGTAGGTACTTGATAGGTGTGTAGCACGTACATATCTAGGTACGGTAGAAAGGAACGTCGTTCGTGGTTCTCGTTATGTAGCATCCAAATATATGAAGTTGTGGTGTTATGTGAGGTTTGACTGTATGCACAGTACATATGTACTACATAAGAGAAGAAGAAGATTGAAAAGGATGCAGAGAATCCACCACATTGATATATCAAAAAGTCTTCCATAAATAGGTACATACCACAGTGTGTCGCACTTTCCAATCTGACGTACATAACTACCTGCCACTAGTTATCTGGCAAGCCGTGAACTAAACATTGAATTCTGACCAACGGTGTGGATCTATGGTGTGACCAATCGCCATCTTCACAAGTGGAAATAGTTAGATATAGGGCAAACTAAGCACCAACGTTGATATCTTATCCGCTCCTGGATTATGAATCCGAATTGGTGTAGTGGCTAACATTTGACGCTCTCATGACATTAAAACCGTTACGATCCGTCAAGCCCGGGGTTCGATTCCCCGATTCGGAGGTTTCTTTTTGGGCTTCAATTGTCTTGATTTTTTTTTCCGAACCTTTTGTTCATTCAAATAATACATGTATTAAATAAATTATGCCTTCTCCTTGTTCAACTTCATTCTCATTCATGTATTGGAAAATGCTAATGAAACATTGAAGAAGTTTATTTTTTTAATATGCATGTGTAGGGTAACTAGATTATCATATGAGGCGTAAATGCATAATGCATTCTTTTAGAAGGGATTCTTTGAAAAAGTGGGATGAATAGAAGTGGGTCATCGGTTTTCTCAAAATTCGCTTAGCCCTCAACTCCACACTCCAACCCACAAGAAAAATAATTTGGTGGGAGGAACTTCTGAACTTTGCGAAATTTCGACAACCAAAACCTCCAATTCCTTTCTTGAGACCATCAACCACCAACGTCAAAGGTAAGTCAGCGCAAGTCGCATCTACTATATCATTTCTTATTTTTTTTATTAATTGTATGATTCCTACCATTATTCTTCTATGCTGTCAATCAATTAATATTAACTCTTTTCTCTCTTAGAATTCCGACATTCACGATGGCCTCGAGACCGACCGTCACCATCATCGGCAAAGATGGTACTCCCTCGGGAGCTACCCACACCATGCCTACCGTCTTCGCCTCCCCGATTCGACCTGATATCGTTCAGCAAGTCCACACCGGAATGGCCAAGAACAAGCGACAGCCCTATGCCGTGAGCGAGAAGGCAGGTCACCAAACCTCTGCCGAATCCTGGGGAACTGGTTAGTAGTTATTCAATATCTTCCTTTTGACCTCAGACTGTTCGATTGGGTAGCCTCGATCGACCTATTTCATATTTATTATGATTTACCACTAGTTTTATCTATAAAAACTTATTACAATTGCTGACAAATTTGTTTCAAGGTCGCGCTGTCGCCCGTATCCCCCGTGTTTCCGGTGGTGGTACCCACCGTGCTGGTCAGGCTGCCTTCGGTAACATGTGCCGTTCCGGTCGTATGTTCGCACCTACCAAGATCTGGCGCAAGTGGCACATCAAGATCAACCAAGGCCAGAAGTGAGTAGAACATCCGTGAAAACATTGGACCCCAATATGCTAGACTAACATCCCAAAAAGGCGATTCGCTACTGCCTCTGCTCTTGCTGCTTCCGCAGTTCCCCCTCTATTGCTCGCCCGTGGCCACCAGGTTTCTGCCGTTCCCGAGGTTCCCCTAGTTATCGACTCCGCGGTTTTCGAGGGAGGTGCTGCCGCCAAGACTGCCGACGCCCTTAAGATCCTGAAGGCTGTTGGTGCCGATGCCGATATCGAGAAGGCTAAGAAGTCCAAGAAGCTACGCGCTGGAAAGGGTAAGATGAGAGGCCGCCGTCACCGCCAGCGACGTGGTCCCCTAGTCATCTACGACCCCGAGGTTGACGGCAAGGAGATTGTCACCGGAACCCGCAACCTACCGGGCGTTGAGACTTGCTCCGTCTTCGCCCTGAACCTTCTCCAGCTTGCCCCCGGTGGTCATCTCGGCCGATTCATCGTCTGGACCTCGGCTGCATTCAAGGCTCTTGACTCCATCTATGGCACTACCACCACGCCCTCTGAGCTCAAGAAGGACTTCCTACTACCTTCCAACTTGGTCTCCCAGGCTGACTTGGGCCGTCTCATCAACAGCTCTGAAATCCAGAGTGTGCTCGAGGCTCCCAAGGGCGGTCCCCTAACCAAGCGTGCTTCCGTCCAGAAGAACCCTCTGCGCAACAAGCAGGTTATGCTCCGATTCAACCCTTACCACGCCACGTTCGTGAAGAACAAGGTTGGTCAGCAGAAGGCGAGCGAAGGCAAGCCCCCCAAGGCCCCTCAGGGTTTCTTGGAGGTCCTCCGCGAGAACTAAAAGACTAGCTTGGTGAGCAGCATAGTCTAGGGTTAGGGAATTGGTGCATCGTTTGCTATAGTCACGGCGTAATGGTTCATAGGGTCTCATGAATCAATGGACATTCTCATTCTGATCACCATAGTTGGCCCCCTCTGTGCGCTGTCAGTCTCCCCAAAAGGGAGTCGGCCGGTTAAATTGTCAAAAGCAACTATTATGAATTTCCGTGCTGTCAATGTATCCATACACTGCTTTCCGTGCAAGGAGCTTGTTCTCCTTATAGCCAAAAGGTAGACCCTAAGAAATGATTGTAATTGGTAACATGAAACTCCTCATGAAGTGCCATATGGGCCTGCAGTAAATCAAATTCCCTTTCTAACGATAAGATCATAATTATTTCTAGATATTATCCCATGTGGATGACTTACCTAAGAGCCGAGATATACACACCTACCCATCCAATGGCCTGCTCCTAATTATTTTGGCCTATCAAAGGATAATGATATTATATTTGAAACCTTTTGGTGTTGCAGTTGCAGCAGATGTTTTTCTGGCGCTGCGGGTGATGGATGATATTGGTTGGAATGTGTTGTTAATAATTACGCCACTTACTGTACTTCCCTCCGTCGTCTTTCGCTCCTGCTCCACTCTCACCTTACCTACTACTACTACTACTAAATATCTGGATCATATCATATGCATCTTGAGTAGGTAGGTAGGTAGGTAACTTGGCAAGATGTAAAAGATTTCTCATATATAAATAAATCTACCTCTAGGTAACTCGCTGGTATATCTAGTTTTGGAAAAAAAAAAGACAAGCCTGAAGATGAGCTTTAGCTGATGTCAGCTGATACCAAATAACTATTCCAAAAGTCTCAGGTAGGTACTGACTCTCCGAGACTCACTCATGTAGCCTTACTAGCCAACTGGCAAGAAGGGATGGGGTACCTTAGGTAAGTAAGTATAAAAACCCACCGAGCGTCCAAGTCCATCCACCCCTTACCAACTACTTATATCCGTGCACCCACCGCCTAACACCTAACACCCCATCCAACTTCCCAAATTCGTGAGCCCAGTCACCTGCTCCACCTCCGCATTCAAACTACTTGTCTCGTCCAGAATAGCCTCGAGCTCCTTGACATTCTTGATGCGCCAGAACTTCTGCACGCCCTGGGTGAACCGGAGAGAGCAGGAGTCGATGTTCTCCTCGGACTCAGCAGCGAAGCACATCCGGTAATAGGCCCAGCCCCGCTCGGTGCGGATCTTCGGTGTGGCACCGAACATGAGACCTGGGCTCACAAGCACTAGGTATGGCTTCTGGGTGAGAAAGATCATGAGCGCTGTAGACATGGCCGTCCCGTCGATGATGTTCCCCTTGGACCCGGGAGCCTTCCACAGCGGGTGCGTCTCGAAGCGCATGCGCACCCAAAGGAACATGCCACCTCGCGGCCACTGAAAGTCGTACAGCTTTGTCTTAGTGATGACGCCCCAATCCCAGTCCGACTCGCGCATCGGTGTCGACTGCTTCAACTGATACGCATTCTCTTCGAGGATCTTGCACATGCGGTTCATACGTCTCTCGTACTGGCCACGCAATCCCTCTAGCCACCGCACCCAGCCACCCATCTCCCAGCCGTTGAAGGTAGGCTGATCCTTCCGGGATTTAGCGGCGAACGCTGCGGATGCCTGAGGTTGCGGCCCTATGATCGTCTCGGCGATGATAACCTGGACAAACCCGGATGGATTTTGGGTACCCGATTCGCTGACCCGGAGTATACGCTCACAAATTTCAGGCGTGCTAGTGATCCATCCCAATCGGCACCCGGGAGCAACGGTTTTCGAGAAGGTGTCTAGCCTCACAACTCGACCGTCTACGTCTACATTGAGGAATGATGGTGCGAGAGAATCTATAAATGGATAACCTGACTTCTTTTCGAGGGTGTTGGCCTCCTTTGGCTCGGGAATAGGTAGGTTCCGGGCCTTCGCCTCCTCGACTGCTGCAGATGGAAACTGAAGATACCAATACGGGTCATCCTCGATGATGATAACATCATATTTGCTGCAGACCGAGTACAGATCTCTCCTCCTCTCTAGGGACAAGACACCGCTAGTTGGGTTATGCCCCATTCTTAAAGGATTTGTTAGCGAATTACACATCTTTTTCTACTAGTGCCCTGGATATGCTTGAACTGTAGAGCATGCCAACTCGCATACGGACCCCATGGTTGGAGAAGGAAGGGATATCAAGAACTCACGTGACGGTGTACAGTAAATGGGGTCGTTTCCCCTTACTATAATCCCAGTTCCCCAGCACATCCTCTAGACTACCAGGACCATAGGGCGCCATTCCCTCCTCATCCATCTCGATGGCCACTACTTGGATTCCTCGAGGCAAGACCTGGGTGAGCACGTTGGCATACATGAATATGTCCGTTACCAGGCCCGGTCGCTCGCGTATATCGTTTTTGCCTTCCACCCAAATATTGCTGAAAACCTCTAAAGATTTGGACATGCCATCCGTCGAGCCAACGGTGAAGACTACCTCGGGTCCTCCTCTATACGGCACGTTTGGATGCAAAAGGTCGCGTGAGAATTGTCGGATAAAGGATGTTAGCGGCAGATAACCGTTTGCCTGACCGTACTGAAGGGCAGTGGTGAGATCGATCTTCTTCACCAAATCCGAAGTAGGCGCATCATGAGGCACGACAACGTGAGATGCCGTAGTTGGATTCGAGATTGATGTTTCGGCCATTTGCGAAGCCAGCGCGCCGTTGGGGTCAGGGTAATTTGGCGAAGGGGTCCATCGTTCGGGCTTTGCGGTCTGCGCCTCGAGGGTATCGAAGGGGAAGAGACGGTCATTGGGAAGGCCTAAGACATGATTATATATCAGCGTTCATAATTCATATCGCGACGATCGATATACATTTATACATCGGTACATGGAATCAGATGGCAGAAAGGTAAAGTAAGTAATTGAGAAGGATTTCGTACCACCGGCAAGTTGACCAATGTTGGGGATCATGAAGTATTTATAGAATTCCTTCATTCTGCTAGGCTGTCTAGCCTTCGTCACATCGGAGAAGTGATGGGACATATCCTTAGGTAGCGGGCTCGCCATATCGGCGATATTATCTTGAGATGTCTCCATGACGAATTGAATCGGATCGACCACTCGTCCTACACAGAAAGTGACCTACCCTAGGTACCTAAGGAAGGAAGTATGTAGGGGTTATAGTTGTATGAAGATATTAGGAGGGTATCACACACAATGGGTTGCATGTGTTTTTGGAAGACTATTATGTAGATGGGTAGGTATACCTAGTAGTTTATAGTCAAGCTAGGACAGCCTATGTAGACTACAACTGCAGGCCTGGTACGTGTTCAATGTTTCTCCCTCTTAGGCAGGCAGACAGGTACACAAGACAGGCAGATACGTTTCTTCGCCTGTCGGTACCTTCTTATTACTACTGGGCACGCCCTATAAGCAACATTACAACCCTTGGGTACTTACATGGTAAAGTTTACAAGTACGAGAGGATGACAAATTCGATAAGAAATGCAGATAGACTTAGCAGTTTTAGGAACAATTCCGGAAGACGCAACCCAGGGGTCTCCTTGCCTTATCAGACCCAAGTCATGCCGACTCCGCCGTTTATTTGACAAGGATGTGGATTATTCATCCTATGCTACCTACCTACCTACATGTACTGTACTACCCAGATACCTAGAGTAACCTAGTACATGTGTATGTACCATCATTAAGGCAAATGCGGGGTTAATATGCAAGGTACCCCACAACCGATGTCAGACTTTCACTATCAAGAATTTACATGAATATTTATTTCTCAAGAGTCAAGTTCGGTTCTTATCCCTTTTTTTTTTGGCTGCACGGTTGTATCTACGCGAGGCGGTACCTTGCGTCCCCAGCGCATACAATACTTCTATCTACCTCGGTACTTCATAATCTGAGGACAGGGCTTGAATTGATTCAATTGCGATTTTACGATCCATCCATACAGTCCATCCATCGCCCACTTTCTTGTCGATACTGCTGCTTTATCAATATCTAACATTTTTGCGCCGATCTGGTCTCCGCTCTAGGCCAATCCCCTGTACATAGATCAGTATCGATCTGATCTCGCAGACGAAACATTCAAACAGGTGGAGAACGACCTGGAATAATCAAAACGAAAGAAAACCGGAGTCAATCGCGAATAAATCTCTACAAGAGAGCCTAGCAAAGATGGAAAAGATTACAGACAAGATAGCCGCTCTGCCGGTCGATTCAAACTATTTCTCGCTCGAATTCTTCCCTCCCAAAACCCCAATGGGATTTTCGAATCTACGCGACCGTCTTGATCGAATGGCAAGAGCCTTGCGACCATTATTCGTGAATGTGACGTATGGTGCCGGAGGCTCTACTGCCACCAAGTCACTCGAACTAGCCGAGATATGTCAGAGGGAACTAAATCTGACAACATGTCTTCACTTGACCTGCACGAACATGAGCCGGAAGCTGATCGATAGAACGTTGGAGGATGCGAAGGCATTGGGTATCAGGAATATCCTTGCGCTCAGAGGCGACCCCCCGAGAGCTGCTGAATACCAAGACCCCAATGAAGATCCTGAGGATGCCATAGATGAGAACTTCATATGGGCCATTGATTTGGTCCGATATATAAAGAAAACCCACGGCGACTACTTCTGTATTGGCGTTGCGGCATATCCCGAGGGTCATGCCGACGAGAGCCATCCTTCAGGACAGAGCTTGGAGCATGATCTTCCATACCTTGTTGAAAAGGCGCTTGCGGGAGCTGATTTCCTCATGACCCAATTGTTCTTCGACACAGACGCATACGACAGGTTTATACGGACCTTGAGGGAACACTCCAGCGGTGCCTTCAAAACGATTCCCATTATTCCTGGTCTGATGCCCATCCAGAGCTATCAAATGATCAAACGGACGACAAAGCTTAGCCATGCTAGGATACCCGATTCGATAATGTCTCGATTAGATGCAGTGAAGATGGACGACGAAAAGGTCAAGAACGTCGGTGTAGATATCCTGTGTGAGATTGTCGAAAGGGTCAAAGAGATCGCGAGTCGGACGCCAGGCCCCAGGGGTTTCCACTTTTATACCCTAAATCTGGAAAAGGCCGTATCTTTCATTGTCGAAAAGACAGAGCTCATACTGCCAAGCACTCTTATAGAGGAAGAAACCGTCATCGAAGACATCACAGCCAAGATCCCGGCGCTCAAGGTCAATGGTTCAGATCACGATCACACGTCCCACATCAGAGACAAGTCGCAAAGTCGAAGACAGTCCAATGTTAGTTCGGAGCACCGCAACCGGGTCATTGTATCCGATCGACCAGTATCGCATCCAGAATACGAGACCACGTCCGCAGAGGCAACCAGACCGACAGAGCCGATTAACAGCCGATCTAATACATTGGCCATATCGGAAGGGGAAGGTGTACTTGGCCGAGAAGCCACGTGGGACGACTTTCCCAACGGTAGATGGGGTGACGCTAGATCGCCGGCGTACGGTGAGATCGATGGGTACGGGCCTAGTTTGCACGTATCCCACGCTCAAGCCGTCAGCCTCTGGGGCTACCCCACGAAACGGGAGGATATTAACGACCTCATCGTACGACATCTGAAAGGGGAACTTAGCGCCATCCCCTGGAGCGAAGAGGAATTCAGAGAGGAGACCGGGACCATCACTAACCATTTGATACGGCTCAACTCGAAGGGTTGGTGGACGGTCGCATCGCAACCCGCGGTAAATGGTCTACGCTCGTCAGACCCCGTCTTCGGCTGGGGCCCGCAGCACGGGTTCGTATTCCAGAAGGCATTTGTCGAGTTTTTCATCCCGTCCGCGGAGTGGAAGGTGCTCCTCGAGAAACTCCAGAGCTCCGAGGTCCAGGACACGGTGTGCTTCTACGCAACTAACGCGGCCGGTGATTATACATCCTCAGACCAGACTGGCGACACAGCAGGCGAGGGCCAAGAGCCGAGCACGAACGCGGTCACGTGGGGCGTGTTCCCCGGCAAGGAGATCATCACCCCCACCATCATAGAAGAAGTCAGCTTCCGGGCCTGGAGCGAGGAGGCCTTCGGCATCTTTGGCGAGTGGGCACAGGTCTACGGAAAAGGGTCCGAAAGCGAAAAGTTGCTGGAGAATGCTAAGGCCGACTCGTGGTTGGTCAATATCATACACCATGATTACGTTGAGAAAGACGCCTTGTGGGATCTGCTGTTGAGCTAGGCTAGGTATATAGATAGATAGATATCTAGGTACTTGAGTAGGTCGATAGACTGGCCCAGGTGAATAAAAAGGATTGCTTAGATTAAACTGGACTGGACTGGATTGGATTGGCGTGTAAAAAGGAATGAGTGATGAAGGATGGTATTGATGTAGTTTAGTAGCTTTCTAGACTCTCCTCGTAATTATCTATCTACCTACTCCATCCATAGATAGATCATGTTCTATTCCTTCCCCCTCCCCCCCTAAATAGAGAATAAAAACCAAGAGATTTCCTCAATATCAGATCGTGAGATAGGGATATGTCCGTGGGCCCGGGGAATTTAAAAGGCAAGGCCACATATACCTAACCTAGCTAACCTAGTACCTGATGAATCGGGTAGAGGGAGGCAAGATACTAGCGATGAGCTATGAGGAAGGGTGTCCCGCCCACGTGTACCCATATACCCTCGGTAGTTCAGCTCGTCCTCCCATCTCTTCGTTCGTTCGTTCGCCTGAAATCTGTCCAAGATACTGTACGTCGTGGTATATAACCGTATTATATTGGGGAGGGGAGGGGAATAAGTAGGCAAATAAATGAAGCGAGGAACCTCAGAAACCTCCGTTTTTTTTCCTTCGGCGCTGTTGTTGTACATGATGTGTGCCGTGAGGTAGTGCATACTCCCTTCCCCCCCCTTTTTTTTTGGCCCTTTTTCTTTTTCCATCTCGCTTTCTTCGCCAGCTTATTCGCGCGTCCGGCAACGCAGGAGAGGAAAATGCAACGGCAAAAAAAGCCAATACCAATACCGGAACACCTCAAAGTTTCGTGGGCCTAAACCGCCGAGACCAACTTCTGAGTAGCACAGGGCATCCTCTCTCTCTCCATCTCCTATCATATCCCACCAAATCATCTACCATCTTGCCAGCCATGAACCCCAGCACAGCTAACCCACGATGTTGCCAGAGGTCTCGTGATCATGTAGTAGGGCGATACGATCAACACTCATCATCCGCAAGTCTATCCTCATGCTCGTAATACTCGCCGTCGCCGCCAAAGCTGCGCGAACCACGGCCACCAGCACTCGGCAGCTCGCCCTCGTCATGCCCGGTGCCGGGCTCGGGTTTCACTAGCCCTGGTTCCGGCTCGTCGAGGACGACGTATGCGGAGTTGCGGCTGCTGCCATTGCGAACCGTGCCGTTAGAAGAGGGCTGGTTGCCGTTGCCATTGCCATTGCCAGTGCTCTTGCTGCGGAAGAGGGAGCGGGCGACATTGTTGTTGTTGTCGCCCTCGGATTTGACAACGGTGTCCTTCCTACCGCGCTTAGTGGCGGTAGCCTTAGCGGCGGGGGCAGCTTTGGGTCGCTTGGGAGTAGGAGTCCAAGCGAGAAGATCGCTGCCGTCGTCGTCGTCATTGCCTTCCGCGACATCGTCATCATCATCGATGGTCTCGGGTTCGTTATTGCTGGTGGGTTGGCGGTCCTTCGCGGAGTAGTCCGTGTCTCCACCGTCGAGCTCGCTATCCTCGGACGAGATATGGAGCGGCACATTAGGGCGCTTGCGCTTGTTGCCGGCGCCGGCGGTGGGTGTCTTCTTGCTGGCCTTGCTGGTGCGGGAGCCGGGAGTGGCGCTGCCGTTAGCACGCGAGGAAGGCGTGTTGCAAGCGCTTGGCTTGCACGCCGCGGGATCTCCATCTTCGTCAACCGCCTTTTGCTGGGCGCGGCTTAGCGCTTTGATCTCGCGGAACTGCCACTCGATGCCGCTGGCAGTGGACTCCCCATAGAGCTTCTGGATAGCTGTGAGAAATAGTCAGCGAACCTCGATTCTAGTTGATGAATGCTAGTGTTAGGAAATCGTGTTGGTATTGGTGATATAGGCGATGTGGGAAGGTAGGGAGGTGTAGAGTATACCTGCTTTGTCGACGGGAAGCTCTCCCGGGTCCTTTCCCTGTTCTAGCCAAATGTGCTGCAGCCTGGAGAGCTGCTTGATAGGACGCAAGCGGTGGTCCACGGCAGGTGCGGTAGTGCCCCCTCCGATGAGTCTCGCGAGCTCTATGGCCACATCAGCCTTTGGAAGCTCATACGAAGTAGTTCATATGAAAAGGCGATGCGACACAGAGCTCATAATGATGACCAGTAGCAGGCAAAAGAAAAAATAAGGCTGATGAACTAATAGGGTTGAACAAGGAAATAAAAAGGGAGGGTGAGGAAAAGGTAGGGATGTGGTGAAGTTGCTTTGCAGTGATACAATAGCTATATGGATATGGTGATGTAGTGACTCGTTCTTTCATATAGAGTAGATGTAGCATCCAGCGGGTAACTTCGCCGTCATCTGCTAATAATCTGCAAAGAAGGGGTAGCCCATCCATGGCGAGATCATAAAAGAACTTGGGTGAAAAGGAGGCTCTTATGTAAATAGGGGCAAAAGAAAAAGGCGACTACATACCGGTGAAGTCAAGCTTAACCTTGCCTTGGAGGCTCCCCACCACGGCGGCGAGTAGACGAGTGCTGGACTCGTAGGTCTTAAAGTTGGCCTTGCTATGAGGCGGCATCTTGAATGACCTCCTAGGCAGGATTTGATGAAGCCTGTGGGACGGTTAGAGATGGTAATAAAAGCAAAAATAGCCAGGCGGAAGTGGGAGTGGGCGTGAGGAGAGAGAGAGAGAATGAGCAAGATTATATTCATGTTTGAGGAATGGGCGGAAGTAAAGTAAAGAATAAGTTGTGGATTGGGCAACGCCGAAGTATGTAGAGCATGAGAAACAGGAAGCTTCCGATATGGTAGCAGCTGTGGAGGAACAAAATAACTTACTATGGCTTCGCAGTTAATAGGATGAATTAAATTAAGAATCCTAAGACTGATGAGTTTATTAGCTTAAATCAATTGCTTTCGGCAAGTCTTGATGTTGTTGGAATAAGTATTATATAGGTACTAACCTAGGTATTAATGGGAGATGGTGTGGTGTTGAACACACTCACTTACAAGTGTTGTTGCGTTGCCCAGCTCACTAGCCGTGCGGTTGTCTGAGGAACGTCGTTGGGGATTAGATAAATTCAAACGACATTGTAAGAGCTGGCCTTGTTGGGAGCTTTTTGGAAAGAAGTCAAAATGAAAATATTAGGTAGTTGATATAGATAAGGAAGTGTAGATGCTCATTCATATCTCAAGATTGAATGTATACCTATATTCAACCTCGAGAATATTCTTGGTAGGGAACAGATGGAAATAGTAAATAGTAAATAGTAAATATCATGATAAGCCAATCATATTGTGTGAAATTGACTTACATCAATAACTTGACTTGCAACAACTAAAGAGTCTTGAAAAGACTTAATAGGTGTATAGACCTTGAAGATGTTCCTCAAGCCTAGTGGTAACTGATATGAAGACTACCTAGGGTAGGCAGTCCCGTCGTTTGTGGTAGGGATGAGTATAATTGGGTGAGAGTATAGAAAGTGAATGTTTAGACCAGAGAAAGAGGGCTTGGTGCTGTGAATTTGTTGCGTGCGTGGAAGTTGATGGTAATGGACACTCCTTCAACTTATATAGACATCTGCACATGTGTGATACAGCAGAAGAAGGGAGTGGCATACTAAGCCAGGAAGAGAGAATTGACGTTGAGGATGTTTCTACTAGTAGTAAACATTCAAGGTCAAGGTATTAGCTATGCAGTTAAACCGTACCTACATAGTAGCAATCTGGGTTTTAAGCATATATTTCCCTCGGTGCACAAGCGTGTATATCTGTTAAAAGTGACATGCTGCATCATTGTCTTATCAGTCACCATAGACGCAATACACCACCTGATCATGTAGTATTACTAAAAAAATGAATGAACAAGTTACTCTATCTTCCTGTGAACTCTTACCATCAGAGCTATCACTTGGTGTGGCTGATCATCAACTGGGGTCTCTTAAGGCTGCATGTAACTCTTTAGCACTAATTCACGATAACCCACATGCACCCCTTGCAGTAGCTTGCAGACCTCGAACTTGAAGACTCGGAGCCTGCCTACCAAGGCTAGGTAACACACAGATGGTGGCAGGTACGCCAGAGAGGAAAGTGCGAAGCATTGTGGTTATGTATTTAAGAACATTTTAGTAGCAAGGTCTGATCCTTAGATCTTATCTTTTTAATATACAGGTCCATCTACATTTATCTGGTGACCTCCTACCGGAAGAGCTGTGGTGATAGCCTCATTTTTGGTTTTTGGTTTTTTTTTGATAATTGGGACCTTTATTGTTTTCAAAGTTGTTTTGATCCTTTTATTGATTGAAACGTTATTGTTGATTGAAAGCTCTGTTTTGAAAGTTAACGTTTATTCAAAAAGTCGTTTGTTCTAAAAGCCGTTTATTCAAAAGTTGTTTAATTAAAAAGTCTACAGTCAGTTTATTTAAATCAAAAAGTCCAAAAACCGTTTATTCAATTCAAAAAGCCCACAGTTTACTAGCCATTATGGCTCATTTTGTTATTTCCCATATGGGATGTACTATACCTTATTTATCCGATTAACCTCTTACTTTAAAAGACCATACTTCTGGCACTTTGTCGCTGTTCTAATATAGCGTTACCTATTTCTGATACTTATTGAATGGCTGTGTGGTTTGGGAACGTTTATATTAGAGCTTGTTGGCGCTGTTGAAACGAAGCCTGGAGGTGTTTGGGATAGGCACTATTGTCCCTTCCTAGTAGATGGTGGCAGGTACGCCAGAGAGGAAAGTGCGAAGTATTGTGGTTATGTATTTAAGAATATTTTAGTAGCAAGGTTTGATCCTTAGATCTTATCCTTTTAATATATAGGTCCACCCACATTTATCTCACACCTATTATGTAGATACTAAATAGGTAATACGTAGGTGAGCTAATGTGACGTATCAGCCACATGTGTGCCGTAACATGGGTAGACTTGCAGTTATCAGTTATATGTAGAAGGACTGTCGTCTTTTTTCTTTTTCTATTCCCTCATCTCTCCTCTCTGTCAACGATAACTTAGGACTCTCATGCAACTTGAATGGGGCCGACTTTGATCTCATCATAAGACTGTGATAATGCTGTCACTATTTGTAAATATGATAGCCTCTCTCTGACCGAGCTCACCATCATGGTTTAGCGATCAAAAGCAAGCATCCGTGAACAGTTCTAGGCCCGCTGAAGACATTCAGACTTTGCTTTTGCTTTCACAACTACTGAGCTCTACATGTAGATCTGGACTGGACTCTGCCAGGTATGTATGTATGTACATCCACACATGGCTTATCATAGTCACAGTCACATTCACATTCAAGGAAAGGCTGTATTAGAATAGTGGCAGGGTGGGTTGCTAACTTGAAAGTCATCATCTACTCAAATTGTCTTTTCCCCCAACGCCGGAGTCCTTCTCCCAGTTGGTGATGGTGTAAGTCGTCCGCTGGTGTGTGATCCAGCACGATGTGGCTTGGTGCCTACATAAGGCCACGCCTGCTGTGCTTTTATCATTGGCTGTTTGTCGCCATACATTACGTACTGGACGCCTAGCATGAAGTCGCAAATAGCCTGGAAGATACCACAGACTTTGAAAGCCCACGGAATCGCAGTAGTAGAGGTAAAGAACCAAAACATCTTCATGGAATCTCCGATTAACCAACTCACCAACACAGAAAACCGAAACCCTTTGCAAGATCGCGAGCGCGCATTAGCGAGGAGCTGCGGGAGGGGCAATGTCGCTTCGATGGACAAGCCAATATATCCTATCAAATCCGAATATCCTGAATAAATTGAATCAAATGGGGCAAGGAGCAGTTCAAGGACGGTCAAGCTGATAAATAGTGCTATCAGGAATTGCCAATAACTAAGATGTATAATTAGTTATGAGAGCAACAAAAAGGGCGTCAATCATGGTGTATAGTAGAGGGAGAACCAACGGTTTTGGTGACCGCCACTGCCAAAAGTTATATGGCCGTTGAAATCCTGCAAGCCCATCTTGTGCGCCTGCAAAAGGAAGCGCAGCCTCTCCTCCTTTAGATGATGGTGGTGGTCGGTGATCGAGTGCAATCTTTAGAAGAATAAGTTGGATAAAAATGTTGCAGAATGACTGAATCAACAACGCTATATCGAATTTCGCGCCTGGGTAGTAGAAAATTCTAATGGGAAATCATATGTTAGTATGTCCAGTCTTCATTTATGTATATATACCTATACATCTATAAAGATACCATCCAAGAAGACGGGACAAACCTAAATATGGACGCAACAAGCATGATCAGAGGGATGTCCAGCGAGAAGCCGGCGCTCGACCTTGCTCTGTGCATAGATATTGCTTGATCGGAATAGGACAAGATCGGGGATAGAATGAGGAACATTGGGGCGGCATAACCGGCCAATACTGTGAGGAAATGCATATTGGGTGATATGTCTAGTAATATGCTGAATATAAATATCGTCAGGTAGAGAACGGCGTGTTCAACATGGATCGATTGCCCAAGTTAAGTTTATATGAAGAGATTCACAGATGGTTAACGCATTCATGGCCTCATGGTATGGCAGCGCAAAATCGAATTGGTATCTAATAAAGACGGAAATTCAAATTATTTCTTCAAAATGAAGCTATATGTCTGTAAATAGATGTGTAGGTATCTAAAGTTCGCGATGGTTCGGATGCTCTGGAAACTTTGGAAAGATTCGCGCGATGTGGGAACTTTTTTCTTTTTTTCGTTTTCGTTTTCAATTCAAACAGTTGGTCATAACTTGCCTAGTAGAATTAAGCACTAATTAACTAATTAACAAGCTCAACACTTGAATACCTAAGGGGCTAGGTTAGCCTAATTTGCCAATCTTAATGCACAACGTTCCCGTCGCAAATTCTAAGTTCCGTCACCGGCACGGTTGAATTGACTTCCGTGGGTGCTTATCATCTTATCTCATGTTTAATATGTTTAATCTTATGTATCCAAAATCGGGTTTAATTTTCATCAATGATTGGAGATTCAAATGTCCAATAACAATGTCCAATAGTTAACTATTCTCATTAATTATTCATTCCAGAGCATTGACTTAGGGTACCTAGTATGCATGCCAAGAAAACTCTATCCTCACCTTTACATAAAAAATGTTTCCTGACGTAAATGTGACAGGGTTTAACTACATGAATATCAGCATTTCTATCCTCTGATAGGCATTATATTCGCTTATCTAAAGCCTACTCTAAATTGGTAGTTATAAGTGGTCTGTGCCTTGCATGTATGTACTAGGTATGTAGATGTAGTTATTGTAGAATGAAAATTCAACCAGTCATGACTCGTTATGTACATGATTTTTGAGATGTACCCAAGTACAATACCCCTCCAAAAAGACCACATGCATGTTCAAATGTTTTCAACCCCACATTGCCATTAACTAAGCATTAAACATTTTCTTTCGAATAAGGTTGATCTCAAAGTGCACGACGAACTCTTTCAGGTTCTGTCGGAACCTCAAACCACGCGTCTTTTCAGACCATTTGGTTCACACCAAAAGCAATGGATTACATCGTTCTTACCGGAGAGTCCTGCTTCACGGTCTCTGAGGCCAAGAAGTTAAAGGACCGTATTAACCAGAGCTCTACTAAAGTTACCAACATCATAGGTTCTTGGATTTATTACGCGCATATCAAGGGGAACAAGACTGCGGTCCAGCCAAAACTTGAAGAGTTGCTCCCTTTACCTGATCGTTCAGGTCCTCCACCTTTAACGCACATCGGCTATACTCGTACGTATTATGTTGTGCCGAGGAACATCTCGCCATGGAGCTCCAAGGCGACCAAGGTCTGTGAAGTGTGCGGCCTCAAGGACCAAGTTCATCGAATAGAACGAGCCCGGTCCATCACTGTAGAATTCGAACAACCTTTCAACAGTGATGAAATCCCGTTCCGGGACATGCTTTCTGATCGCATGACGGAGATTATATCTCTAGATCAGCCAGACCTTGACTCCATGTTCATTGAACGCCAACCTCTAGCACTCGAGGTTGTCGATATCTTTTCCGGAGAACAGAGCCCTCTCGACATGCTCAAGACTTATAATCTTAAGCATGGACTAGCCCTAGATCAATCCGAGATGGAGTACCTAGTTCAAGAATTCACTCAGCTCGGACGACCGCCGAACGATATTGAACTTTTCATGTTTGCCCAAGTGAATTCGGAGCATTGTCGCCATAAGTAAGTTTGTATATAGATAATAGCCTCAAACACTTCGCTTGGTAAACAAAAGATTATCATCTGATTTAAATACTTGCCATCAGATCTTATAAAGCTTTTTAAAACGCAGCATTTCACCAAATATATATAAAGACTTCTGAATAAACTAATTATGTGTAATAGGCAATTCAATGCAAGATGGACCATAGATGGCATAACTAAGGATTTGAGTCTTTTCGACATGATCCGAAACACACACAGGACGACACCCGATTACACCGTCTCGGCTTATAGCGACAATGCTGCAGTAATGCAAGGTGAGGTGGGAAGTTATTGGGCCCCCGAGTATACGACCGGATCTTGGAAGCTTAATAAGGAGGTCGTCCATGTATTAGCTAAAGTTGAGACCCATAACCACCCTACTGCTATCTCTCGTAAGTCATCCCTCTTCCTCTCTACCTTCTGTATTCGGTGGTTTCGTACACTGACCTGTGTTATACATAGCCTTTCCGGGTGCTGCTACTGGATCAGGTGGCGAAATCCGTAAGTTAACCCTTAGCGAATACAATTACCACAGCCAGTCTTGAGATATTATCTACGACGGTGCGTCGTTAGAAGTTGATCTTATAGCGCCTTAATAGGGTAAGTAAATGTAGTGCCCAACTAACTTTAATTTCTAGGCGATGAAGCTGCTGTTGGAAGAGGGTCAGTTACAAAAGCAGGTCTCTCAGGATTTTGGGTCTCCGACCTTCTCATTCCGGACCACCGGGGCTGGGAGATTGATATTGGCCGCCCAGCGCATTATGCAAGCAGCCTGGATATTATGCTTGAAGCACCCATTGGCTCAGCTCGTTTCAACAATGAGTTTGGTCGTCCTGCTCTGGCCGGATGTTTCCGTACACTCTTGACAAATGGCACAAGCAAAAGCGATTCGAATTCCTCGGAAGAAACTGAATGGCGAGGCTATCACAAGCCAATCATGATCGCGGGTGGACTTGGTACGGTCAGACCAGGCCATGCACTCAAGAACAAGAGTGATGTACATGAAGGGGCTCATGTCATCGTACTTGGCGGCCCTGCTATGCTTATCGGACTCGGTGGTGGTGCTGCATCTAGCAACGCTTCAGGGGAGGGAACTGCCGATCTTGATTTCAACAGTGTGCAGAGGGGAAATCCCGAGATGCAACGCCGAGCCCAAATGGTTATCAACGCATGCGTTAGTCTAGGGGACGCGAGCCCTATCGTATGTCTGCCCTCGCAACCCCTATAGCATCTGGACATGGTGTATTAAGTTACGCCATGGCCTTCCTGCTCAGTGTTGGACCGGTCTTGATGCTAACTATATATCCTAGGCAATGATACATGACGTGGGAGCTGGTGGACTATCTAATGCCCTTCCAGAACTGGTCAAGGATGCCGGGTTTGGAGGCAAATTTGAACTCCGCCAAGTCGAAAGTGCAGATGGGAGCATGAGTCCTCTTCAAATATGTAAGCGTTAACCCTCGGCCTATTGTCAACTAACATTTTAAAGACGTTGCTGATTACTGTGGTTGCAGGGTGTAATGAAGCACAGGAACGCTACGTGTTGTTGGTCAATAGTGAAGGAATGAACCGGTTTGTTAGCATATGCAGTAAGTCTAATATACCACCAGGGCTCGTTGTGTAGGGCTAACTAAAGGGCAAGGACGTGAACGCTGCGGCTTCTCAGATGTCGGCACTGTAGTGTCCGAAGATGAAGGTGGCATACCGAAGCTTATCCTAACTGACAGAGACACAAAGGAGAAGGTATCATCACGACCGATTGATCTCCCCATGTCAACTCTGTTTCCCCCAGGCCGTCGACTACAGCGTATAGTCAGCTCTCACAAACCAAACCTACCAGTGTTTGAAGCAGTCCCTAGCCTTAAAGCCGCATTTGGAGACAAGCTATCTGATGCTGAGCTACTGAGAAACGCTGTACAGAAAGTTTTCTGGATGCCAGCCGTAGGGTCAAAGTCATTTCTCATAACCATTGGAGACCGAAGTGTCGGTGGTCTTACCGCGAGAGACCAGATGGTAGGGCCTTGGCAGACGCCTGTAGCAGATGTCGCAGTTACAGCTACGTCATTTAACATAGGAACGAAAACGAGACATGGTGAGGCTATGGCGATGGGCGAGAAGCCAACAATTGCCTTAATATCATCTGCCGCATCTGCTCGCATGGCAGTTGCAGAAAGCTTGTTGAACATCGGCGCCGCCGATATCATGGGCGATCTACGAAGGGTCAAGCTATCCGCTAACTGGATGGCAGCCGTGAATCATCCAGGAGAAGGAGCTGCTCTTTATGATGCCGTTGAGGCGATTGGACTTGACATGTGTCCTCGGTACGTACTACGATTTACCCCAATAGCCTTTCGCCCCTCTCTCAATTTCTCTATTCTCTTCCCTCTCCGTGGAAAATATTTTTCTTTTATACCCTACCTCTCCTATATTCCAGTAGATTACCCTCCCTTGCAAAAGGGAAAAGATGGAAGGGGAGATGAGGCCTAGTCAATGAGTGCTCCAGTGAATGCTAACAGATAGGCAGACTCGGCATCAGTATACCAGTGGGCAAAGATTCGACCTCTATGAAGGCAACTTGGAAAGATCGCGAGAGCGAGAAGACCAAGAGCGTGACTGCGCCAGTATCAGTCGTTATCTCAGCATTTACCATCGTTGATGATATCAGGAAGACTTGGACCCCGCAACTTCGGCAAGTTGAAGACGTAGGAGACTCAGTTCTTATGTTTGTCGACTTAGCCAAAGGCAAGAAAGCGATGGGAGGATCTGCTCTTGCCCAATCATTCGGCTACGTCGGCAATGAGGCACCAGACGTACGAGATGTGGACCTCATTGCAGATTATTTTGATGCCCTATCTCAGCTACATCAAAGTGGCATTGTCCTTGCCTATCACGATAGGTCCGATGGAGGGCTCCTTACCACTGTGGCCGAGATGATGTTCGCTGGAAGATGCGGAGTTGATCTGATGATGGACGGAATCTCTAACTCTGGTTCAATTGTCGACATGGTTGATGCATTGTTTAACGAAGAGTTAGGCGCCGTGTTCCAAGTGCGAGCATCGGATGAGACGAACTTCAAGAGATGCTTCGCAACCTGTGGACCGCCCCCAGGCTTGATCAAGAAATTTGGCAGTGTCCAGCCTAGGTCGAAGCAAACCTTGACAATCCGGTACGGCATAACACCCTTTGTCAGTCTCGATAGAAGAGAGATTCAACAATGGTGGGCCAAGACTTCGTTTGAGATGCAGAAACTTAGGGATAACCCTTCCTGCGCTGAGTCTGAGTATGCCAGTATTCTGGACCGAAATGATCCGGGCCTCTCTTACAAACTTACCTTCCAACCCTCTGATCCGATCCTACCTATTACAGCGTCTATCGCTGGTTTCTTCGGCAAGACCCCGCGAGTGGCCATTCTACGGGAACAAGGCGTCAATGGATACGCTGAAATGGCATTTGCATTCAAAGCAGCAGGATTTGATCCTGTCGATGTGATGATGACGGATATTATTTCCGGGCGCTCGTTGTCAGACTTTGTGGGATTGGCTGCTTGTGGTGGCTTCTCCTACGGTGATGTGCTAGGAGCCGGACAGGGCTGGGCCAAATCCATTCTCATGCACGAAAATGCTCGGAAGGAATTTGAAAGCTTCTTCAAGAGGCAGGATACATTTGCACTTGGTGTCTGCAATGGTTGCCAGATGCTCTCTCGCATCAGGGAGCTCATACCTGGCACAGAACACTGGCCAATTTTCGTAGAGAACACAAGTCAACAGTTTGAGGCACGGTTTAGCATGGTCAAAATTGAGGACAACCGAGCGAAGCCTTCAGTCTTCCTTCACGGCATGGATGGATCGTCCTTACCAATTGTGGTCTCCCACGGTGAAGGAAGGGCGTCATTCTCTTCGCCCAACTCAATTCGCGCGCTTGACGCGGCGGGTATGATTCCCATCCGATATGTTGACAACTACCTGGATGTAACGGAAACGTATCCAGTCAACCCGAACGGTAGTCCTGAGGGTATTGCTGGCGTAAGCAGCGAGGACGGTCGTGTGCTAGCTATGATGCCTCATCCCGAGCGTACAGCGCTAGCAGATACGGCATCATACGCACCACCTGCTCTTCTCGAGCAGTGGGGTGAATTTGGCCCCTGGATCAGGATGTTCAGAAGCGCTCGAAGATGGGTTGGATATGTTTAATTATTCCCCTTCCATCGAACGTAAGCTACCTAAGTAGACACAAACTTGATCTCACAAGGTCTTCTGTATACATCACAATACTAAAATGGGGCTTGATACTAGGGCAATGTATCTATCTACATATCTATAGTGAACACCGTAGCCATACTCGTAGATAAGGTAATGAGGCGTCCCGGAGGCTTGCTTTTATTGGTACTTGGGTGTTGTCTAGTTGCAGTTCTCACAACGGGAGAGCTTACAGAGAGAATACACGTGGCGGATGCAAACCAAGGAGACCATCGATGCACGTGGAAAGGCAATTAATAGCATAGCTACCTAGGTAGGTATCTACTTATCGAACAAGTATCGAACAAGTCTCTCTCAGCAGCAGCGGATTAGCTACACACCTCCTACCTAGGTACTTACCTATACATAGGTAGACTACGGCCAAAGAAGGGAGTGCTTGTAGAGGACAGTCTAATCGTGATCCCGGGACATTATAGGACATTATGCAATCCTTCGATGCAGAAGAAGCTTCCTCCTTGTCACCGAATGTCGCAGGTTGAAATCCATCCACGATCCCTCTGTGGCGCTTGTCACGGAATTGTATTATTAGGGGATCGCCTACGTTTCCAAGAACCCCCCCGCCCCTAAGAATAGCATGGAGGCTCCTCCGGACTCTCTTGCCCGGATCATGACGACGAAGACTAACCTTAGTAGAAAGAGGAGACAGACTCATAGACGATGAAGCTAGCTAGCGAGATGAATCATAAGTAATCTTTTTTTTTTCGTCTAGGAGTCACGACGGCGGCACTCGCGCCTACGAGAGCAAGTGCGAATGAGGGAGGGAGGGAGGGACGGAGACTTGCTTGTTTGCTTGCTGGTCTGACGATACCTTACCTAGGCGGTTGGACATGGCTCGAGTGATCCTATCCCCACGCGAGCGCAGGCCGCCGAAGGAAGGTAAGTGCTCAAATGCCGCACAGGATCTCCGGGCATTGCCTCACTTGCGAGATTGGGCCCATGTCAGTCACGAGGGAGAGTGAGACGGACACGGTACAGCAGGTAATGATCCATGGATATGTCTGCCTATCTGCCTAGGTTTAACTAGGTACTATGGGTGTAGGCATTGTACTGTATGTAGCCTTAGGTATGTAATAGGTAAGATAAGTCATAGCAACAGCAGCTATTTAGGCCCTTTCCCACTTTATTCAGTACACTCACTCATTCATCGTTGCCCGCTCGGTATCGCATTCTTTAGCCTTGCACACGACCCAGTTCAAACCCTGTGGCAAGTACGTAACTACCAACCCACCTGTGCTTAAACCCTGGGTAGGGGGTCTAGGTATGTATGACCCGGGCATAGTTTAAAAAATATATATATATATATATATGCCAGTAGACATGGGGAGGAGGCTGAGAATACTACAACGCAAGAACAGCGGTTTATGTCAAGGCTAATATAGGTAATAGTTCCAGTCCGGAAACGTTAAGGTTACGGCGTATCATTTAGGGGGGCAGGTAGGTAGGTTCTGCCGTAGGGCGTTACGCGTACTATGGATGTGTGTCATGTACATTAGCAGTAGCAACGGAGGCGCTTCCTCGGCAATGTGACGATGTGTCTGTACGTTTGGGTGTGTGTGTGTCTCCTCCGTCTCTCCCACTCTCTCTAACTATTAGCAGGTAGGTTAGGTGGTTTTCTTTCTTCCAGGTTTGCGGCACATAACATTTTGCCAAGTCCCTCTGCTTTGACCTTGCAGCCGGGTATCTCGTCTCGTTTCTCCGGATGGCACGACCACAGGCGTCTTCGATTCGGTTCAGATTTCAATTTTTTATTTTAATAGTTAGTTATTTATTTATGTTTTGGGGGGGTCCAGTGAACGATTCTGGTAACTACCTAATCTAAAAGCTGGGCTTCGCGAAGCCTTCTAAGGTATTTCCCCTTGTATCTAACTACGCTACATACATACAGTAGCATATGTATGCACAATCCCTCAAGCCAATGCCCAGGTACGTGCGTATGTATTGTACGGTAAGGCACGGTACCGCCAAAGAGAGGAAGAGAGGCATTACTATGTAGTTAGAGGCACACCCAAGCCTGTAGGGCTTCGCATACACATAATAGCAATGTAAATAGATGGCACTTCGGCTGGGGTACTATTGTATGAAGGTCAGTCCAGCCTAGACCTCCCAGACTTGTCATTTTCTTAATACCGACCTACCGAACCTGGAAATGATTTCGCGCCCTTGTTAATGTTAATCGTTTGACATACATGGCATTTTAACCAGATCGTCTATCTGGTAGGTACGGGTGTTTATTTTTATTCTTAGGTCCCCCCTTTTTCCCTTTATTCTTTTTTACCCTCTTGCTTAATTCTTCTTCGGTGTAGCGCCGGGCCTATGGGCGACTCGGTAGTAATAAACCCGTGCCGATTCATTAATGAGGAACAACACAATTAAAGAAATATGAAAAAAAGACTCTCACGATAGTTGCCTTATGCCTAGACCGACAACTGGAGTAGTCCCGGGTCAATCAAACCGGGGAGGGTAAGGAAGGGGGTGAACTAGCATAAAGGTAGGTTGTCTGACCTTCCTAGCAGGTACAATAGAAGTGTTGATCTGTAGTACTATGGTTATGTTGGATGGTTATGTGGACTGCTCAATGACGCCACGGTTGTAACGCGGGACGAGGCGACGTACTGCAAATTACAGCGAAGCTGAAAGCGCCCGCATGCGACGGCCGACGAATTACGTCTCATCTGTGGCCCCTTAAATGGGGTTTATTGCCTATGGGAGAGAAGAGAACCGTTGACGAGATCGTCACACGTGCTGATCGTCCGAACCCAGGCCTTATTACGAGTGTATTATGCCGGGCGCTGGGTTGTCTCAGGTAATTAACTTGTCGTTGCATGGTTTTTTTTGGACTTTGACTCCCGAACCCCGGCAGTACTTCCTGTACATACGCGTATTGTATTCTCTCCCCGGAGGTTCCAAGTATGGGAAGCGTCTTTTTTTTGTTAACCCACACATTCCTTATTTAGTCGCACCGTACGAATCCGTACCAATGCATAGAGGTACTTACTTACTTATATACCTACCTACACTACATATGGCCGACCGCCGGTATTTAAAAGTGAATGCCGAGCTTATGGATTAGCAACATGTAAGAAAACTTGACCTGTCTCCTTTTTTTATTACTCTTCCTGTCCGTCATGCGATGTCCTTTTAGAATCGTGGGGCGCCCCTTGAACCACATCCCATCCCATCCCCCCCAACGTCTCGTCTCGGCTGCGCTGGTTCTGGACCTGGCTGCAAGATGAAATTAACATCGGTATTGCTCCTGCAGCCTTTCAGAAGCTGAAAAGCGTTCCGTTCGGAACACAAGGTCTGCAAATTTATTAAGAGCTATGCACCAGAACGTCATGAGAACATAAATTCATCGTCGTTCAAAGTTGCTGGTTACCATCCCACGGCAGCCGAGTGCCGTATCTATTTAACGTGGGACGGATAACTATTGACGTGTATCACCTTTTTTTTTATTTTATCTTAGTGTCTCGTGTGCGGCATCTTCAAGCTTAATTTGACCGACCCAAACATATATACACCCTCCACTTGTGGCTTATGGTGTATGCAGATTTTCTCTCTAAGATAACAGGCTATTATGTTCGCTGAAAACTGCCGGTTTGAGGAGCAGCAAAGCGAGTGGTTTTGAACGGAGAGAGAGCAGAAGCACGTAATTGGCGGTTTTTGTTTGGTTGTATTCTAATAGAGCTAGGTCGAAGCAGAAGAGAGGGCTTCTCATCACTTGTCTTTATTTTTTGCAATTCTCATGTGAGGCCGAGGCATGCCCACTTACTTACATATATTAGGTACAAGTACAAGGACCGGCACTTCTCAAAGTGGACGCAACCCCCCCTATTTTTAAATTTAGAGCATCCAGGTTGTATCTGGCGTTCTAGTACTTGTGTACTTGGGGGTTCAGTAATCAATATTGATTAAGAAACCCCCCCTTCCTCTCTCCCCCCACCGAATAGCTGTAGCACTTAATTATTTTTATTTTTATTATTTTGCAAATTGAAAAAAAAAAGGCCTGGACTAGAACTGTTCGGTTGGGTTGTTTTTCTCTTTCTCGCCTCGGGTTATGCAAGCCCGGCACGGGAGTCCATTTCGTTCATAAAAGGTTCAAGGCAAAAAAAAAAAGAAAAAAAAGACAAAGATGCACAACATCCTGGCTTATAAAAAGATACATTACCCTTAAAAACCAAACCAAACCTAACCTACCTGACTTTAGGTCCTTCAATTAGTGCTAGGTAGATCAATGGGGCCGGGCCGAAGATGCAGAAAGATGCAGATAACGGGCTCTTGCGCCGCACTATTGCAACATCTTCCCGATCTTGCCCACTAACGGAAAAAAAAAATAAGGGGGTTTCTTTTACTACCTACCTACTCAATGTACTCATTCTCTGTTGTAGGAAATAAAAAAGAGAAAATATTTGGAAAAAAAAAGGCAAGTCTCTGATTTCGGTTATCGTGAGAAAAGAAAGGCCAAGACGGGTTAGAGTGAAGTTTTATGTAAGTTTCGAACGCAACACATGATCCGATGCGGCTGCGCGACACGCCAGATACGGCGAGCTGAAGCTTAGAAGAAAAAAAAAGGGGGGGAGGGTAGTACTGACTGTATGTATGGTCGTGTGAATGGCTTTTTTTTCGTACTTGCTGACATGGCGGGAAGCGGAGGTTGATCTAGAATGTCGTAAGAAACCCGAAGAAGCCCACCGGCGATGATGTTATTAAAACTCTTAATACCCTTTCCTAATTCCTATATTATGATGTTGTTATGATGTTCTGGCTATCCATTCCACCGGAGGACTAGATATGTACATGTCAAATGGGAAAATAACCTTGTAATATACCTACAATGACCTTGGATACATAACCTATAGAAGACCCTTGGAACTTTTTAGTTCGCACACACATACGTAAAGAATTAATAAATGTCCCGTATGTCGTATGTCGTATGT